TCGAAGTGCTCTCGGATATCACACGATCTGCTCAGAAATCCTCGGATAAACTCTGTTATTCCCTCGGCAAACCCTCAAATCAGGACGAATGGTCGAAACAGATCCACATAAACTCAGACAGAACGCTCGATCTCTCGGTGATAGTCAGAATCGCCGGCAAAACTTCGATCTCTCTCGGCCAACTCTCGGGATAATCAGAAACTACGGGATTTCTCTCGACCAATCTCTCTCTCACGCGATATTTCTCTCAAATAATGCGGCTGTCTCGAGAAAAAGTCTCAAAATCCCTTTTATATGCTCGCAAAACCTAGTTAACCCGGTTATAGCCGGTGTCTTCCGGTTCCCGTCAGGTTTATCCCGGTCAGCTTTGATTTTTCTCGGATATCGCCTAAACCGCTCGACCATCCCCACGAGAAATTAGTTTTTATCCGACCAAACTCCCAGCCCACGGGCCCAACCCATTTTTACTCGGTTAAAACCACAAAGCCTCGCCTATTTTCCTTTTTCCCTCGGACATGATCCATTTCTCTCGGACATAATCCATTTCCTCTCGGACATAATCCACTTTCTCCTGGACATAATCCACTTTCTCCCGGACAGAACCATTTTTCCCGGATATGGTCCGTCCTGCTCGGCCAGCCCGGCCATCCTTCGACTATTTCCCAGTCATCCATCGACTATAGTCTGAACCTCCCATCCATACGGATTTTTCCCTTGACTGAACTCACATTCCTTCGGACAACCTCCTGTCCGGCTCGATCATTCCAGATTTTCTCGGATACGGATGCTACAGGTAGAGTGAAGATGGCAAATGTAACATACTCTGAGATCAAAGGGATTGGAAGTATAAGGATCCAGAATGACGATCACTCAACTGTATTACTCACAAACGTGAGATATGTACCAGGAATGTCCAAGAATCTGATCTCCATGGGAACTCTAGAAGATCAAGGGTGCTGGTTTCAGTCGAAGGATGGGACTCTAAAGGTTATCAAGGGTTGTATGACGGTGCTAAAAGGAAGAAAAACAGGTACTCTGTATCTGTTGTAGGGAGCGGTTATAACAAGGAATGCAAATTCAGTTACAGGCTCCAAGGATGAAGCAAAACTGTGGCATAGTAGATTATGTCATATGAGTCAGAAAAACACAGAGATACTGGTCAAGAAAGGTTGTTTTCAAGCTGATAAAGTAAAAGGTTTTGAGTTATGTGAAGATTGTGTGTATGGAAAAACACACAGAGTAAGTTTCGGATCTGGAAAGCACGTCACTAGAGAGAAGCTCGAGTACATACACTCAGACCTTTGGGGAGCGCCATCTGTGCCAAACTCTATGGGAAATTGTCAGTACTTCATCACGTTTATTGATGACTTCACAAAGAAAGTCTGGATCTATTTTCTGAAGAAGAAAGATGAAACTTTCAAGACATTTGTTGAATGGAAAACAATGGTGGAAAATCAAACAAACAGGAAAGTGAAGAAGTTGAGAACTGACAATGGTTTAGAGTTCTGTAATCAAGAGTTCGATGGTTTCTGCAAGAAAGAAGGAGTGGTAAGACACATGACTTGTGCTTATACACCGCAGCAAAATGGGGTTGCAGAACGTATGAACAGAACTATCATGGATAAAGTGAGAAGCATGCTAAGTGAGTCTGGTTTGAGCAAGACGTTTTGGGCAGAAGCAGCTTCAACAGCCGTCTATGTTATAAATCAATCTCCAGCTTCTGCAATAGAGTTTGAGATCCCAGAAAAGGCATGGACGGGAGTTTTGCCAGACTTAAGCAACTTGAGAAGTTTCGGATGCATTGGTTATGTTCATTCGGATCAGGGAAAGTTAAATCCAAGAGCAAAGAAAGGCGTGTTTCTGGGGTATCCATCAGGGGTTAAAGGATACAGAGTATGGCTGATTGAAGACTGGAAAGTTGTGATCAGTAGAGATGTTGTGTTCAATGAGAACGTGATGTTCAAAGATCCTGAACAGAACAGAAAAGAATCAGAAGCAACACAAAAGGAAGCTGAAGTCTCAGTTATAAAGATTCTAGCTGTATCAGAAACGGTGACTGAAATAGTTGAATGTGGAGCTACTGAAGTAAGAAACAGGGAGGTTGAGTCGTCCTCTGATCAAATACAAGGTCAAGACTCAGACACAGAGTCTGATACCGACTCTGAAACAGACTCAGATTCGGATTCAGAAGACATGTACATGCCTCCAAGTCTTGCTGATTATCAGTTGACAAGGGATAGAAGCAGGAGAAAAAGGAAAAAGAACCGTAAGTATTGCTGTCAGATTGAAGACGCAGGTTTTGCGTTTAATATGACAGAGGATGGTGGAGTTCTAGAACCAGCAAGCTATGCAGAAGCAATGCAAGATCCGGACAGCGAATTCTGGACAGAAGCAACAGATAAAGAAATTGAATCTCTCATGAAGAATCACACTTGGGATCTGGTTGATAAGCCTGAGAAACAGAAAGTTATAGGCTGCAAGTGGATATTTAAGAGGAAGATCGGTATTCCAGGAGTGGAGAAGCCAAGGTTTAAAGCAAAGCTAGTGGCAAAGGGCTACTCCCAAAGGGAAGGAATCGATTTTCATGAGATATTCTCACCTGTTGTTAAGCATGTTACAATCCGACTAATGCTATCTGCTGTCTCTCATTTTGATTTAGAGCTGGAGCAGCTTGATGTCAAGACGGCATTCCTACATGGAAGTCTTGACGAGACCATTTACATGAGCCAACCAGAAGGCTATGTAGATAAGAAATCACCTGAGAAAGTGTGCTTGCTGAGAAGATCTCTCTATGGTTTGAAACAGTCACCAAGGAAATGGAATCAAAGGTTTGATTCGTTTATGAAGTCTACAGGATACTCAAGGAGTTTGAGAGATAACTGTGTATACTTCAAGAAGACTGCAGAAGAAGAGAAGACGTTCTTGCTGTTATATGTTGATGATATGTTAATCATATCAAAGAACAAGGAAACAGTCAAGAAGCTAAAGGAAAGTCTGAGTTCGGAGTTTGAGATGAAGGATTTGGGGCCTGCAAAGAGAATTATGGGCATGAAGATTACAAGAGACAGAGGTAAAAATCTGTTGGAGTTGTCTCAAGGGAACTATCTGCAGAAAGTTTTGAAAACGTTCAGAATGGAAGACTGCAAGGCGGTAAAAACACCTCTAGCACCACACATGAGATTAAAAGCAGCTACAGACCACGAGAGAGAAGAACAAGAAGAACAAATGAAGTCTGTCCCTTATGCTAATGCAATTGGAAGCATAATGTACTCCATGATTGGCTCAAGACCTGATCTTGCTCATCCCGTTGGTGTAATAAGTAGATTCATGGGGAAACCACTGATGAATCATTGGCAAGCTGTGAAATGGGTTCTCAGGCACATAAAAGGAACGATTAGTTCAAGACTGCAGTACAGGAAAGAAAGAGATTTTGTGGTGACAGGATACTGCGACTCAGATTATGCAGCAGATCTTGATAAAAAAAGATCAACGACGGGGTATACATTCACTGTAGGAGGCAACATAGTCAGCTGGCGATCATGCTTACAAGGAGTTGTTGCTCTCTCAACTACAGAGGCAGAATATATAGCCTTAACAGAATCTGCAAAGGAATCTGTTTGGTTGAAAGAGTTGATGAACGAGCTAGGATTCACACAAGGAGCAGTCGACATACACTGTGATTCTCAAAGTGCTATCGCTTTAACAAAGAATGCAGTTCATCATGAGAGAACCAAACACATTCAGACGAAGTTTCACTATATCCGTGATGCGATTAGTGAGGGAGAGGTCAAGGTGCTGAAGATATCTACGCTTTACAATCCAGCGGATCTTTTCACCAAAGTGTTACCAGTTAACAAGTTTCTGAGCGCTCTGCAGAAGCTCAGGGTAACAAGTGCCTGATCAGTTGATCAGGGTCCGAGATGGAAGTCCAAGAAACTAGAAAGGAGAAGCAAAGCAGAAGGTTGACACTACGGCAAGGTGGAGTTTTGTGAGGTTTTGCCTAAGTGTCATAAAGTCTCTAGCCTAAGGAGAAGGTTCTCAGCTGAACAAGGAGAAAAGAAGCACGGGGAGCTCAAGTGTCTTTGATATCACAACTCTGAAGGGTATGAGGCGTAATTAACCTCAGCCGAAAGCAGAGCCGCGTTTGTCTTCTTCCTCTGTAATTAAACAGAGTACAGATGGAAGGAGAGGAGAGAGCGTGGCATAGAGAGTTATATATAAGCAGGTGTTAGCTGAGACATTAGGTCAATAAGAGAGAGTGCAAGAGAGGCAGCTGTGAGTTTACAGTTTGTTCTCTAAGGGTTTGTAAAACCAAGAAAACTTTCTAGTGGATTTTCGAGCATAGTCTCGGCCAGACGTAGCGATTCCGGTTTGGATCGTGAACTGGTTAAATTTGTGTGTGTCATTTACTTTACAGTTCATATACACACGAGTGATCAAACAAAAAGTGAACGTGAGAGATTCCACATAACTACAAGCTTATATCTCAACAGATTTTTTTTTGTTTGTTCAAAAACATTAGTGTTTCTCCTTTATTTTGAAGCTTTTTTAACTTGAGGATGCATCTTAGTTATCTATTTTTTTTTGGCTAAAAGAGAGGATGTGAAATGTAAATCTAACATAGAATAACAGGAAATCGACAAGATGTTGGATTTCGAGTTTGAGCAAAAACATAATCATTATGATTTCTAAGAGATAAACAGAGAGAGAGTAATGGAATTCTGAGAACCATATGTAGCATCCAAAAAAATCATGACAATAGATGAAGTTGGTTGTGATCGACATTCCTCGCTGTCATTGAAACATAAGTTGGTTGCAATCTCAGACTAAGTCAAACCATAAAATATAATGCAACCGTCTTAATTCAGTGATAGAACAACAGTAAAAAAAATAAAATTACAGCAAGCGACTCTCAAATGACATCTAAGTCAGAAGAAGAACAATGAACCATAGATATACAAACACAAGAACAATGACATTTTAGCTTTAGCCAATATGGACTATACGTGAAACCTGACAGCTAAGATATTTTAGCTTAGACAATTTTGGTGATCCGCTAATACACAGACTGAGATGAAAGTTGTAGTTTCATCTGTATACAGAGGAGTGAAATCGATAATTCTATAATTTCCTATTACCATAAATAGTTTCAAAATTATTTTGTCTACCATAGTTAAACAAGTTTGAGTACTACTACTAGTTAATTTAGCAGAGGCGATTGAAGTGTTCAACTTTCTTCTTGGGTTGTGTGCTGATTGATGTGTGACGCCATCACAAAAACCAACTGTGAACACTTTATTTCCCTGCGGAATCAATCTATCAGATTTTTTTGTTGTTTTTTCAATGTTATAAGAAAAATCGACCCTTTTCTTTGTGGCTAGACTTGGACGCCTAAATCGTACGCGACCCTCTTCAGGAGACGCACAAAGTCTCTTCCTTTACCATCCCACACGTTCCGCCCCGGCAACTTTCATTTTGTCTCCGGGTCGGGTCAATGTCAAGAACGACGGGCACTGTATATAATCGTCGAATCAATTGTTGGATCTCGATCAAATTTTGAGATAGATTCCCGGAATTTTTTCTCCCCTCGAGAGATTTTAGGGTTTAATCAATCCTGTGGAGATGATTGAACATGGGAGCTCGTCCTTTGATTACCGGGGCATTAGAGAGGCTGCTTGCAACGCCGGCGCCGGAGCCACCGCAGGTTAGTTCGACTATCATTTCTTTCTCTTGAGTCTTGTAGGTGGGGTTCTTGTGGGTTGATTTGATTCGGGAAACTTTCCAGGTGCAATCGCGGCGACTTTCGTTTGCCCGTTGGATGTGATCAAAACGAGGTTGCAGGTTCTTGGTCTCCCGGAAACTCCAGTCTCGGGGAAAAGAGGTACTTGTTACCAATTCCTCGCTGAGCTGAGCTTCATTTCCTCTAAGAATGTCACTAGTAGATGTAGTTGTGAGATCTTATGTGATGATATGATATTGTTGCATGTTTGATCAAGACTCTCTCTGTTTGCTGAGCTTAATTTGCGTAAGAACATTAACTAGTAGATCTTATGTGGTGAAATGAGATTGCGTATGCAAGTTTTGTTTCCATTGAAGTTGTTGCATGTTTGATCTAGACTCCCTCTCTTTGTACTCTGGAGCTATGCCTGTAGGTGCTAATCAGCTGCATCTGTTGAAATATCAGGTAGTGTGATCATTACAAGCTTACAGAATATAGTAAAGAATGAAGGTTTTAGGGGAATGTATCGAGGGCTCTCACCAACCATCATAGCTCTCCTTCCGAACTGGGCTGTAAGCACCACTTTTTCTCTGAATAGCTTTGTTTCTTCAAGAGATCTGTGATTTCTTGTAACTGATATTCTGGTATCTCGTTCAGGTCTACTTCTCGGTTTATGGGAAGCTAAAGGAGGTTCTGCAGTCAAGTGGTTGGTTCTCAATGTTTACAAATTACAAATCTTTTTGTGTTTTGTTTTTGCTTGTGTATCAGATGTCACTGCTTAAATAATGCAGTCCAGTGATTGCTTAATTCGTTTCTCTGACTAAATTCTTTCAACTGTTCTTGTTTTTCTGATAGATGGCAACCTTAGTATTGGGGCCAACATGGTAGCTGCTGCTGGTGCTGGAGCTGCCACATCTATTGCAACTAATCCACTTTGGGTTGTCAAGACAAGATTAATGGTGAGAGCTTTGTCCTCTTTCTTTGGTTTCAGCATTACTATGCATTCTAAGGAATGTCTGTAATGTGTTTTCTCTTCCACTTTTATCAGACGCAAGGAATTAGGCCGGATGTGGTACCTTACAAAAGCGTTATGTCTGCTTTTAGTAGGATTTGTCATGAAGAAGGGCTGCGAGGGCTGTACAGGTCAGTATCTTACATGAAACTGTGTTATTTTGAACACCTTTTCCTTGTGACAATGTCGTGCTTGTGTTAAACTTTAGATACATTAGTTTATATTTTCCTGTGTTGGAACAGTGGCATCTTGCCTTCATTGGCGGGAATAAGCCATGTCGCGATCCAGTTTCCAGCTTATGAAAAGATTAAGCAGTACATGGCAAACATGGGTAATACATGGTTTCTCCACTGAATTACACAATCTTGGATGTTGTGTTGTTACCCAAATCCCAACTAGTTTCTGATCATAGCTAGTTGAAGTTCTCAGATAATACATCCGTCGAGGATCTGAGTCCTGGGAATGTTGCTATTGCCTCTTCAATCGCGAAAGTGCTCGCCTCTGTTTTGACTTACCCACACGAGGTCTCTCTCCTCTTCCTTTCTCTCTCTCTACCTCACTCTTAGGCTCATAACTAACTGATGAGACACTAATAATGGGTTCATGTTGCATCCACAGGTGATTAGAGCCAAGCTTCAAGAACAAGGCCAGATGAGAAACTCTGAGACTAAGTATTCCGGAGTCGTTGATTGCATCAAGAAGGTGTTTAGAAGCGAAGGGATTCCTGGAATGTACCGTGGATGTGCCACTAACCTACTGAGGACAACTCCATCAGCAGTTATTACATTTACAACCTATGAGATGATGCTTAGATTCTTCCGACAAGTTGTGCCACCAGAGACTAGCAAGTCGGACGATCACGAAAGAGAAGAAGAAAGAAGAACGAGTTTAGTTAGTCAACGAGGAGGACAAGAAGATCTAGAGAAAGATTCGGGTTTGAGAGAATCACAAACACAATCTAATAAGATCAAAACTTCCCCTATCCCTCTTGGAGGCAAATAAAAGCTTTTCCAGACTCGCAGACATGCTTCATAAAAAAATTTCTTTTTTGCTTAAAGCCATGTTCCAATTAAGTGATTTTTCCCCTTGCGGTGATCAAGTTGTAACTTTATTTTCTTTCTCGTCGTTCTAACAAATGTGTAACCTACCAATAAATAATTTTGATGCTCACATTCGTTTAGGTCTTCACAGACTCTCTTTTAGTCCAGGTCCCTCCCCGTCTCACTCTCTATGTTCAAATTGCAGGTTTTTGGATTTATAGAAAGTGATTTAAGTAATTTCACTATTACATGATTTGGATGGAATGTAGGAGACCTTAATGGTGGAGGCTACTACGGTTTATTTCCTTTCTCAATATTGGCGGTTTCACTTACCACAAGGTAATAGAATCTTCTTCTCTCGCTTAAGCTTTTAGCACTTGTTGAAGGAATAATGTGAGAACTTATGGAAGCCATTTGTTTCTGGTTAGAAAATTTGCCTTTGGAATCTTGCCTTTATATTATACCAATGTGTATGCATATTAGTTTCTGGTATTAGACAAGAAAAACCTGAAATAATAGCAGAGCTGTGAAGTAAGGTGTAAGTAATCTAAGTCAAGGAAACCCTTTTGAGTCAATTTTTTTGCTTTTTTCTTCCTTAGTACCTTTGAGTCAAATACTACATACAGTTACATATGTTGAGTATGATAAACAAAAATTCGACACTGAAAAATTGGTGACTAGTAGTACAAGTTATGTCACTATGTGCACTATCTCCGTACCTACAGCTTCAACAACTCCGTGTCCTCAACCTTTACACCTGATTGGATCTTAGCAGTCGTAGGCACTAGTATTGGGTGTGGTTGACTTACTGGTCCATGGATCAGTCACAGAGATAGGTGAGCGTGGGAACTTCATATTCTGTATCAGCGAAGCCTCACCCCAATCCGGTGGCGAAGGATGAGGAGTTACTGTCTCTTCTTTGTAATTATAGTAGTGACGTTTTTGCTCTTCTTCATTCTGGATTCCCTTAAGCTCTTGCACGACCTGTTCCATCGTAGGTCTCATTGTACTGTCTTGCTGCAAGCACCGAAATGCCAGCTCTGCCACCATCGTAGTCATTCTCCTAACTCCTTCACTCGTTCCGTATCCAAGACTCTGGTCGATGAGCTCGTGTGTCGCGTGGTTCTGTATCTTGTTTATAGCTAAGCTCGATAGGTTGATCTCACTCTTGCACCTGCTTATGTCAACAGCAGGCTTCGATGATATCAGCTCCACAAGAACCACTCCAAAGCTGTATACGTCACTCTTGTCGGTTAGATGATAGCACCGGTGATACTCTGGATCCACGTATCCCGGTGTACCCTGAGGAGCGGTCGAGACGTGGGTCACGTCGCTCGGTAACAGCCTCGATAGCCCGAAATCGGCGACTTTGACTCCGAAGTTCTCGTCGAGGAGAATGTTTGTGGTCTTGACGTCGCGGTGGATGATATCCGAAGCGTGGAGGTAAGCTAATGCACTAGCTGTTTCTATGGCGATGCTCATGCGCATTGACCATGTTAAGTAGCCTTGGTTCTTTGGGTTTTCGCCGTAGAGATGATCAGCGACTGTGCCGTTTGGTATAAACTCGTAGACAAGGAGAAGTTCTCTGCTTCTGCGTGAAGTGCATCCGTAGAGGCAGACTAGGTTCTTGTGATGGAGACGTGTGAGGATTTCTATCTCGTTCATGAACTGCTCAAGTCTTCTGTAATTGTGTTCGTAGAGACGCTTCACTGCGACTTCTCGTCCATCACGGACTTTTCCTGAGATGCAAAAGGTAAGGAAACATTAACTGAAACAGAGAGATCTTATATTTTTTTTCATAAAATGTTAGTGAAACTGATCATCTTACCGTAGTAGACAGTGCCAAAGCCTCCATCTCCTAGTAATCTGTCTTTACTGAAGTTGTCTGTTGCTTCTTGAAGTTCTTTGTATGAGAAGATTGGTATCTTGAAGAAGACATGGCTAAACTCGACGTTGGAGTTGTCTCTAGAGAGTAGATCTGGACTAGTTCTCTTTCTGCAACTCCTATGGATGATGATAAAGAGTGCCACCAAGATGATTATCAAGATGAGTGATCCTCCGATTCCTGGAAAATATAGAGAGGGGATTGATTTAAATTTGGGTATTTCATGGAGAAAGATGAAACTAAAGGATCAAAACAGAGCATCTCTCTCTCTCTCTTTACCTAATCCTAGCTTCAACTTCTCTTGTCTTTTTGGATCGTGGCTTTTTGGATCGTGGCTTTTTGGATCTGCAACGAAGAAGAGGGAAACTGAATTATTTTCACCTCCAGATATATTCTGCAAGCAGAGTTGCAGAAGTGATGAACTTGTATCATTGTGTTCGTACCTATAAGTGCTCCAACGCAGTAGAACTCGCCTTCGTTCATCTTACATTCTCCGCCTCGTCGATGGCACCTATAGCAGCTTCCAGGCAGGTTTAAATGGAGAGAGAAGGTAGCATTTACATTAGAGAGGCTCTTGTTTTTTGGAATCACCCAGCTCTGTGGAGTTTTGAAAGCTGAACACCCTGTCTCATTATGACTTTCTCCCAAATTTGAGTAGTACAAGCTGCTTCCTCCTCCTCCGCAATTCGCATAAGCGAAACCATTCTTATTCATACTGTTGTTGCATTTGTACAAAGTGGTCAACTCGAGCCATGGCGAATCTGGAAGAGAGAAGCTTGACAAGTCACTGCAGGTTCCTGTTTCCAAGCTTCGGTTAAGCCTTGGGTCGGTGATGGTTATGGTGAGGGCTTGAGAGACGCTCGTGACTTTATACCAACTCCCGTTTTCCGCAAGCTGTATCTCTAGAACCTCGTGACCACTGCAATTCATCTTGAACAGACCGCATCGAGACGGCATGCCTGTGCTAAAGAAAGGGAAGTCGAAGTCGAGGTTTCCGCAGTTGAATGTTGGGCAATCTGTCTGGTTCGTGGTCCTTGCTTTTGCTATGAGAAAGAGGAGGAAGCAGAAGAAGACCAACACATAGATAGTCTTCATTGGTGTTCTTGATTACACGCTTGTGTTTCTTGATATCTAGATCTGCAACATATCAAGACTTTGGTTCCATTTTTGAAGAGATATATATATTTCTCCTACCCCTTTTTATGGTATTGCGACAGGAAAGTTGACTTTTTCTTGGGAATTCAGACAGAGCTATAGAGGAAGAAGAGTCTATGGATTTTTGAGGTTTTGGTTCGTTACAAGAGAAGAAGATGAAGATTTGTGTGGTGGCAGCTTTAAAAAAATAGTGCAATAGTCGTTGAATCTTGCTGCTTTATTGGAAAAACAGACGTATGAGGCTGATTTTGACCGGAGACTCTCTGGTGGAATGGGAAACTTTCAATACTAAAGAAATACGTTTACCTTTGGTCGAAGTTGCATGTTCAAGATTTGACCACACAACGCTTATCTCTTTGTCTTTGCATCATCATCTTCAGTCTTTGAGTCTTCCATTATTAGAGCGTAATAAGAACCACGGAGAGAGACCTTTGGTTTTTGTTTGCTCTTTATAGGTCTTTTTGATTCTATTTTCCTTTATTCTTCATAATTCGGTTTTAGGATCTTAACATAATGCATAAATATCATAGTTAATGATCGTACGATTAATTATATTTAAAAAGGGTTGATAATGATGTCTCGCAAGACACCAAAGAAGAGAAGGGTGAGCAACTTGCAAAACATAGAATAAGTTTTTAAAAAGATTTTTAGTTGATGAAACACGTTGTAATAAGCACGACACGAGGGCTACGCATATTCATGTTTGGACTAATTTAATTGTATAGTTGAATCATTTTACTGATGATGAGAGTTATCTGTTTAAATCATTAATGAAAATGAAATATTTTTTTCCCACTGAAATACTTTGAATTTAGTAAGCCTAAGAGTTTACAAGTGTCACAGCAAAAAAGGATCAATGAAAATGAACATAAACCTGTGCAAATATTTCAAACTCGACGACTAGTCTTCGAACTAATATGCATATATCATTAGAGGAAGATTAAAAAAAAAAAAAGTGATAATGAGGAAGAGAGATTAAAAATCTAATAGTATGTGATCATGACGCAGCCACTTGTCCGTCCTATGATTGGCCGGAAGTCAATTTGGGGATGTTGAATTCGGAGGCTCCTTTTAAAAAATCAAGTTGAGCAACTCTCTCCTGTGGCTTTTTTGTCGGTAAATGTCAAGTCTTCGATAATATATAGAAGAGCACGGTAGATTAAGCGTTGCATGCGTTTTGGTTACGTTTAGTTTGATTTTCTTCTAAAAATTAGGATTTTGTGATGGTCACAAATACAAATAGCAAAATACAACTCAGAAATATAAATATGACATTTTTTTATACAGAAATACAAATCTTATTTAAAAAGTTTAGAAAAACTCTCAATAAAAAAATAAGAGTTTATTATAAAAATGAGTAATCGGATCACCTTCTTTTTTATCTTTCTATCTGCCTTTACCCGAACTCATGATGTTGACCATATGCCACAAATCAAATGAGCCACACGATCATATAATCTACGCATGACTCAGAGAGCTACGTTACTGTAAATATATTTTCTCGGGTGTTCTTGATAATCTACTTTCAGATCCTTCCTTTTTCGAAATGGTCCGAAGAATATTAATAGAGCCACATACGTCTTATTTGGGGTTGTTCGAGTCGGTTCGACCACACTCGACCTGGTTGCTGGACCTAAGAGCACCCGTATTGATGATAGTTCTTAAGTAAAAAAAAAAAAAAAAAAAAAAATATATATATATGAGGTGGCATCAGTTTTTCTTTGAATCGACTCTACTAGTAGAGTTTGTGGAGACGGTTCTGAGTAAACGTGTCCTATATTGATTTGTTGGAAAAACAAATTTTGGTTAAAAACCAAAAACTAATTTTCTTTTTTTCTTCTCGTTTCTATCGATCCTTTTGGGTTTTTTTCTTCTTCTTCTCCGACGAAGAGCACCACTTGACGCCGGAGTTTCCAAGCAGCACCTTCTTCTTCTCACATCGTCATCAAGGACCGTCTCTGCAGGGTGTGGTTTCGATTTAATCTTCTCTATTGCTTTCTATTGTTCATCTTCTCTGCTGATTTCGATTTCATCTTCTCGTGTACACGCATCTGATTGTAGATTTCTGTTTAGTGTATAGGTCCTTGATTTGTATTGGTTTTCTCGGATTTGTAGCTTGAATTTATCTCTGACTTAGTAATCAAAGGAAAACGGCAGTAGATATAGAGCAACTGGAGAAGTCCGTGGAGGAGAACCCAGACGACCCTTCTCTGCATTACTACTCGCGTGTGAAGGTCGATCACAAACGAGCTGCAAAGCGTTACCAGAGAGCAGTGTGAGCAATCGAGTACATAATGCTTTGGTTTGGTTATGTTTAGTATACTGATCTTCTCGTTCATGAATGCTTGTGGGATTTTGGTTCAGGCATTATTACTCTGAGTAAGAATTGTGGCGAGAGTGTGTACCAACTTATCGTGGACCGTGATATTTTGCCTGATATAGTCAAAATTGTGAAGAAGAAGGTTTGTTAGTTACCACCTCTCACCTGCTTGCTATATATTTCAATTCTATTATCAGATTGGCTTACCCTGGAGGTTTTGCCAAACTCACTTATGCAGCCAAACCTGAATGTAAGGGAGAAGATACTTAGTTTATTAGATACATGGCAAGAAGCTTTTGGTGGAAGCGGAGGAAGATTCCTCAGTATTACAATGCCTATAACGAACTCAGGGTATAGCTTGAGCCTTTTATGTATAGTACAATTCTGTTATTACGTATCAAAGTTTTGATAACCGGTTTTGTCTTTTTGAAAACTTTAGTCTGCTGGAGTTGAGTTCCCACCTCGAACCGAGAGCAGTGTATCGTTGTTTACTCCACCTCAGACTCAGCCCATTGTTGCTCACGCTGTAGCATCAGATGAAGATGCTGCTATTCAGGCCTCCTTGCAAAGTGATGATGCTTCTGCACTCAGGTACACTTTCCTTTTTAGAACTTCGTATCTAACGTTCTCTTCTCTATATAATGATTTTGTTTGCTAGACCTGTCTTATGGATAAGTATGTATGCCTTGTTTACAAGCAATGTTATTAACTTTAGTATCTTCTTTTGTTTTAGCGTGGAAGAGATTCAAATTGCTCAGGGATCAATTGATATTTTGACGGACATGCTTGGTGCTCTCGATCAAAACCATTATGAGGTTGGATATATTTACATGATTTGATTTAGTGGCTCTGTTGTTTGATCTGATTCGAGACACCCACTGTTCTTGATGCTGTGACAGAGTTTAAAAGAAGAACTTATAGTTGACTTGGTAGAGCAATGATGTACTTATCAAAGACGTGTAACGACTCTGGTCAACACTACATCGTAAAGATCTGTTTGTTTTCTCCTTAACCATTGTGTTCTTTATGAAATTTGATATAATCTGTTAATGGTGATATAATCTATTGTAAGTGTCAAAATTAAAAAAAAGTTAATGAGATTCTTAACTTAAATTAATAATAAATTTAATAATATAATATGTTAAGAATCTCATCTCAAGTATCACCATTAAGTGGCCGATGGTAGTGAGTTGATTAGACTGTGTCGTGCAGTTTGTTTGTTTTTCTTTATTTGATGGCTTGTGTTGGTTGGGTTTTGTAATATAAAGCGGCATCTAAGAGCATGTCCAACGGTGTCCCTTAAAAGTTTTTTAAGGGTTTGTTAAAGTAAAAAATAAAGAAAATAAATGATTAATATTTAGAAAAGAGTAGAAACAGTTGTTAATTGACAATTTTCAGAATTGTTTAAAGACGACAACGTGTCAATCCTTGGTTTAATAGACTTTTTTTAATAAAAACCAACAAAAGAAAAAAAAATTCTTTCTCTCTACTCTTTCTTTCGATATGAACAAAGAGATTCGATCTACTCTCTCTACTCTTTCTTTCAGAGTGATTCAGATCAACCCACCTTCATTTACATGTCTCTTCGATCTCGAGTTCCTCAGTCAGTAATTCAGGATTAGGGATTAAGGTAAGCAAGAGAATCACCGAATGATTTCGACAACTTCCTCTCTATCTTCTTCTTTTCTAATTCTGATCGGGTTTTTCTGATTTGATATTCACGGTTTGTTTGATTTGATCTGATTGATCATCGTTGTGGGTTTTGGTTTGTTTTTCAGTTTGGATTTCTGATTCCCCGACTCTCCGATTCGTCTTTACGGTGATGCGTTTGGTCATCTAGAATTATTATTCCGTAATCCTTGAATTTGACAGCAACAATTAAGGCCGAGATTGATTTCAATTTGAGCTGCTTCTGACGCAATTTCTTCCCTGACCTTTCATGTAAAACAAAAAAAAACAAGGTAAATTTGATTTTATTCAAAGTGAAGCGAGACGCAGATTATGCTTAATTTTGTGTTTGAATTCGTTACTTAAACCCAATTTTCCTTTTGGTCGTATCAGTGTAAGAATTTCGAGAAATTCTACCGATATGCCTACAAATGCCTACGTACTCTACCGATGCCTACAAATGTCGGCAATTTTATGGCCAATCGAAATCGAGTCCGCGATAAAATAATGCATCAACAATTGCAAGCTGATTTGGTGGAGCATATGTGGCAAAGATTTGACACAAATTAAAATTTTAACTAAGCGTTTCTTTTCGTTTAATATTTGCAAATCTCTATTTTAAATGTTTTTATGTAACTTGTATGTTTCAAATTTCTTTATATGTAATATATTTAAGTTTTTATTAATCTTATTTTGTTTACAATAAAATAATTTTATTTTAATTTTTTTTAAGAAACTCAACTAGAGATTCAACTAATGGAAGAACAAAAAGTTTAAATCAAATACAAAGGTTCTTAGAAATGAAAAGGAACAAAATTTATATTAAAAAATGTTTAACAACCCCAAAAGAGTCTCTACCAATGGACATGCTCTAATATATCAGATTTGTTTGTATCTTTTTAAAACTCAAAATCGGCTTTGCATCGTACCAAAAAAAAAAAAAAAAAAAAAAACAGGTTATGGAAAGACATCACGCATCTAAAAACAATTAAGTAATTTTAAAATTGTTGTTGCCACATTATTGCTATTTTTGTAAAAAAATTTAGAATCCTATTCAGTTTCATTATAAATGTAGTAAGTAAATTTGAAATTTACCCGAGTTCACATAAAAGGTACGTAGTTGAAATTTGATTCTAAGTATATGAGATTTACGAGGTACGTAGTCCATGTCCGTCATATAAGATATACTAGGTGGTTGGTCTGCACATATGTGTGAGTATAATTTTTTTGCTATACATAATTAATTGTAATATTTAAATGTTGATTAGTTTCTCAAACATTAGTATATTTGTATATATATTGTTTTAATATTTCACAAACTTCTTTCTGAAACCAATGTATTTTAAAACTTTTTTTTATAATATTTGTAATGATATATAATCACAAATATAAAAGTTATATTAAATAATAATTAAATTCTTATAATATTTTTTGAATATTTCTATAATATGCTTTATTTTTCCTTACACAATATACAATTTATTTTTTTGCGTCTTACATAATATGAATTTGTAAATACACATATAATATATTTTAAGTATATATTTTTCTTTATTTATTGCAAATTAAATTAAAATAGTTTTTGCTATTTTTACTTATTCCTAAGAGCGGATAGATGGTTAGCACGCATGTGCGGGAATACCAACCACTTCACTACACTTAGAATAGATAAATATTTTTAAAAAGATATAAATTGTATAATAATTTAAAAACAAATTAGGCTGTAATCAAGCCTAACAAAATATATGCACGAAAAAATTCGCATGTGACTTCAACTAATGCACAATTAATATTTATGTATGTACGCGTATTTGTAAAAAAGTCGAAATATGGCTCTTACGTGTTAAAATGTTTTTAAGTGACTTTCTAAAAAAAATGCGAGACATTTATTTTCATATACATACTTATATTTTTATTTCTTATTCATATTTGTTTCATCTTATTTTAATTTATTCTTTCGTTCGGTTATTTTTTCATTTCATTTATACTTATATTTATGATATACCATGAAAATAAATTTATGCATATATATATAAATATGATATAAAATTTTATTTTTATTTAAAATATGATAAGAGATAAGATGAGATAGTAACATAAGTTATGTACATTTTAGAAAACAACAATAAAAAGATGATAAAAGTTATAGAAAAATATATGTTCATATTAATATTATAAAATAATAATTAGTAAATACTTTATTCATTTAGTAAATATTTGTTTGAAACAAAATCTATTTTAAATTAGGTTTTTTTTAAAAAAATTCAATAAAATTTTATTATTTTTATTATTTTTAACAATTTATTCTTTAAATTATTTTTATCATGATTGTATTTTATTTAAATTGTATTATTTAATAATTTTTTTATTTAAAACTTGTTTAGATATTATTACTATATTTTGTAAATTAATAACTTTCTAAAATAAAAATATATTATACTTCAAGTATTCTTAATATATATAATTTTTACTATCCTATTGGATAATTTAGTATTATTTTTTCGTTTTTATATGAAATTACAATATATATATATATTGTTGAAAAAAATTCGTAATTATATTTTATGAAATTTTGAATATATGTAAAAAATTGAAATTATAATAATTATTATTTTCTGTTAATTTAAATTTGTTAATTTTAGTGTTATAAATACAATCTAGTATATTTATATTTTAATTCCATATTTTTTATAATTTCAATTCAACTAATCAAAATATTTTATTTATTTTAGGAAGTTTGACATGTCACATTTACATGTCATCAATTAAAAGCACTAACTTTGGCTGTAGTGTTGACAAATGAACTATTTTTAATAATGTTACTTCTCAAATAATATGTAGTGGATTTGAAAATACACATATAATATATTTTAAATATATATTTTTTCTTTATTTATTGCAAATTAAACTGAAATAGTATTTGCTACTTTTACTTATTCTTAAGAGCGGATAGATGGTTAGCACGCACGTGCGGAAATACCAACCACTTCACTACACTTAGAATAAATAAATATTTTTTAAAAAAATATAAATTGTATAATAATTTAAATAAAAATTAGGCTGTAATCAAGCCTAACAAAATATATGCACGAAAAAATTCGCATGTGACTTCAACTAATGCACAATTAATATTTATGTATGTACGCGTATTTGTAAAAAAGTTGAAATATGGCTCTTACGTATTAAAATGTTTTTAAGTGACGTTGTAAAACAAAATGCGAGACATTTATTTTCATATACATACTTATATTTTTATTTCTTATTCATATTTGTTTCATCTTATTTTAATTTATTCTTTCATTCGGTTATTTTTTCATTTCATTTATACTTATATTTATGATATACCATGAAAATAAATTTATATATATATATATATGATATAAAATTTTATTTTTATTTAAAATGATAAGATGAGATGGTAACATAAGTTATGTACATTTTAGAAAACAACAATAAAAAGATGATAAAAGTTATAGAAAAATATATGGTCCTATTAATATTATAAAATAATAATTAGTATATACTTTATTCATTTAGTAAATATTATTTTGAAACAAAAACTATTTTAAATTAGGTTTTTTTAAAAAAATTTCAATAAAATTTTATTATTTTTTATTATTTTTAACATTTTATTCTTTAAATTAGTTTTATCATGATTGTATTTTATTTAAATTGTATTATTTAATAATTTGTTTATTTAAAACTTGTTTAGATATTATTACTATATTTTGTAAATTAGTAACTTTCTAAAATAAAAATATATTATACTTCAAGTATTCTTAATATATAGAATTTTTACTATCCTATTGGATAATTTAGTATTATTTTTTCATTTTTAAATGAAATGATAATATATATATATATATTGTTGAAAAAATTTCGTAATTATATTTTATGAAATTTTGAATATATGTAAAAAATTGAAATTATAATAATTATTATTTTCTGTTAATTTAAAATTGTTAATTTTAGTGTTATAAATACAATCTAGTATATTTATATTTTAATTCCATATTTTTTATAATTTCAATTCAACCAATCAAAATATTTCATTTATTTTAAGAAGTTTGACATGTCACATTTACATCTCATCAATTAAAAGCACTAACTTTGACTGTAGTGTTGACAAATAAACTATTTTTAATAATGTTACTTCTCAAATAATATGTAGTGGATAACAAAACCATTACTTCTTCCGTCATCTGAGTCAGAAACCCTTATAACTGTTCTATTAGAACATGCTAAATATGTTCATATGTGACTCTTGTTACTTTGAACAATAGATTTGGTGCAATAGCTACGAAAAACAGTTGAATCTCTACCTAGCTAATAGCTATGTAACATTTTATCAAGAGATATAAAACAAGTTTTTTGAGATCTCTACTCTGAAACAAAACGCACCTCTTGCAAGCTTAGTTTCGATTTGAGGAGATTAAATTCACATTGCTCTTTTCCAATGTTTCTTGTACCGTTCCCCAGGCAAAATTTAGAAATTGCCTGCATTAAGAAACATATCATCTCATAGCATAGAATCCACACAATCAAATATAAAAACAACCGATAAGATAGTACCTCAAAATCATGGACTATCATACGTCCGTCTTTCAAACTGACTTGGGTTAGAGAAGCTTGAAGTCTCATGACTTTCTTCAAGAGTTTCTGGAACCCTTAGAGTGGGTAAACAAAAAAGAGGTTTAGGTGGAACCTGGAGAGCCTCTAGATTTCCCTCTAACATTTCAATGACTTTGATCATTGGCGGACGATCAAATGGACTGGTCTGAATACACCATAGACCAACCAATACCATTTTCTTGGCAATTTTCTCTTCTTCTTCGGTTATCTGATCTCCGAAGATCCTCATGACTTCTCCCCTCCCAAAATCCTTATAGATCCAATCTGGAAAGTACATTGAACTATTGTTGGATCCAGAGTTTTCAACTTTTTCTCTATTCTTTGCTCCAATCATCTCAAGGACCATCATCCCATAACTATACACATCTGACTTATGCGAAACCCCTCCAAGATTATTGTAAAGCACTTCAGGGGCGATGTATCCAACGGTCCCTCTCGCGTCTAGCATTGACATGATGCTCTCCTTATTGTTGCAGAGCTTAGCAAGACCGAAATCTGAAATCTTGGGACAAAGATCTTTGTCCATGAGTATGTTTTGCGGCTTTATATCGAAATGCACTATCCTTGATGCACAACGATTGTGCAAATACTCTAGGCCGTGAGAGACACTTACGGCAATGTCATATAACCTTTCCCATTCCATCTTCGTTGACATATTCTCGGAAATAAACTTGTCAAGGGATCCATTAGGCATGAACTCATATATTATAGCTCTCTTGTTCCTTTCATAGCAGAATCCAAGCAGAGAAACAATATTCACGTGAGATGTTCTACTCATGCTAGCTACTTCATTGATGAAATCTTCTCCATTTCCTTTTCCCTCCTTCAAGATCTTCACTGCAACGTCGATGCCTCCATCAGGTAACTTTCCTTTGTAGACAGTTCCAAATCCTCCTCTCCCGAGAACATGCGCAAATGAGTTTGTCATCTTCTTGACTTTTGCGTAGCTATATCGTTTCAACATTACAACCGCTTCAACGTTCTCGCCATTCCAATCACTCTTTCTCGCATTATTTGCTCTTACTATTATAATCGTGACCATAATAATGATCACCACCGCAGTTAAAGCAACTCCTACAATCAGATAAATAAGAATCAAAATTTAGGTTTAACGTAGAAACTAAAGGATCAAAACAGAGCATCTCTCTCTCTCTCTCTCTCTCTCTCTCTCTCTCTCTCTCTCTCTCTCTCTCTCTCTCTCTCTCTACCTAATCCTAGCTTCAACTTCTCTTGTCTTTTTGGATCGTGGCTTTTTGGATCGTGGCTTTTTGGATCTGCAACGAAGAAGAGGGAAACTGAATTATTTTCACCTCCAGATATATTCTGCAAGCAGAGTTGCAGAAGTGATGAACTTGTATCATTGTGTTCGTACCTATAAGTGCTTCAACGCAGTAGAACTCGCCTTCGTTCATCTTACATTCTCCGCCTCGTCGATGGCACCTATAGCAGCTTCCAGGCAGGTTTAAATGGAGAGAGAAGGTAGCATTTACATTAGAGAGGTTCTTGTTTCTTGGAATCACCCAGCTCTGTGGAGTTTTGAAAGCTGAACACCCTGTCTCATTATGACTTTCTCCCAAATTTGAGTAGTACAAGCTGCTTCCTCCTCCTCCGCAATTCGCATAAGCGAAACCATTCTTATTCCTACTGTTGTTGCATTTGTACAAAGTGGTCATGTTGAGCCATGGCGAATCTGGAAGAGAGAAGCTTGACAAGTCACTGCAGGTTCCTGTTTCCAAGCTTCGGTTAAGCCTTGGGTCGGTGATGGTTATGGTGAGGGCTTGAGAGACGCTCGTGACTTTATACCAACTCCCGTTTTCCGCAAGCTGTATCTCTAGAACCTCGTGATCACTGCAATTCATCTTGAACAGACCGCATCGAGACGGCATGCCTGTGCTAAAGAAAGGGAAGTCGAAGTCGAGGTTTCCGCAGTTGAATGTTTTGCAATCTGTCTGGTTCGTGGTCCTGGCTTCTGCTACGAGAAAGAGGAGGAAGCAGAAGAAGACCAACACATAGATAGTCTTCATTGGTGTTCTTGATTACACGCTTGTGTTTCTTGATATCTAGATCTGCAACATATCAAGACTTTGGTTCCATTTTTGAAGAGATATGTTTCTCCTACCCTATTGACCACACAACGCTTATCTTAGTCTTTGCATCATCGACTTGAGTCTTGACTCTTGGGTCTTCCATTATTAAAGCGTCGGCAAGAGACCTTTGGTTTTGTTTGCTCTTTAAAGCTTTTCTGATTCTACTTGCATGAGATTATTCAGTTTTAGGATATTAGTGTACATCATGCATAAAAATTAACAACCATAAGATTAACCAAATTTGATAATGATGTCTCGCTTGACACCAAAGGAGAGAAGAATCTTAACATTTTTACCACAAAAAAAATAAAGGAGAGAAGAATTTGATCTATATAAAATAACTAGAGATGGTGGGAAACTTGCAGTATATAGAATAAGTTTTTTAAAAGATTTATAGGTGAGGAAACACGTTCTGTGTAGAATAAGGACGACACGAGGGCTATGCATATTAATGTTTGCACTAATTTGATTGTAAAATCGTTTTACTGATGATGAACCTATATATAGGCCGTTATCTGTATAAATCATTAATCAAATTGAACATATACGATACGAACTAATTTTACCATAAGAAGAAGATTAAAAATAAAATAAAAAGAATGATAACGAGAAGAGATATTTAAAATCCAATAGTATGTGATCATGACGCCCCACTTGTTGGTTCTATGATTGGCCGGACGCCAATTTTGGGATGTAAATTTGGAGGCTACTTTTAAAATCTCAAGTTGAGCAACTCTCTCTTCCCACCTATTTGTCGGTGAATGTTAGTCTTCCATATTTGTAGCAGGATAGATATGCGTAACATGCGTTTTCATTACGTTCAATTTTGATTTCCTTGTAAAAACTCAGATTTTGTGATGATTTTAAGGAATACAAATACAAATAGGAAAAAAAAATACAATATCCAATTCAACTAATGAACACATATATTACTTATTTGGACAGAAATGCAAAAATATTAAAAAAACCTTCAATGGAAAGAAAAGGGTTTATTGTAAAAAATGATTTTGCAGCTTGGATCTTGGTAAAGGATCTGAATCATGGACATTGCTCAAGGGTTTCTGCTGTCTCATGACCGTTTGACCACTAAACCATACAATATTTTTTTCTGCCCAGTAGCATGGTCGTATATACAAGGAGTCCACACAACAATATGTGATTTTACTTAAAGAGTTGTCTGAATTTGTAAGAGTATTGCCATGCAATCGGCCCAAAGAACCCAAATATTGGAATAGACAAATGAATTCAGTTTAATTACTTAAACTAAACAAACATTTAAAAAAAAAAACACACAAACATTTAGAAATGAAATACAGCCTTATCAAAATATGAATTGGACAAGTTATATTGTTGGTCGCATCACTCTTTCTTTAACAATATTACAAATAGAGGAATAACAATAGAATTTACAAATTTTGGGTTATACATTTGTTTATATTATCAAGTAAATAACTGTTTGCGTGAAATCCGAACCACGGGGATTTGAAAACGTAACTTCCAAATTCTAATTACCAAACTAAAGTCAATTCTGTCACGCCAATAAGTTTCGCCTAATGTAACTCCAACCCAAAAAAACACGTTTCACTAGTTTCGTCTAAGTCAATCTTTATTTTTCCGAGATATTTATTTTTGGTATGTTCGGGGAGAAAAAGCAAGAAAAAGATATTGAACACTGGACAAAAAAGAAAATTAAAATACAACAATATATTTACAAAAAAATGTTTTGGTTATTAACATTTGCGTTGAATCTTTCGTCTTTATTAAAACGAACGGCCAATCATTTGTGTCATCAATAAATCTTCCACCGTCAGCCTCAAAGACGGCGTCTACGTCTCACCAATGTAACAACGTCTGACTCCGTCAAATCCTCATGTCTCCCACCGTGATCTCCCCACCGACGTAGATCTTGTCTACGTCACCGCCATTGACCCTTACCACATTCCCAAGCAACCTCCCCGGCTGCGTCCATTCGGCGATTAGTGCCGGCATCACGAATCCGATGCGTGCATCCCATGCACTAACTTCCACGGCATCGAAGCCTTTCTTCTCCGCAGCTAGTAAAACGGCCGGCGAAAACGACATAGAAGTTCAGCATTTGCCCAAGAAAGAAGCTACGGCATTACGGCGACTTCTTTCTCCGTTGATATCGAGATGGTCCCACAGCTTCACGACTCCACTTGAGCCAAGCCCACCAAGATCTGGCCAGGACAACAAGTCCCCGAAGCTACCACTGCACCGGCGCATCCAGGGGATATTTCCATTTATACCCTTCTCATCATCATTGTTGCCCTGGAAATAACCGGATCTTTTAACGCGTAAACCGCCATTGACCGAGTCATCTTCTTTGTCATCGTCATAATCTTCGTCTTCCTCATCGTCCGAGGAGTCTGACGAGCAAGAGGAATCGGAGTCGCTGTCGTAATCATAGAGAAGAGTTGGAGAAGGTAGAGAAACGTCTGCATTTCTTAATCTAAGGACTACAAGACTTCTGAGTCTTGTAATTAAGGTAGTGAATGAAGCAACGAATGCAATTAGCAACAAAGCTCCCCATTTCAAGAAACTATAAGCGTGATGTAACTTTCCGTGGAAAGCTCGAGATAAAAACGACGGGTGGTTTATCGAGTTTATCCCCACGTCAAAATCGCTTATTCTGTTAATAACCGGGACCTCCATAACCCAAATATAGGTTTTTCTTTTCTTGGGTAAAAACTATCTGCTTTCTTTTCTGAAAAGTTGAAAGAGTAGAAGAAGAGAGGAGATTTTGGCTTTAGGTGGTTTACGCGGGTATTTAAGAGGGATAGGGGAAAGATGACGTGGCGGATTGCGAGAGGATAAATATGTGGTGATCGAATAGAATCCATAACACGTAAGGTGGCGGCAGAGACTTTCGAGGAAACGCGGAGGCAGAAAGAAAGATAAGAGCACAAAGTTTAATGAGTCAGCCTAATGTCACATGATGCAATGTTTCACTTTTCACAATTAACAAGGTCTGACCAAGGTTGCCGTTACTTAAATGCTTTATAACCACTGGTTACGGTTCTCATTTTGTTAACCGTAATCTCCACAATTTAATAGTACGGTAACAGTTAACTATAGTTATGATTACTATGGTCGTTGTTAAGTTAGATATGGTTAAAATTAACATTTCCACTGGTTATAAAAAAATTCATACGACTACTTATAGTAACGTTGGATGCATTTTATAATAAGGAAGTTATAGCATATTTTCCCAAAATAACAAGTTATGAGCGTGAAGATGGAGTGGTTACAAGCGTGAAGATGCAAGTGGCCACTTTGTCCCGATGAGGTCTACTCCCCTTCTCATCAAGAAGAGCGTGAAGAGTGGGATCATGTTGTACTTGCCTCAAGAGCCAGAAAAGATGCAAGTGGTTACTATGTGGAGGGATAAGATTGCTTTAATATGATTTTGGAGTCATTAGGATACATTAGAATTGACTACAGGGTTATTACCTCATTTGTGATAATGGCTATTGAATAGTTATTATACAAATGACTCCTATGGTGTGAGTTTCTTTTTTATTGTTGCCAGAAATCATTAGCTCTTGAGTTACTATGTTTTGTTCTCTATATTGAATAAACATTTATCTACCAAAAAAAAGAAAAAATGTCACCAACTTCATCCATAATCAACAATGCATAAACCTCACCCAAATCTAAGATGCCAAAATATAACATATTTATAAAATACGACAACCACATTTATCATGGTAGGAAGGTACATCAAGATAAGAAGTATTGAGGAAAGACCAAGACTGGTTTAGTTTAAATGTTATGCGAAACGCTAGAAAAAATCATTTTGAAAGAAGGAGACTTAAAGTTGATTAGTTTATTACCCACATGTTGGGTCTTCTTGGTACTGAAAAGATTTGTATTCGAAGAAGAACACTATCTGGCATGTTAGAATGTAGGTGAGAAAGCATGCTTGATGATTATGAACTGTTGAGGAGAAGATGAACTGGTTCAGTGCAACTATTATCAAAATATTGGGAAAGTCATTTCAAAAGAAAAATCATTAATTGGAAATGTTCAAACGCTCATAAAAGTCAGGCAAACTTGTTTCATAAAAAGACTAGTGAAAGACGGTTTATCATCAAGGAATTGTGATTGAAGTCCAAAATTTTCCGTATAGATCCAGATCTTCAGTTTGGAGAGAACTTCAAGTCAAATGGGACAAGTGTTATGGGAAAGTTGAATTTGAATCATCATGCAACTTCTGTGAAGTTGAGCCACTCGAGATGCGGCCTAGCAAGAGATCTCTTTCTATAACACATGCATCACCTAGCAAGAGACCTTCTCCTCCAGACCTCACACTATTCAGCTACAAATTCAATTAGTATTGAGCCTTGTTGGAAAACTACTTTGTTTTTTTTTGTGTGTTTATACGCTACTTTGTTTTTTTAGTGTTTCAAAGTTTGATATCGGAGGTTTCTGTTATATCTTGATGAAAACACTTGAATAGTTGGGCATTTGTATCATCTGATGAGTTTTACTTTGGTTTGTAAATTGTAATGCATATCTGATCTGATTGTTATGATATAATGTGTGTATAAACTATAATCTCTCAGTCGCATACACACCCTCACATATGAACTGGATTCAACACATTTACTTTTACTCTAATTATTGTTATGCTATGTTGGAAGCTGAATGAAGAAGCACAACCAAGAGATCAAAGACATTTTAACTAAATTTTTGTTACAAGAATGGTTTGGTTCGGTTTGTCTGGGTGAACCGTGAGTTTCACGCGCGCTTAATTGTTTCCCGAAGCACCGAAATATCCGTGTTCCGCGAAGCAGACAATTATTTCACTATATTCGTTTCCCCTCTCCTAAATCGATCACCGTCACCGGCCTGCGCCATTGAAAAATTCCAGCAACCGGTGGTTTCCTCCGCTCCGATCCGATGTCGCTGCTCAATCAACTCTTCAACCGTGGTGTCTTTGGCGCGAAATGGTTTCTCCTTCTTCTTCTTCTTCTTCGATCCATTCCCCCACATTCCCGCTTCAAATTCTGCTCTTTCGCTGCTGCCTTTACGTTTTCTCCTTCTAGGATTTGGGTTTTGGATCGAATTAGAGTTTGTGTTCCTGATTGTTTAACTAAGTTTACTTTTGGCAGCAAGACATGCTTGAACTTGGCGATTGCTCGGATGAAATTGCTGCAAAACAAGAGGGATATGCAGCTCAAACACATGAAGAAGGAGATAGCTCAGTTCTTACAAGCTGGACAGGAACCCATCGCTCGAATCAGGGTCCTTCTACTTTCTGCCCATTTTGGTGAATCTAATTCCGATTGTCCTTATGCCATCTCTTACATTACGTTCTTGTATATGAAATTAGGTGGAGCATGTGATCAGAGAAATGAATTTATGGGCAGCCTATGAGATACTGGAGCTGTTCTGCGAGTTTGTACTTGCCCGTGTCCCAATCCTTGAAAGTCAAAAGTGAGTCTTTGAAATCTCATCTGTGATCAGAGTTTATCAAAAATGGATTAGATTCGTGACCCTGTTTATGCTCTGTGTGTGTGTGCCTCTTGGGTTTTTAATCCAATAGGGAATGCCCGAGAGAGCTGAGAGAAGCTATAGCTAGCATCGTCTTTGCTGCTCCAAGGTGCTCAGAAGTGCCTGACCTTCTTCAACTTAAGAATCTGTTTGGTACAAAGTATGGGAAAGAGTTTATCATGGTTTCCTCTGAGCTCCGTCCTGATTCTGGTGTCAATCGTACTGTTAGTAATACTACTTGGGGGGGATTTAGCTTCTTTCTTAATCATGTTTTATCCAGTGAAAAAATGCAGTCTTGTATGAAGTGCTAAGAACAGGTGGATTTGTTTTTTGATCTTTGGGCAGATCATTGAAAAGCTTTCTCCGGCTAGTCCATCGGGAGAGGCAAGGCTCAAGGTTTTGAAGGAAATCGCAAAGGAGTACAATTTGAATTGGGATTCTTCTGCCACAGAAGCAGAGTTCATGAAGAGCCATGAAGACTTACTGGTACCATTCTCTGGACCTGTATTTATCAGTTTTAGGGAAAGCTAGGTCGGTAACATTCACATCTTTTGTGAGCTTTTGATATAACTCAACTAGGAAAAAAAAAAATGGGTTTCCCCAAAATGGAAGTAACATGACATTGAATTCGAAACCAAAAACTCCAATTTAAAGAACTACTTGAATAAATTTGCTGTCCAACATTTATATTCGTCTCAATGGATCATTACTTTGTCTGGTAGATATTCAATAGGGCAAAAGGAACTATAAGTATATATATGTGCATCGCAATAAATTGATGATCTTTCCATCCCTAACGGTTACTGAATGTGAATGCCAAGTTTGGTTCAATGTATAGCTTTTCCTCGCAATTGTTTTAACTAAATCAATGTGTCATAAACCAAATGAGTTCCCTTTATATAGTTGATGGTTTGGCTCTAATGTCATTTGTAGGGTGGAGCTAAGCAAATACATGGGCAAGATAGTCTCTCTGAATCTCGACCATCACAACAAGGCCTCACGCAGTCTTCGGTTTCTAGGGAAGCTGGGATTCTGCCTGCAGAGGCCACACTGAGACTCGAGAAGCTTCAAGCTCAAAACCCAGCGACCAAAAACATGTCACCATCATCTAAGCTGACTCCAGCTTCGCAAGCGGCTCCTGACACTAGACGGGATCAGACTGATGTGATGGAGATAGCTCGGGCTGCTCTAGCAAGCGCTGACCGTGCAACAGCAGCTGCTCGTGCTGCAGCACAGCTAGTGAATGTCTCTTATGGGGCTGCACCCATAGTACTAGCAGCAGAAGGGAAGCCCTCAAACTTAATGTAGTATGCCACGTCACCATTTGTGAAAAAAAAATGGGAACTGTATTTGCTTTTCATACATAGAACTATAGAAAAGAAGGATAAAGATGTTTCCTTTGGGTGCATAGGTTTGGAAATGAGTATGCTGAAGAATATTGGTAGTTTACGCTGAGTTGTGTGACTTGTAAAATCTAAAAGTAACTAATCGAAATCGGTGATTTAAATATTCTTTCAAGAAAATGATTACCCTTGTCTATAATTAGTTGTAGTAAACTACTTTTAAGAATTGTAATCAGAATTCGATTATTTACCAAAATGTTGGTTTGTTAATCAGAAATACAATGTCATAATTCTTCTCTCACTAGATTTGAGACCAGCTTTTGATAATATGCACTTTGTGGCTGGTGTATAAACAAATGTAGATCGTAATTTCTCAAATGTAGTACCTAGGACTGAATCTCGGGTATTGTAACAACTTCATTTTAACTGTTGAGCCCTAACATAAGGCCATAAACTCATTTTTCCTTCATTTCAATTTTACACCCATTTTTTTATGTATGTTTTACCAAAATAATGTCAGCCACCTAAATAACCCTTAGTAAATTTTGTTACTGGATGAATTGGTTATGTATCAAAGTTTTTTTACCACGGTGGTCCATTTTTCTGGTAGAACATCTCTACAAAAACAATCATTAACTGTGTTTAAACTATTTTTTTGACGTTACGTTCCTGTTTATGGACACTGACTGGACAAAAAAGCAAGACTTTCTCTTTGTTTTTCTTTTCTCCATACCAAAACAAATTGAGTTGATTTCCGGGACAATTATCGCCATCAACGCGGGTTGGAGAGTTGCAAATGATGCATTGCGAAAGGCGTACGTGTAGAGGGTCAAAGAGATCGTGTTCATTCCTAACCATAATGTTCCAATAACCGGAATTACGCGGTTAGTACGAGACCGGAGGAGTTGTGTTTTGTCGTGAGGTGTTAGCTTCTGTTTATGACGTTTAATTTGGTATAATGATGTATATGTCACCCTCTTTCCTCGTTATTTTGATTTTTGTTTTTCCTTAAGAAAAGAGATAACGGTCCATTACTAATGTATATATTCTGGACGATTGACTTAAATAAGTCATTTGTAATTATTATATCTCTACTACTGAAACTCAGCATCTATCTCTTTTTACAATGTTGAAATCAGAAGTCAGAAGTTTCTGTTTAAAAACCCTTAAATCATATTATCAAACCGTAAATATCAAAACCTGACCCAGTAGTTTGGTTAGTTTGAACAGTATTTCCTTTCCCACCAAAGCTTTGAATATACTTATTGCATCAGTCAGTAATGGAGACAAGACAACAAGTATTCATCTTTTATAGTTCTAATTTATGCATAGGAGGATTTGCACCATTATATCGTGAAATCCCTGTTATTTCTTCACCGGCCATTAGGATAAATGTGCTAATTTGGAAAAACATTATTTATGTATTCCAAAACAAAAAGAAGAATATAATAATAATAATTGATTCACATCGTCATGGTCGTGTGTGTGGGAGAGAGAGAAAGGTCCACACACACTTTTTACGACTTGCCCCTTCGTATACACACAATCTCAACTCGTCCTTTCCAAATTACAATTTTGTCTCTTTCTCATGAACGTTTGGTCTATTTCTGGTCCAGGTGGGATTTCCACTATTTTTAATATCATTTTCCTACCTTTTTATAGTAAAAATCGAACCAATTTCTTTTTTTCTCTTTTTTTTGTTTTTGTTTTCCTTCACATCATAAGAAAGGAAAGCAAAAAAATATAGAATAATTGGGTACGTGCGGCGATTTTAATTTTCTCTGGGCGGCATTTTGAGTTTTTCAACACATTAAAAATAAATATAATGATAAATTCCTGTTAATATTCTTCTGGTGAACCACTCTCAAAGATATTTGTAGCAAAAGTAATGGAGGACACGTAGGGCCAAAGGATCAGACAGATGGTGTGTGTTTAAGCAACTGTTGTCTCTCTCTCTCTCTCTTCCATGTCCTAAACCCATGTCTCAATACACATTCTCTTCTTAAACTCCTCGTCTGATCTCTCCTTTAAATATCCGCTCTCTACGACCTTCACTCATACATGCATTGATATCATTCAAATGAAGAGGGAGAGAAAGAAGCAGAAACTGGAGGAGGAGAGGAAAGTGGAGGTGGTTGTGGTGGAGCAAGTTGATGCATTGGCTGCTGCTGCAACGGTGGCTGCGGCTGCGGCGGTGAAGGAGGAGGAGGAATTGTGGGGGATGAGACTCAATGCCGGAGATGTTGTGATCGACGAGTTGATGACGTGGAGCACCGTTTGGTTGCCTTCATGTTGGGACGTTGAGAAAAACTATGAAGCTTTGTTTGACGATGTTGTGTGGGACGATGATCTTTGGAACTTGAATACTTCTTCTCAGCTTCCTCCTTTAGATAACGTAGGACAAGATTGAAGTCGGGAGAGTCAAGTTTTTTCAATCGGTTCGGTTTTTGTATTGTTCAGTTTTAGTATGAACCATGCATATTGTAATCAAAATCAGTTGTTTTGATTTGGTATGGTTGTATTTTAAGTTAATATCATGATTTGTTTTATAGAAAAACATCCATGATATGATGGTTTTTTTCCATAAAGGAAAATCAAGTTGGTTTTGGTTTTGGTTTTTTCTTGGTTTAGAAGTTTTGGGTTTTCCGGTTAAGAAAATAAAACTCAAGAAACCGAACTAAGTTTGTCTATATATGCATGGTTTTTTATAATAAAAAATGCTGTACCCTATTAAATCGGTTGTAAACTCAAAAGAAAACAAAAACTTATATGTACCCGAGATGAATTTCTAGTTTGGTTTTTACAAAACCAAGCCAAACCGTTCTAGCTCGACTCCATCTTGATTCGTTTTAGATTTTCTATTGCCTACCCCTATATGGAAAACAGTTAACAGGTTATAATTATTATTGTCTTGTTGAAAATATGCCATAGCTGCTTTGGTATATATGGATAACAAGAAACAAATAAAAGTCTCTAATGAACTCCTAAACACGTTAGCTCCGGAAAAGGAGTGGATAGCGGCGAGAACATGACAGATTGTTCACATTTGGTCTCCATAGCCGAACATCCTTATAACTGGCTGGCTTTGGACACCGAGTTAGCTGAGTTGTTGTCCCTACGACCTCATTTTTTTCCCCTTTTTAAAACGTTTATCATATTCCACGTTGTCAAAATGGCCATGCGGTAACACACGCTTCTTCCAAATAACTTTTTTTTTTAGTTTTAAGCACCACCGAACCAACTTGGTGTCCCTCGAGGTATTCCCTCCTTCGTATGGATCTATTGGATTATTGTTTTCTTCTTATGTCAATACATTAACTTCTGAAACCATAAGTGAAGGAGGAACACTTAATTATATTCGTTTCCCTATAAAAGTACTGATCATACTTGTTCCTCCTTGTCCACCCGCAACAAACTTTTTTTCAACTGTCCTTATGTATGTACATTATATACAAGAAGTCTTTCTTACCTCTTTATCTAGTGACTATAAACTACAACAAAACAAAATCAAAATCAAAACTAAAAAAAAAAACGTCAAGAGTTAATAGGAGATGGATGTCACGTATATTATATATAAAAAAAACAATTCATCGAAGCAAACCATCGGATATAACAATTATATTAGATTAGGAAATTATGATTCGCTTATCACCTCTATCTTCTTCTGTTTTCAAACTATTTAACATATTTTTCACTTTTTAATATATTGATTTAAAAATTAATATACATTAGAATAAATCACAATTAAAAAAACTTTAACCGCCTCTCTCTCACAATGTTAAATCAAAAAGTTTATAAATTTTCCACCAATTCTTTACCGCTTTTTTTTACCACGCACACGTTGTACCACCACCAATTCTTTACAAAACATTTTTTTACGAAAACTATATAATATTAAAACAATAAAATATACTACTTCAACTGCATGTACACTGCACTAACTGCCAATTCTTTTTTGGCGGTACGGTGGTGACTCGTCTGTCGAACTTTAGAAAGATAACAGTTGTAGCATGTAGGCGTTGCTTGCTGTTCGTGAAAAGTCTTTCGTTCTTTTCCTTCTGATAGACTACGATGGTAGCGTCATGAATATTACCCTATCAAGTAAGGGTTACGTTCTAAGAAACATACACAAAAGTAGAAGACTTCCTAAACTGGTAGTAGAAGAAATAACATTTGAAGCCTAAAGAGTTAAAACTGAATAATAATATTTGGGGGAAAACGTAAGAGTAAGAAAGAAAAAAAGTCAAAAGAAATTGAGACAACGACAAGAAGAAAATGGCGAGTGAAGTTGCAAAGAAGACAAGTTTTGGTTTTTGTACTTCACTGCTTTCTCGATTTTTTTTTTTTCTTTTTGTAACATCTGATATTACTATATAATGTAAAGATAATACAAATAGTTCACCAACCAAATAGAAAGAGAGAAATACGAATTGAATGAACTATCAAAATCGTAAACCTTCTTTGAAAGAATATCAGCTGCCTGATTTCTTTCTCTATTAACATGACCTAAAGAACATAGAGAAAGATTACTTATCCAATAACCAATATCATAAAGTAAATTACCAATATCCATACTGTCTTCATTTTTGTTTATAATATTTACGAGTTCAAGATTATCCCCTACAAACCAAACATTTTTCCAGCCATGACTCCATACTTCTTGAACAACACACAAAAACCCACTTGCTTTCTCGATTATTTAGCAAAACCCGGTTATTTAGCTTTCTCGATTATTAACGTATTATATACATATCTTTTTTCGTTTAAAAATTCCCATTATTTAATTAAATTACAAATGAACTTATGAGCATCAAGTATTCCTCATGCTCTCAGTTTGATAAGAGTGATAGAAAGGAAGAAAATATCTCAAACACCAAAGTTTAAAGCACCACATTTTTAATAAGGGTTATGGTGAGTATAGTTTGACTGATTTTTTTTTCATCTCTTTTTTTTTTGTCTTTGTATAGTTTGATTGATTTATATCAATGTTTTAGTTCTTCTACAAGTTTTAAGATAGTTTTTACTTTTTCATTACTTTTTCTTTTTCCAATACAATTATATCAATAGAGTAAAAGTAAAAATAATATATAATCTAAAATATATTAATTAAAAACTAACATCAAACTTCAAAAAAATCCTAAAACAATATACAATAAAAAACGGAGGGAATATTTCCTATTAAAGTGCGATTTTAAAAAGACGGCCACCAATTAAACTAAAAAAAAAAAAAATGACTTAACTTTTGTTGTGTGAGCTCTCATGGACCTTCGAAGACGGGGTCTGATTACTGAATCGAATTATTGCTATTAGCCCAAATAGTTATAGACAATCTGAATTTGATATTAGTTCACATTTTCTGTTTTATTATTCTTATCGGACATACCCATGTGACCCATTGACTCCTTGACCAGACATATCCTGTTTGTCAAGAAATATATATTACATTTGTTTGACTACATTTTGATGAAGTTTTAACACTACCATATAGACTTTATACTAATTTGTTATATATTTCAAACTATTTACTAACACACGGTATTCTGTAACGACGAGATAGCTAATTTACATTATAGAAAATGTTTTGCGTGATTAAAAATCAACGTTGCTACTTCGCCTCCATCGATATCTTTTGTCTTGAACTTTGACCACCGATCGACACACTGAAACATAGGTTTTTAGCTTCTTCTTATTTGATAGTTGTGTTCCTATAGTGTTGTACATTTTCAATCTTTACATCTCCGTCGGGTAGCTAGAAATATCAAATTTTCCGCCTAATAAATTGCATCTATTTAATTCCCAACGCTACAGAAATCGCACCTATCTTGGGAATGTAACTCATGATTATTATCTTTTTTTTTTGCATACATTTGTTTTTGGACCACTCCATTATTCTATCAACGAATCAAAAATTTAAATTTGGACCATATTCTTTACAACCCGAGGAATAAACAGAGAATATATCGAAAAAACATGCATGTGGCAAGAAACACAAAAATCAGTAAATAAAAAACATAAATGAGAAAACGGAAGTTCTTAACTTCTTATATAAACTGCTCTTATGTAATAACAGACATATATAGTATATAGGTATTTCGTTGAGTATTTAAACGTAACAGCTATTTCTTATATATTTACAAAAAAGGAACAAAACAGAGACATAGAAAACGACAGTGACAGAGACTCACTTAAATTACAAATGAGTCAATGACATAGCAAGCCCGTCATCTACCGGCTCCGCCATCTTTATCTCATCAAAACACAGAGAGGGAGAGGGAGAGAGAGAGGGAGAGGGAGAGAGAGAGAGAGAGAGAGAGAGAGAGAGAGAGAGAGAGAGAGAGAGAGAGAGATGTCTAAGTATAACAATCTCTGACCTTCTTGTCATATCAAAGAAATATCTTTCACGTTTCTTGTTTCCTCATTGAAACATTCTCTTTCTTGTTCTTGATCTTCATTTTCTCTTCTGTATGGGTTGTCGAGATATTCTGTTGACTTTCTGCGTCGCTCTATTACTCATCTCTCTGTTCCAGATCTGGCTTTTCCGGGAAGGACAAGTCCGGGAACTGTCAGAAGAAGATCAGCTCCGAAAAGACGGAAGTACCCTCGTCTCCAAGAACAAGAAGGACGACAATGTTCAACGACTCTACCAAAGGTATTTCAAGGGGTCATCGTTTGGTCTAAACAACACCCACACTCGGTTTGAAGATTCCAATAGAAAGATCCCTAGTGCCCCAGATCCTCTCCACAACTAGTTAGTTTCTTTAGCTTCTATTCTTTAATTTTCTTCCATCTTCTTTGCGATACTCTCTTATTGTCCCAATTATCCTTGTTTTTTTACATCACTTTCTTTGTATGTATGCTTTAAATGAGGGCATTTTGGTTATCTCACATTGGATGATCATTAGTGTAAAGAATAATAAAAATCATGGCATGATGAGTTTGCTCTTTTACCAAGCTCCCTAAACTCATACATCTTTACAGTTTATTTATTTAAACCCCTTCACGTTTTTTCAGTAATCAGTTATGTATTTGCCTAACACCTTTATAAGGAAAACAATACTTATTTGTCTCTTGTTTATAGGTTTTGTCCTTGTCACCAGGGTCTTCTCTAGGTTTGTAAAGGTCCGCATTAAAAAAAATTAGACTATTTTTTTTATCGGTTATTCATTCATGTTATATACCTCTTCGTAAACTAATTTGATATGGTTCATTCATATTCGTGTTTTCTATTTGATCAACATTAAGTCATCATTAATTAACTCCCACAATATCATCAGTATCTTAAGTTTTTTAACATACATAGTTAACCTTTTATATAATTCTGTCAATACATCTTCTCATTATTCATTTTATCGCTATTTTTTCTGTATTTTATCATTGCATCGTCTCATTATTTATTTAGATCGTTTCTGTTCACAACAAGTACTTTTTGAGTTTTGCTTGGAGCAGTTTTCTGAAACATCAAATCCAAATTAGAACCATAGAAGGAAAAAAAAAATGCTGAATGAAAAAGTAGAGTGAAATTAGAAGAAAAAGGTGAAGGAATTAAGGTTTGGTCGTTGACACGAAAAAAGAAAAGAAAAGATTTGTTTGGGGTGTATATTCTTCTGCTTTATCACTCATCAAATCTGGGTAGATTCTCTGGGACTCCTTTGATGTTCTTTGTGGTTACATGCAGGAAAATAAGCACTCTTGCTAAGTATGATAATATCGTGATGAAGCATATTGTTTTTTTTTATATAGAAACATTGGTTTAATAGACTATATACCAGCTGGAAGATCGAGTTAATCCATCGTGTAGGAAAATATGTTGAAGGCTATAATCACTCACTAAGGTCAAAAGAGGGAATAGGAGAACAAATAATTGAATGACCAAAACCTCTACAAGCAAAAACAAAAGAGACGAAAGAAGCATTGAAGGAATAAGGTTGGGCAGCTAATAACATTAAGGGTTGTCGTGACGAAGGACCCACTTAAATTGACGTGATTTCACGAAAAGCTTTTTCGTCTCTCGATGTTAAAAAAAATTAGAGCCTTGATAAGGGAAAAATGAAAGTCTTCGACGAGACAGTAACCAAAAAAGGTCAACTAGAGTGTTGAACATCGCATCAGTAGTAATACTATAGCAGTAATAAGAACATATACAACATGATAAGGATATATATAACCATGCATGGGACATGACCACAAAAGAAAGAACCATGAACCATGCCATACGTGTGGTACTTGTAGCAATGTTTTAGGTCGAGGCGTGTGGGTGGATAGTGACTTTTGTGAATGGAAATGCGTTAGATGGGATCGGAGGAATTGGCCCAATGTCTCTGTGTCAAAGTAACCGAACAATTAATTGTATAGATTTAATACGTACCTAGATAAAGCCACAAACTACACAAATTTGATCTGATAGACATTAAAGAAAGTTAATTTTTAAGTTTTATTATCTTTTTTAGGGAAAAGGGGAATTTAAAATTTTTTCACAAAATCACATAATTTCTTCAGTTTCATAATAAGTGATGTTTTCGGATAATTTTTTTTTATATAATAAAATGATGTTCTTGTTAGTTTATACAATAAAACTAATTGAGTTTTTATGTTTTGTGATTATTTGTATTATGATGTTTGTTTTATATTCGTTAGATTGTGTTTAATTAGTTATATATTAACCGATGTTTTGTATAACTAAAAAAATGCAAGAACCGAAAAAACAAAATAAAATTATTTATGGGAAAAACTACTTACAATTAATACTTGAAGACGACTAGTTTGTGTGGATAACTTCTGATACAGTCGTACAGATACTGTCTCCGCATTTTCCTCCAACCTGTCGATCGCTCTATATATCCTCCAACTCCAACAACTCGTATTCTTTGGGCTTCTATGGTCTGGTTCAATATTGCATCTAGAGATAAAGCTGGTGTAACGTCGGTCACATCATCATGCATCATCTACAAGACATCCTTTTTATTAAGATATGTTCATTTTGCAAACTATTCTGTATCAGGACAAAAACGCAACTGCATACGTTTATTTAAAATCAAAGTGGACTACAAAGAGATATCGAGTGAGCATAGAAACACCTTCGGCCCGTGGCAATCCTCTGCTCAGTTGAGTAAAACCCCTTTCCAGTACACTTAGATAACAATTCAACTAAAACAATTCTCCATATATCGCTTAGAATCTTATCATGCCTCATCAACTAAAACAATTCTCCATCCAATTCAACACAGAAGACGAAAAGGGCCGAAGTGAGTCCCTTGACTAACTAAATGGGCTTTAATATATTTATGACTCAAAAGCTGAAATTCACTGGTTCAAGGAGTTTTTGTCTTAATTTTGTTTCGTTAGGCCCACGGCAAGAAACCATTGGGGGTAGGTGCAGATCATTAGTAATTTTTTTATAAGAAGACCATTAGTGGAAGGAAGAACTCACATAATCAGTAATCCACCTAAGGGGTCAATGTATCTATCTACTACATATTATTTGAGAAGTAACATTATTGAAAATAGTTGATTTGTCAACACTACAGCTAAAATTAGTGTTTTTAATTGATGACATGTAAATATGACATGTCAAACTTTCTAAAATAAATAAAATGTTTTGATTGGTTGAATTAAAAATTTAGAATTTATGGAATTAAAACATAAGTAAACTAGATTATTGTTATAACATTAAAATTAACAAATTTAAATTAACACAAAATAAAAGTTATTATAATTTCATAAAATAATTACGAAAAATTTTCAACAGTATATATATATATTATAATTTCATATGAAACAAAAAAATAATACTAAATTATCTAATAGAATAATAAAAATTCTATTTATTAATAATATTTGAAGTATGATATATTTTTATTTTGGAAAGTTATTAATTTACAAAATATATTAATAACATCTAAACAAGTTTTAAATAAACAAATTATTAAATAATACAATTTTAAATAAAATGCAATCATGATAAAAAAATAATTTAAAGAATAAAATGTTAAAAATAATAAAAAATAATCAACTTTTTGTTGATTTTTTTTTAAAACGTAATTTTAAATAATTTTTCTTTCCAAACCAATATTTACTAAATAAATAAAGTATATACTAATTATTATTTTATAATATTAATAGGATCATATATTTTTCTATAACTTTTATCATCTTTTTATTGTTGTTTTCTATAATGTACATAACTTATGTTATCATCTCATCTTATCTCTTATCATATTTTAAATAAAAATAAATTTTATATCATATGTATATATATATATACATAAATTTATTTTTATTGTATATCAATATTTTGAGAACATAAATAAAATAAAAAATAACAGAACGAAAGAATAAATTATAATAAGATGAAACAATATGAATAAGAAATAAAAATAGAAGTATATAAACATAAATCTCTCGCACTTTGTTTTACAAAGTCGCTTAAAAACTTTTTAATATCTAAGAGCCATATTCCAATTTTTTTACAAATAAGCATACAAACAATAAATATTAATTGTACATTAGTTGAAGTCACATGCAAACTTTTCCTTGCATGTATTTGTTAAGATTGATTACAGACTAATTTTTATTTTAATTATTATACAATTTATATTTTTTAAAAAAATATTTATCTATTCTAAGTGTAGTGAAATATTAAAACAATATATATACAAACATATCAATGTTTAGAAAAACGAATCAATATTTAAATATTGCAATTAACTATGTATATAAAAAAAATTATACACGCATATATGTGCGGACAACCACCTAGTTTTCCGTTATAAAGAGTGTGAATGGGAGGAACAGACTTGTGTGTCATCTTTTTGAATTCTTACTCATTTTGCATGTGTAAATAAAAATTTACGATCAAGAAAAAAAAAAAAAAGAAGTAGAGATATTATCGAAGGGTCGCCATGAAAATATCACAGGAAAAACCCGAAAAAGGGGAGATGCCAAAGGGGGGGAGTTTCCGTTTCTTATTTAAAAAACGAAGATGCCAAACGGGGTTTAATCAAAATGACGGTCCCTCAGGTTTTGGAGTTTACTCATTTTTATTTGAAGGTGTATTTTAATTTTTGAAAAGACTTTATAGAAGAGAGGAGAGGACCACACACATTTCATTTCAGTTTTCAGCCCAAAAAGCCAGCCATGAGCCACCCTTCTCATACTATGAATTAAATTATTACAAAATTCCAAAATTTCAATTTAATTTGGTGGGCCCAGTTGCCCTTTCAATCTTTGTAAATCTCTCTACTGATTTGGTCCAAATAAGATGTGATTTACAACTTTTTTGATTGATGAATTTATCAAAAATAAATTCTCTTTTAAAAAATTGTTAGTGTTGAGTATGTTTTTGTAATTAAACCTTTATTTTTTGGTAATTTAATTTACATTATATTCAAAAAAAAAATTTTTAAATAACTTTATATTGTCTTACAAATATGTATCAGTGCAAATGATTATGATATTTCATTAAAACATATATATCTATATGACTAGTGTTATGTTCTAATTTTCATAATTTTCAATATTTGTTGTATAAGAGTTTCACATATTGTATTGTATATATTATTTTTATTTAAATTTAATGTATAAAAATTGAAAGATTAATTTTTTACAAACACATAAAATAAATTGAAAATATATGTAAAACATTTATGTAACATGTAGTATTTAAATTAGTTTCAGACTTTCGACCAAACCTAAATTTTTTAACCATATCTACTGTTTTTTTAATTTTCGCCCAAAATATTTTATTTTATATTTTTCATTTATTTACTTTACTGTTTTTTTTTGACTAAAAATTTAATAGATATCAAATCAAAATTCTAAAATTAGTATACTTTACAAATATATGGTTTTCTGCATTGTACATATAATTATTTTTAATATTAATTTATATAATAATTTTTAATATAAATATAATAAATTAATAAATACTAACATATTATATAGAAAACAAGAATAACGTCGATACAATTTGAAGATTACTATTATAAAATTAGACTAATATATAAACACGTCAAAACAAATAAATAATATAACTTATCAATCTTATATAAAGAAAATAATTTTATCAAAATTTTAAAAATAAGTAAATAATAAAAAATAAAATTTATATAAATAAATCTAAACATAGAAATCGATAAAGAAAATGACGGAGATTTTACAATGTTTATAGAATTTTTTTTTTAGGGTTTACACCATCTTTTTATTATTATTTTCTTATAATCTGATAAATATATATACAATTATTTTTATAAAAAAATAGAAATTATCTTTTTGGATTAATCTAAATCAAGATATACACTTAAATTACATATATTTTAATTTTATTAAAATTAATTATTTTTTTCAACCAAACTATTTAAATTTTTGTTTTGTTATTTAGTATATTTACTTTTTCTACACAAAACTAATGTAAACTAAATTTCTAACTAATTAATTTCATTAAAGTTAATTATATAAATTATTATAAAAGGTACTTAAAAAAGTAACCAGTCATAATAACTTTTAATCATAATCGAACTTATTTCTTAATTAATAATAAGATTAATTATTAGTTTTATCTTAAAACTTCAAAAACATTGACGATGATAACTTTTAATAATCTCTAATGATAACTTCAAACTACCAAACTTTCAATGTCAGACTCAAAATCACCCAAAACTTTCAGTCTCTTTTATGAACCACAAAGTTTAAACTCTATCGGCCATTTCACTGCCATAAAATATATACAAAGTATTTATTCTTTATGTCCATTCTATCTATATATTATCCAGTAAACTGTAATAGAAGAAGCGGCAAATCGAAGGTTGACGTGAATATGAAATATAATATAAGTTACAAGGCCAATGCATCTCTAGGCTCCTTCGTGTGGACCCAACTCTCAGATACACAACAATATCCTACGATGTGACTTCTACATCTTTTAGTTGTGTAGTGTGTACTGTCTTTTTATGAATTGGACCTTTTTAAGTTTTTATCATTTATAAGAACAGAAACAAACAGATTTATTATAGCATTCAAAGTTTCTTTAATGTATCACCCATACTTTATTAACCTATTTTAAGTAGTAGCTTTAGATAATCATATTATAGCACTTCCATACAAATATTCTTTGAAGTTATCCATCCTACCAAAAATTTAAGCGCCACCAACAGTAACATTTCTTATGTACCACAGGTTTAAATCAATAATGGCTTGTTGATAATGATATATGAGGATATTTTTGTGTAGGAGACGCTGATAGATGATTGGTCCAGTATACGCTTGTGTGGTAGTTAGTTGCCAGTTTCATCTTCGCTAGAAACTAAAAAAAAAAAAGAATTGGACTACACAGAAAAATGCTACATATTGATAGGGACAATGCTTGGTTCATAGTGCCATTTTAGAATTGATTGTCAAGCTATTGCTATTTTGAAATCCCCATTTCTCTAACTTTGATTCTTTCCAAAGATTTTAAAACTTTTTTGTTTAATCGACTTTGATTTGTTTGGTTAAGCTTGGTGCAGTTATAATGTATTGGTGCCGATTTAGTTTTCATCCCCTTTGTTCTCTATACTCCCTCGTGTTCACCCCCTTTGTTCTCTAGTAGTAAAAGTAATGGTGCTGCTATACATGTATCAATAACAATCAGTTCATTTTTGGTTTGGAAAGTTATGTTTGTTTAATTTCGATTTGAGAGGTAAACATGTTTAACCTATAGAGTAATTTTAACAATCAAAATACCCTTTGTTCCTTACTTTTCACATTCTTAATACCATATATATATTACATCAGTGCTATATATCCTTACAAGGAAGTCACATTATTGGTTGTTCCTATATGTACATACCAAGTTCAGGAAGCACAACTAAGTGCGAAAAGACTTCTGTCATTACAGAAGAAAAAAGTTCACAAAACTTCAAAGTTTGTTTGGTTTGAGAAAAAAAGAGAGTACATCATAACATGAATACTCAGTAATTCACACCTAATGGTGATCAATTGGTAGCAGAAACAGCAAGCGATGCTCTCTTAACGAATCTTCCTTTCATTCGAGGTCTCTTCTCTGCATTCAGCTTACGCACCTCGTACCTTATCTTCTTCGAAAACAGCCTCGTCCTCCTCTTCTCTCTGTACCTCGAAACCCTAGCTTCTCTTCCTCCATCCCCAAACCCACTTGAAGGTAAACATCCACCTACGTACTGCTTTTGATGACTTTCCCCTCCATTTTCCACCTAAACACACGATCGGAAATTAAGTTATAAGAGACATACGGACCATTCTACTTATCTAACATACATACTAGCTAGAGAGTACTCGATCACTTTTGGTGACTGATTAAAGAATGAGTTTATATATATATATATAACATACCATGGAAACAGCTGGCCAGCCGCTAATGTCGATGTCTAGTTCCGGTGGCTCTCCCGATGTCCATGGTAGACCTTGCCCTCCCCAAGTGGATATCACCGAGTCGTAGTTTAATCTCAGCATCGGAGCATTCTTCTGCTCTTCTTTCTTCACCTTAATACATTCACCACTACTTTTGTCAGCATTCTTTAGCATTACCTCTTCTTCGTCTGTCTTGTGTGACTCGTAATCGAAGCTCAGCTCAAACGGCACCATCCCATCCCGTTCGTCCCGATCGTCATCATCGCCTAAGATTCCCATGTTTATGGCTTTTGTTTCTTCGATCTCGTCGTCTTTTTCGATTTTGAACATCTCCGAGTTAGATAACCCTAGCTCCTCCATGGCATAAGGCTCGTTCTCCAACCCGCGACCGAGTAGAGTCTCCACGTCAGCAGCGAACTCCTCAAGCTCCATGTCGGTCGGGAAAAACCCATTCAGACAACTCTCGGCGTTGTCTTCGTCTTCCTTGTCGCCAATCATCATCACACCGGTTCTCATCATAGGAAACTCGATCTTCGGCTCAACAACATCGTTTAAGAATTGCTCCGCCACAAACGGATCGAGAACCGGCACTTGACAGATCAGCTGCTCTTCTTGCTCGTAGCTATCCGTCTGGTCCTCCACACTGATCTCCGGCACCAAGTCATGGAAAATCGACGGATTGCTCTTCTTGCCAGATCCACGTGGAGTCCGAGGTTTACGAGTGAACCCGTGATGCCACGTGGCGGCTTCTTGCGGAGGAGAAGAAGAAGCTGAGTGGCTGTGGTTGCTATGCTTAGAGACCGCCGGGCTTGCCGTCTTCAAACGGACTCTCTCGTGCCGGCGAGCGAGAGGGTTCGCTGAGTGGACCAAACCGTCGCAAGGTTGGCAGAGAAAAGCATCGTCGGCGGCGCAGTACCACCGTGCCCGCCTCTTCACGCAGCTGTCGCAGGCCCTCGCCGTCTTGGCTCCAACAGCATTCGCCAAGCTTTTCATCGTTGTTACAATCTGGGGAAAACCAACATCAACAAACGAGAGAGCACGAGGGGACTTGACCTGAAATTCAAACCTCAATAATTGAATCTTTTATCAAATTATTGGATCTCTGCAAAAAGTTAGATTTGGTTTCCTCCTAGAAAAATGGGGTATGGTATTGCGCAATGAAGGGTTTGAGATTAAGTGGACAATGTCCCGCATGAAGTGCGTCCCCTTTTGTCAGTGGATTTTTAAGTAATAAAAAATTTATGCACTTTTTGGGTGTTTATGTTATCAATTGGGACCCGCGTTGAGGCCTTATCTGAATTTTGATTGGTTGAGTTCTGAAGATGATCCTCGATATACTGTTTTAATTGGTCAGCTTCTTTATCCAATGGATTTCTTGTGTGGTCCATCCTGTCGCTTTCCTTCCTCGTAATTTTTTTTCTCGATTTCGATTTGGCTTTTGTTTTATTGATGACTTTTTTGTGGTTTTTGTTATTTCTTTCTTTTTTGGTAGCAAAGGTTTCGGGGTTGTTTATATCAAGAACAAAAAAATTAAATGAATAAACTACATTATGACACTTATAATTAAAAAAAAAATCTGATATATACAAGGATCAATCTACAATTCTTTACATGCTGCTCCTTGCAAACCAAAAAATCCACTAGATAAAAATTCTTGTAACATAGAAGCATACACAGACCTTTGAACAAATGTGTGGTATATTCGGTTATAACATCCCATAATATTTACACTATAAATAAGCCATGATTATGCCCACGAATTTCGCTGAATAAATACTTTAGCTACGATACAACCAATACAGGAATTTAAGCTAGGTTAGATGAAAATTACGTTCTAGGCGCGTTTCTCATTTTCCGAAATGTATTAAAAATCGAAACTTTTGAAAATTCGTCGGAAACACAAAAAATCATGTTTCCTAAAAATTCTAGTTAGGAAACACTTTGAAAACTCGTTTTCATTTTAGAAACACGTGTTTCCATTCCGCAAATAAGATAAAAACTATTTTAAAAAATTTTTTGGAACAAATACATAATTATAAAAATGAGGTTAAGTGATTAATTTAATTATTCATAGTAAGTTAATAATTAACTAGCTAATAATTATTTTGATTTGGTAAATAAGAATAATTTTGGTATTACTGCGTTTGAAAATCGTTCTCTCGATAAATTAGAATTAGAAATAGTTTTGGTTAATGGAACTAATGAAATTGATAATAAAGAAAATCTTCTAAATTTTTGAATTTACATATTTTAATTTTTATTATTTAATAATAATATAAAAATTATATATTAGATTTTGTTGATTTAAATATTCTAATTATAATATAATTTAGATGTTTAATATATACGTTTCTAAAATATTTCTATTTCTATTTTTTTAAAAATAGAGTTTCCACATTTCGAAACGTTCTATTTCCACGTACTCATTTCCCTTTCCATGCAACATACAATTTAAGTCTTCATTTTTTGAGCAAAAAAAGAATTTAGGTCTTCATAGGAAACGAATATGGCTGGCTAGTCCTGGCCTTAGATAGGGCGGATCTACTTGTTAGAAGTTAGGGTACATGCCCCCATACTAACTTTACCAAATGTCTAATTGTACCACTATTTTGGTAAACTAAGTTAGCATAAAATCTGGTTAATTTTATTATTGGTTCCATATACTTTTATGGTTCTCTCTCATTTTTTTTTCTTTTTCATTTTTTGTAATTAATTACCTTATAACTAGGTGGTTGGCCCGCACATATGTGCATGCATAAAAATTTTCATTAAATTAATTAATAATAATATATATAATTTATAATAAATAATTGATTGACCTATTCAATAATATATTTGTATAAAATTTAAGTTTGTGAAAAAAATGATTTAATAGGTTTGAGAAATCGTATATAGCAAAAAACAAAATATATATAAAACTTAAAATACTTTAAAAACTATAAAATAAAATAAAATGATTCTTCGTTATTATTCGTTTTCTATTTTTATTCATAGTTTATATCTTTTTATAATTTTTTTTATCTTATTCTATCATATTTTGTCTCGTTTCTGGTTCGTAAATCTTGCTATATAATTGAAATACATTCACATATAATATAAACCTTTATTCTTTATTTATAGTAGGACAAGATAAGATGATAATAAAAGTAAAAAAAAAAAATTCTAAAAATCTGATTCCGCAAATTTTTTACAAACACTTGAGCTTGTAAATATTTTGCATAAGAGTTATTTAAAATAAGATTCCAAAAATCTCCAACAAAAAAAACCGATTTTGCAAATTTTGTGCCAAAAACATGAATAAGTAACTTTCGCACCAAAATAATTACATCAAAAAATCATCCAAAGACATTTTATCAAAATTTCAATTTTTAAATTTTCCTCGAAATAGTGAACCCACTAAAAAAATTCGCCAAAAATTTTACATTAAAAAGGTGATTTAAAAAACTACCAGTAAAAATTTGATTTCATGAATTTTCAGCCAAATAAGTGAAACAGTAAATTTTCCGCCAAAAAACTTACTTAAGAATATAATTTCAAAAAACTTCCATGAAAACCCGATTTCAGAAATATCTGCAAAAACATGAAATTGAAATTTTCTCACCAAAACATTTATTTCAGAGTATTTTCATTTGATTTCGTAATTTTTTGCCAAATATCGTGAATCCATTAATTTTATGCCAAAATTATGATATCAAAAAAAGTTCAGCTAAATAGGTTGCTACAAATTTTTCGCTTCTGTGACAAAAAATTTGTGTCGAAATATGATTTTAATTTTTTTTGACAATAATATATTTTTCTGGTCAAAAAGTTTGAGTATTTAAACTACATTTTCAAAATTTTAACATCAAATTTTATTTATAAATTAAATAATATCATGTTATAAGCCATGTATACTAAAAGCTGGCATGTCACAATTACATCATCATTACACATCATCACTTCCATGTCACATTAAAATTGTTTAAACTAAAGATATTAACCAATCAAATTAAAACAAATCAGCAATTTTCATTAAACTACATTTTCAATTAATAGATAGAAGATCTGATTTATTTCATTTCTTACTGATATCTTTCATTGAAATGTTGTTAACTGAAAATATTGATTGATAAGATTTTTCATTACAGTTTCTAAAGTTGGGGGTGGGACTCATCGAGTTGCATAAGATGCATTCGATTTGCTAGGCTAAAAATGTTTGGGCTGAACTCAAATTTATGTGGGCTGATAATTGTTGAAAGAATTCTGGAAACGAACTTTACTTTTAAACTTTTAAATTCTAATAGGCGATTTCCTTATTGGAATAAAACGGGGCGAATCAACCCGCCTTGAGATTGAGAATGTTGATTACTGTTTAATTGAAATGTTGTTAACATCACTTTTTGTTAACTGATGTTAAAAAAATAAGTATCGAAGTGATGTTAAAATTTTACATCTATTTTTTCATCAGTTTGTTGATGCAATTTAAAATAAATTAGTATTATTAGCGCCAAATAAATCAGTAATTATAATAATTGATGCTAAACCACATAGTATTTAATATCATTTGTTAATAGTAGTAATTTTTAAAAGTGTCAATTGTTGTAAAAAAAAAGTGCCAATTTTTTTTGACAGTTTATAGTTGATGATATACAGTACTAACTTATTTATTGTATTGTGTTCATTCCAACATTCAAGTCTCATAATGACCCTAATCTAAATAGTTTTTGGAATTCGCAAGTGCACTCAATGCAGATAGTCACTTGATTATTGAAATTTTGTTTTTTTGAGATAAAGTTATTTAGAAGAACAAGAACCATGGTGAAAATGATTATTATATAAAGTGTTGGTTTCAAGTTAAAAAAAAAAAAAAAACAATGGTCAAAATGCTTAGAACAGCTATAAAAGCAAATGAAGATGGGTTGAGAGACTTTGGAAGTTCTCCACTTTTAATTACTCCCTCCATTTTTGTTTATAGGATGTTTTAAAAGATTTTGTTTTTGCTTAAAATTAGATGATGTTTTCAGAAATTAATGTAAAAATAATTGTTTTAATTATTTAAATTCTGTATATTATTTTTATTGTTTAAATTGTTTTGGAATTAATGTTTTATTTGGAAAAAGAAAAAATTAATTAATTTCTTAAGTTATGTGCAAAACTTTAAACATTTTATATAAAAAAATAGAGGAAGTATTATTTGCTTCTATTTTGAAATCTTTATGACTTTAATTTGAATGCACTATAGGATTTTACTCGTTTATCCGTGGCATTCTTGTCGTGTTAGACAGTTACATGTTTGTACGAGAAAAGGGATAGATACTGAAACCAAACTGAAAGAAAAACTAAAAAGAGTAAAGAAAATGATTTTACTTTACGGTTCTCACCAGAATTTCCGTGCGTAAGTCAAATCGGATTTAAGTATGCTATCAATTCTGACAACTGTACGTATGACCACATGGCGCCTATTACCCTTATTTATTACAGATCTCTTATTGGCCAAATCCAAAGAAGCTTCTTTAAGTATGTATTTATTTTGCTTACTCTGTTCTCATTTTTATACTAGCCTTTATCACCGCAAGAATTTTATATATAACCAGATCAGCAGTTTCAAGGAAATAAATAGTAACAAAATTTAAATTTTAAGTATTTTTTGAATCATCGCAAATTACATCACGATAAACTAAAAAAGAAAAGAAAAAGTAATAAATACTCCAAATGAAAAAGCAGAGATGTAAAGTAGTAACGCAAATATAAACATTTATTGGTATTTTGTCATCTTTTTCACTTCTCTTTATTATTTTCCAAATCTTTTAAACAAATTAGAGAAGAGTATATATAAAATTCTAACCACACTAGGAGATCGCTTGTTCATAGTTCATAGTTTGACAACTTCAGGGATAAAGACAGGGTATCGGTCGATACAATCCGACCACGCTCCCTCCGTTGGTGACTTGATCGTACGGTTACATTTCCAAACGGCGGAGTTGCATTTGAATCCACTCCCGAACGCGATCTGCCACACCCTATCGCCTCTTTTCATCCTCCCTTTAGCCTCTATGTAGCTAAGCTCATACCACAGCGAAGAAGACGACGTGTTACCAAACCTATGTAACGTCATCCTCGAGGCTTCCACGTGTTCTCCCGACAGCTGTAGGCTCTTTTGCAGCTCGTCGATCACTGCTCTTCCTCCTGCGTGGATGCAGAAATGCTCGAAGGCCATCTTGAAATCCGGTATGTACGGTTTCCACTTTGGATTAAAGATTTTACGTCCGATTAGTGATACGAGGAAGAGAAGCTGTTCCGATGCCGGTAGGACCAGAGGACCTATTCAATCCAATTAATACTTGTGTTAATTCAAGAAATAAAAAATAAAACTCATAATAAAACTCTTAGACAATTAAAAACAATTTCAAAATCACGACAAATTAATCTTCCATTGTTTATTTGTGTTTATTTTTACATTCTAAATTTGTATAGGTTCTTGGTCGTGATGCATAACTATTTTGTTCTTGTCATGGTCCAACAAGTGTATATTTATTTCATATAACCCACAATTTTTCAACAAAAAAAAAGCAAATTTTATTCTTTTAAAAACTCAAAATATTTACTTTGAATTGAAGGCACTACGTTTGAACCAATCCGACTGTTGTCATGAATTATATAGTTAGAAAAAATGATCATAGTTGTAATTGGATATTGTTAGTTACCTATGGTGGTGATGTTAGACTTCAAGGCTTCTCCGGCGATGGCCATGAGATCTTTAGACAGATTGATTCCGACGTGGCCTTCGTTGTCTTCCTGCTCGTAGACGCAATAGTAGGACTTGTCTTCCGCACCCTTGTGGGTCCTGACAAGGTGGCAAAGCTTATACTTAGCCCGCCACCTGTCGGATCTCCGGTTAGAGAGGAGAATAGCCGCTGCGCCCATGCGGAAGAGGCAATTTGGGAGCAACATAGCTCTCTCTTTGCCTTGGTAATAATTAGGAGTAATGATCTCAGTGCTAACTATGACTGCGTTGGAGTTAGGATGGACTTGTAACAAGTCACGTGCTACGTCCACGGAGATAAGACCGGCGCTGCAACCCATCCCGGAAAGGTTAAAGCTCTTGACGTTACTCCTGAGCTTGTACTTGTTGATAACCATGGCGGAGAGAGAAGGCGTTGGTGAGAAGAGAGAGCAATTAACAACGAGGATGTCGATGTCTTTCGGTTTGAGACCTGTTTTCTTGAAGAGATCTTCCATGGCAGTGAAAATAACCATTTCTGCTTCGCTTCTTGAGGATTCCATGGAAGGAGTTGGAGGGATGTAATGAATAGCTGGAGGGAGACAAGTCTCTTCTCCGAGTCCTGATCGTTCGAGGATTCTCATTTGGAACTCAACGCTCTTGGGATTGTCTTTGAGGATGAGACGAGAGTGTTCCATGAACGTAGCGAACGGGACACGGCACGTGACGGGAGGTTTGAAGCAAGAGTAGTCTACAAGGTAGACGGTGCGTGGCTTGGACATGAAGTAAACGGTTGAAACGAATATGATGAGGAAAGAGGAACAAAGGATGTGAAGGGGATCGAAGTGGAGTGAGTTCAAGTGGTTGAGGAGCTCTTTTGGACCCATTCGAAAAAACTCTACGGCGATGTATGCTATGATTGGAATCAGAAGCAGGGTAAGGAAGTGGTTTACGAGGTATTGGTAACCGAGTTTCACGTACTTGTGCTTCCCGGAGCTCGAGAAATCGGGCATTTTGGGAGGCATCGTAAAGGGTTTATGCCTATGAGATTTGGAGGGGCTAAAAGGAAAGAAGAAAAGGTTTGTGATATAAAGGAGAAACAGAGCGTTGAGAGGAGTTAATGTATGGACTCAAGTCTCACATCACTCAACGCTCTCTCTCTCTCTCGCCACCCATTTCTATTAAATTTTGTTTTTTTTTGTTGTTTGATCAACGTTTTTCTTTGTTTTACTATATGATACATTTACCAATCTATTTCGTTGTTCTTTATTTCCACTTTTCCAGTTGTAGACAGACCAACGTCATTTATGGAGCAAATGATTAAGTGGTAAAGACTTTTTACCCACTGTGCTCACAATCATCTGATCATCGTTCCTGGAATCTTTTTTCCTAAAAAGAATATGTAAAAAAGATATGAGATGTGTCAGTTATGTTCGTTTTTATGGATACCAATGTGTTTGGAAATAAAAAGTTCACACCAAAAAGGTTACGCAGCAAAGTACAATGAAATGTGTAGTCTGAAATTAACTCTCAGTTAAATCGGACCCGTAAAAGTCTTTTTTTTTTAGCATGTACAAAACCCATGTATTTCTATTTGGTAAGGCACATATTCGATATATTTTAACCGAGCAAAACAAAAATAAAATAAATATTATTTCAAAAAATCAGGATATTAATTTTCGCTAACGTGAAGAATTTGTTATTTGCTTTTCAAATTTCCATACTTGGAAAAAAGCAAATAAAAACTTGTCACTGAAGCATTTGTTCACGTCAAGTCTGTCACATGACTGATTTAGACTTATAAGCCAGTCAATAATGTCTACTCAATGAACCTCGATTTTCATGTATATAACTTTTGATAGTACACATTGGAACTACGTATCGTTTTATTGAATTGAGTTAGTGAATTAACGTTTTAGCAGTTTTTACGGCTTTAAATGGTTGTATATATCCGATGGCGATATCTCCAAAACCGCCTCAGATCAACGCCGGTTAACGACAACAACAAGGAATTTGGTCGTTACGTTTATTTTTGGGGGGGTTTCAAACGTCGAAGTAATATGATTATAGAAGTATCATAGACTCGTAGTGTAATATAAAACCTCAACAAAATCAGAGATAATAGTATTCATTATATAGTTGGTGTAGACTCTGGACTCACTATACATACACTATACACATACACGTGTATACACTAACAATGGTCCTCTTTTAAACGGACAATGAGTATATTAATACAAAATTAAATCTATATGGTGTCGGACCAACCAGCGGCTAACCATATTTTTCCTTTAACAATAAATAAATAAGTACACACAGCACGTTACAGATTACACTTATTTAAAAAGAAAAGTCTATCGACTTTGGGATTAATAAAGGAATTAGTTGCCAACTCTCAACTATATGACAGTTTAGTATTTATTATATATAGTTTTCATTTAAATAAGTTAATCTCCAGACTCCAGGATTGCTTTCCGTTGGAATGTTGACAAGTCCATTGTTGTATGCATCTATTTTTTTCACTATCTTTCTAGTCTCCACACATATATACTCCGAAAATAATACTTTCAAAATCAGTTAAGAAATTTGTGGAAGTGGAACCTTGTTGCATCGTTGTTTTAGCTTGATTTAGGTTATGGCCATTGTATACGTTGTGTGTATATGATAGATATCCTTTTCTATGCAAAGATGATAGTTTAGAGTTTACGTAAATATTTGAGAATACATATGTGGTAAAATTATTAAATTACTTTTAATATTTTATCTATTCCTAATAGAATGTTTTTTTTAGATATTTCTAGACGTATTACTTTTACTAAATATTTTTTGTTTGTTTTTTAATTGATATAATGTTCCATTGTCGAGTTTCTAATGAATATATTTAAGTGATACAACACGCATCATGATTAACGATAACATTCCACATATTTGATACTCTGAAGTTAAGCTATATATGCTTTAATTTACAATTTTTTTTTTCCAAATATCCGTCAGTAGTTTAATCTTACAAAATGAAATGCATTTATATATAAAAACTACAAAATCAATCATGTTGAAACAAAAAAAACACAAAAAATCAAATTATTATAAACCAAAAGAGTATATGATAGAATTGTTTTAAAAATGTGGATATGAAACTTACCGTGTCAATGAATATTTAATTTTTTCATGAAAATATTGTTGTTATTTTACATTTAGGTATTTAACAATTTGATGTTTGTGATAATCACCCACAGCATGGGCCGGCAACAACTTCTTTCTGGTTTGTATGTTGAGATGTATCAAATGTCAATACATATAATGATATATACACTCTCCATGTTTCATTTTAATTTATGCTAAAGAATTTTGCACACAGATTGATATAAATAATAAAAAATTATATTATTTTTGCATTGCAAACTATTAAACGTCACTTAAACATTTTATTTGTCTAAAACATCACTCTACTTATAATACAATAGAGGAAGTACTTATTAACTCTTAAGTTTATTTAAATATATTTGGTTATTATAACCCGTCCATAATCAAGAGCTTGTCAATACACTAATGAAGAATATAGGGAGATGGGCCTTTGGCTTTTGGTGCTTTGGATTTTGATGGTGCAGCTGCAGTTGCACTCTTTGCTTTGGTAGGTGAACTCTTGGCCTTGGCAGGTGGACTCTTTGCTTTTGCTTTTGCTTTGGATTTGGATGGTGCAGGTGCTTTGAGTCCCATTTTAGTAGCAACTGGTGCAACGGCTGCTGTAGTCTTGTCTTTGATTCTGGTGAGAAGCGGTGCAGGTGCTGGTGCCCTGCTTTCTCTGAGTGGTTTAGCCCCGTTTGCTATTGTGATGGCCATAACCACCACTAGTACAACAAAAAGCACACTCTTTGCCTTGCCTAAACTCACCATCTTTTTATTCTCTTTTATTTATTGGTTTTCTTGTTTTTTTTTTCTTTTCTTTGCTCTTTTTTTTTGTTGTTTTTGTTTTTTTGTGGTTTGGTCTAATGAGTCGAGAGTCCGTTTTATAGAGGAGCAAAAGGAACTTGAAAACCACGAACTCATACCTACCTAAAAATAGTATTGACCATTGGTTTTAAAGATATTATGAGAAAATCATGCACGATCCTTTAGACTTGGTGCGTTTTCTATTTATGGTGTTTATTCCTTTTGGTTACACTAAAATAAATATTGAAAGTTGTGTTTATTTTACTCTAAAATAATCAAGCCAATATTTTTTTCTAATGTAAACGATCAATTACTAGATTACTATTAATACTATCTATTACAAATATTACAAATATTTTTTAATAATGTTCTATCTTCCATTTTCCAACACTTCTATTTACAACACAGGCACGATAAGAAAAAATATATACTATCTGTTGATCTCAGACATTATGCTTTCTGAGAATGTTGAAACTATTGATGTTATTTTACATTTACGTATTTAACAATCTGATTTATTGTCGGAAAAGTTATTGAAAAAGTCTTCTTATTTTTTTTGGGGGGGGGTTCTACATAGTATTTACAAAACTAATGATATAGTTGATTTAATACGAAACTAGTCCATTTTATACTATATATTAAATTTAACTTCGACAACTGTAGTTTTCAAAAAGTCAACCAAAAACCGCAACCTTAACCCGGATTGGGGATCGAATAATTTAGTTTCTCATTCCATATAACAATACAGGGGAAAAAGAGCCAAAGAAAATGGCAGAGTACTTGGTTACTGGAGGAACCAGCTTTATAGCATCTCACGTTGTTAAGGCACTTCTCGACTTGGGTCATTCCGTAAGAACAACTGTTAGGGACTCATCAGGTACTTTGTTTTCTCACAAAGATTCCGAGGCTTGGTCCAACAGTTTTGATTTGTTAGTATTGAAATGGCCGTCTCCTTTCCCTTGTGGTTCGTTTTTATCATTCCGTAAAGATGAAGAGAAGGTGAGTTTTTTGTGGGAGTTGAAAGGAGCAAAAGAAAGGTTGAAGATTCACGAAGCCGATTTAACAGTTGAAGGAAGCTTTAATGAGGCAGTCTTCGGTGTTGATGGAGTCTTCCACATCGCCTCTCGGGTTTCTGTTTGTCTTAACGACAACGATCTGGTCACACACATTTTACCTTTATTGAAATAATAATCTCCTTTTGGGTTTTAGACTAATTTTGCTCCATAGTACTTGGTCCGCAAGATAACATTCTGTATCTAATAGCTGATGTTATTGATGCTTTTTATTTTTATTTTTCCTCAGGAGACGTTGATGGAATCTGACGTGAGTGGAACAAGGAATTTAATGAACTCTTGTGAAAAATCCAGAAACACTGTGAAAAGGATTGTTCTCACGTCCTCTTCAACCTCAGTCCGTTACCGTTTTGACGCAACAAAAGTCTCTCCACTTAACGAATCTCATTGGAGCGATCTCGACTACTGCAAACGCTTCAAAGTAAGAAACATATATTTTAACTGGCCAAATGCATTGACTGATTGATGAATGTCTGAAAATGTACGTAGATATGGTATGGTTACGTAAAGACTTTATGGGAGAAAGAAGCTTGGAAGATCGCAGACGAGAAGAAGCTAAACCTAGTGGTGGTTATCCCTTCATTTTGTATCGGTCCGATACTTAGTCCAAAACCCACAAGCTCCCCTCTAGTTTTGCTGTCCATTGTCAAAGGTTTTAGAGATAATCTATTCACTTTCACAAATTTACATCAATTTGGTGTTGCAACAAATCCGAGTTCCGAGCTGATCTTGATTTGAGTCATTTGACTTTAGGTGTTCGTGGAGAATACCCTAATTTCAGAGGAGGGTTTGTGCACATAGACGATGTAGTTGCTGCACAAATCTTAGCAATGGAAGAGCCTAAGGCATCAGGAAGAATCATATGTTCTTCGAGTTCGGTGGCTCACTGGTCAGAGATCATTGCAATGCTAAGAGCCAAATACCCAATATACCCATATGAGACCAAGTACTATATATATATCGTCTGCTTTTACACGCCCCACTTTAGGATTTGAGACTTGTTTTGACAAATGTTTGATTTATGCGTTTGCACAAATAAAACTGTTTCAGGTGCGGTAGTGAAGAAGGGAGAGATATGCCTCATAGCTTGGACACAAGAAAGATACGTGATCTTGGCTTTGCGTCTTTCAAGTCATTAGCTGAGATGTTCGATGACTGCATCAAGTGTTTCCAAGACAAGAGTCTACTCTGAAACCGTTATTGGGAATAAAAAAAAGTGATCAACACTTACTATGTGAATCTGTTGGAATATGATTCAGACACCCAACTTTTCTTATATCTCGTTCATGCCTTGTTGAGTTTCTTTGGACTGAGTAGTGTGGGATTGTTGTTAACGAATATATCACTTAAAATAAAACAATTTTTTTATTATCTAAAATATCACTTACAATCAAATAGAGGAAGTACTTATTAACTCTTAAGTTTTATTTAAAATATTAGGCTTTTATATAACCCGTCTATAATTAAGAGCTTGTCAATACACTAATAATCTGTTCCATCAGAAACCCGTTAATATCCTTTGGCAGATGATGGGCCTTTGGCTTTTGCTGCTTTGGATTTTGATGGTGCAGCTGTAGTTGCACTCTTTTCTTTGGTAGGTGAACTCTTTGCTTTGGTAGATGGACTCTTTGCTTTTGCTTTGGATTTGGATGGTGCAGGTGCTTTGAGTCCCATTTTAGTAGCAACTGGTGCAACCGCTGCTGTAGTCTTGTCTTTGATTCTGGTGAGAAGTGGTGCAGGTGCTGGTGCCTTGACTTCTTTGAGTGGTTTAGCTCCATTTGCTATTGTGATGGCCATAACCACCACTAGTACTACAAAAAGCACACTCTTTGCCTTGCCTAAACTCACCATTTTTTTATTCTCTTAAATTTATTGGTTTTCTTGTTATTTTTTTTTCTTTTCTTTGCTCTTTTTTTTTGTTGTTTTTGTTTTTTTGTGGGTTGGTCTAATGAGTCGAGAGTCCGTTTTATAGAGGAGCAAAAGGAACTTGAAAACCACAAACATCCTAGCTACCTAAAAATAGTATTGAGTCTATTGACCATTATATTTTAGGGTATTATGAGAAAATCATGCACGATCCTTTAGACCTGGTGCGTTTTCTATTTATGGTGTTTATTCCTTTTGGTTACCCTAAATAAATCATTGAAAGTTATATTTATTTTACTCTTAAATAACTAAGCCAATAAAATATACATATTTTTTTTTGTTCGATTTTATGTAAGCGATAAAATTACTAGATACTACTCTTTATTATACAAATATTATTTGAATTTTTTTACACATTATTATCTCCCAAGTTTGGTGCAACTCAACTAACTTCGCAAAAGGAAAGAAAGACATGAGCTTTAGATTCGTTTCTTGCGAATCCAACAATCATGTACGACTTTTTTGGTTTTAATTTACAGATTTTTTTTACTTAAGAACATGTCATTAATTCATTTTTTTAATGAGACACAATAGTAGAATCTATAAAATCAACAATCATCTTATCATACAAACGTGATGCTTGGTCCGCAAAAATAACATATTGCTCCTCCCTAGGTTATCTCCGATATCAAAAAGCTGATGCTTTTTTTTATTTTCCCTTGATGGAATCTGACATACAGTAAGTGGAATAAGGAATTTAATGAACTCTTGTGAAAAATCTAGAAACACTGTGAAAAGGATTGTTCTCACATCCTCTTCAACCTCAGTCCGCTACCGTTTTGGCGCCACAAAAGTCTCTCCACTTAACGAATCTCATTGGAGCGATCGTGACTACTGCAAACACTTCAAAGTAAGAAACTTTCTTCACCGTTACATCTATTTTAGTTGGCCAAATTCATTCTCTTATTGATGAATGTATGAAAATGTATGTAGATATTGTATGGTTGTATAAAGACTAAAGAAGCTCAAAACCCTTCATTTTGTATCAGTCCAAAACTTTGTCCAAAACCCTACAAGCTCTCCTCTAGTTTTGCTGTCCATTGTCAAAGCTTTAGAGATAATCTATTCACTTCCACAAACTCACACCAATTTGGTGTGGCACAAATTTCAATATCCAAATTTTAGTGGTTAGATTCTCATTCCTGATGAGACAAGCAAACATCATAAGAGAAGGTAGGAGGATACGAAGAGACAAAAGAGCTGAACGAAGAACCAACACATAAAGAAATAGATAAAACAGATTAAGAAAGATGAGATCATGTGAAAGCCAACATCCAAAGGAGATCAAAACACAATATCATACGTTGTTCTACATTCTTATCATCCATGTTCTTGTGTGCAAACAGCAAATGAAACAGAGACTGCACAGTTTGTCTGTCTTAATAGTAACGACTTTGATTAGAACAAGATGAAACCGATAAAAGCTGCAAAGCTTCAGGGGCAAGCGATGTTGAGAGGAGGCTCCAGTTGATCAGCAAAGACAAACTTAAAATCATCAAGCTCAAGTTCTCCATCTGTGAAATCGTAGTCAGGCAGATCACTGTTTTCAAACCCAGAGATGTTAATACCATCATCGAGCAAAGAGAAATCATCCAGTAGATAGCGAGAGTCCTCATCCGTAAGGAGACAATCAAAGTCTAGCTCCGCACCATTAGCGCCAGAAGCCGTAGACTCCTCTTCTCCAGCTAAGAAGCTCAGATCAGGGATCTCCAGATCAGAAAACTCGCAGAGCACTTCCTTCGTTGAATCACCACAAGCAGCAACATCCTCCTTAAGAGACATCTTTGCTTTCGACAAACTGACACAAGGAGCAGACACAGATGGAGGAGAAGGAGAACTCAAGCACTGGCTGTTCACTGATGCAACCGACGAGGAAACAGCAGGACAGGAAGAGGCCAGTGCATCATACTCGACTTTCTTGTCAGCATAAGCCTTCTCAGCGTCTTCAAGAGTCTCATAAGTACCCAACCAAGTTCTAGTTTTAGTGGTTGGGTTTCTAATCTCTGCAGACCATTTGCCTGATTTTCTCTGCCTAATTCCCACAGGCTTGTTATATTGCGTAGGAGATTTCTTTCTATAAGCTTCGACACCATTGCAGCGATCTAGACAGCTCTGGGACAACTGAGAAGGGAGGTAAACCTCATGGACAATACGCTTTACCTTTGGAGATTTAACTAACTCTATCCACTCGTCGCTAGAGGAATCATCAGTAGCATAAGGATCACTGACAACAATACGGACTTTTCTCATCAGAGTGTCTCTCTTTGGTTTCGTACAGGAGGAGTTCATCATATCTGATTCACACTTCAAACACCAAGAAAACAGCAAAAACCCACTAAAAACCTCTGATCAAAACTGCTGATTCAGAGTTTTGTAAGAAATCTCTAAGCTTTTTGTTGTTTCAGCGAACTATGAAAAAGGGTAGTTTTTGCTTTTTGTGGAAACCCCCAAATACTTCAACACCAGAACAAGTCCTGCAGTGGGAATCAAAACCCAGAACCAATCAGGTTCTTCCTGAAGAAGATACACACAGGAGATGAAGAAGAGAGAGGAAAGGCCATACCTTTTAGGTCTTAAGCCCATGGAAATGGATGGAACCTCCAGAACAAGCCTCTGCTTGGAGCAGAAGCGAAGAGCGTTAAGAACAGTCGTCAGACCAAAGAACAAAGCAGAGGAGGTAGAAGACGATCGAATCGGGAAGGAGATGTGGAACAGAGACAAAATCAAAGCCGATTCAGACACAGCCGACATAAATCCGCGTTACAAACGCCTTTTGTTATTCCAATTACGTCTTAGAAACCCCAAAAATCTCACCTTCACTTGTTCCTGTTCTTCAAAAGACACAAGAACCCAGAAAGATAAGTGACAAACACTCAGCAGATAAAACTCCAGAGAAAGTAAAGCCTAAAACCCTTGAGGAAATCTAAGGCGGTGATCTTTAAATTCCGATTGAAAGACGACGCAGATCTTTAGAAAGAGAGAAAAAAACACATAAATTACAGTGACGGAGAAGAATTTTATTCAATTAATCGATGTGTTCATAGAGAAATGTAGAGAGGTCGCGGAGGAAAAAACAAAAATGTTTCACCTACCTTGTGTGAGCTTACTCTGAACTTCTCTATCTCTCAGGATAAAGCTTTTCTACCTCTTTATATTCTGTTATGTTAACTCTCCGATATACCCGCAGTTATTATCTCGTTTTCACTCTATTACACTGGTCTAAAGAGTTCTTTTTTTTTTTTTTTGCTAGATAGAATAGAACCACTCAAACAAAAAAGTTACACGAATTTGAAAAAAATACCTTTTCTCTGATCATATTTTATGGACTAGTAATTTCATATTGTTCGATTTTTATTATATGTAAGTAAAGTTAGTGAGATAAGAAGTACCTTTGCGGCTTTATTTAAAGCTATTTAAATCAAAGAACCATCAAATTATGCAATGTCATTTTTTAAAGTAGTTAGTTTTAAAATTTTAAATAAAAGAATTTTGTTAAGAAATTAGTGTTATATGAGAATTTAGATGTAAAATGAAAAAAAAAAAACCTTTATTTTGTGAATTCACATGTTATTACCAAATCATTTATCATTGTGTTTATTATATAAGATATTAAAGCGAAAAAATAAGTTTAAAATATACATAAATTATAATTTATCTTAGCTTTATTTAGTATCTTTTAATATTTAATTAAAACTAAATTAACCAATTAAAAGTATTGCATATTAATAATGGTCACAAACATCAAATTAAATTAAATAAGGATTAGGAACACAATTTGTTTATAAGAAATACACGAACCAGTTGGTGACACGAAGGAGAGATCAGCTATATCAAGTGGAGGTGAATCCGCCTTAGGTTAGTACGGAAGGGTCTGGTGGCTCAGGAAGCATCAAATGCATAGCATAGTCATTAGTCACCCTCATGACCATTGTTATGGCGTGTATTAGGTTCGTCTACAATCCCAAGGATCATATATCATTGAATCTAATAATCAACTGTAAGATCATTTATAGTTTTTAACAGCAGAAAGAAAGTAAAGCCTAGTTAAAAAGCTTTGTGACTAGATTTTTTCTTCCGCTTTAGGTGTTTTTGCGTTTCTGAATATATGATAATATTTTCCGTGGGACACAAAATACATATTTGGGAAGAAATGAGCAGCATAAGTCATGTGTTGTCTTTTTCTTGATCTAGTCACAAATTGACTAATATTAAGGAGCAGTAGAATATAAGAAGAGGCATGCAAATTCATGGCGTATGATCGAACTATACTTTAATATCATCATGCATCTATCATGCATGCCCCACCAAGAATCTAATCGTCTCAGTCTATATCCACTCTGATCGCGTGATATTCACGTTTTCTCCTCATAACAACGAAGATTATCAAAAGTGTGTAATCCACGCGCGAAACTTGCGCGTATGCGCTTCTTGCAAAGAACGGCGGCTACAGAGAAACTCACGTTTTTACTAGTAAAGTGTCAAACCGGACCGACCCGTCGCAAACACCATCGCTACGATCTGACAACTCTTGGAGAGCTGAAAAGGGGAGACTGTAAAATTTCATGGACACAATCTGACTCTTAACCAATCTGACTCTTAACCAATCCGACAAAACCGGTTTTGTGTTTAGTTTAGTTTCGTAATCTCATATGGACAATCTGACTCTTCCTTAACCAATCATGGACAATTTCGTAAGCATATCAAATAAGATGCACGGCTAAGCAAGAGAAGACTAGTTTTCACTTTACATTACGATTCCTATAGGTATCATTTAGGTTTAATATTTTATTATATACTACTATGTTCTTCAATTAAAGCGAATTATATATATTGTTTTCAGAGTTACTACAAGAAATACGAATTATGACAAAAAATTTATGATGGATTTCCTACAATTTAAGACGCAAGACAAGTTAGAGATATTGTTTTAAATCTGGAAGTTAAGATTGGTCATGAAATGTGTTGGAGCTCTTTCCTTTTACTTTATTTTTTTAAACCAGCAAGTTAAATCTCCATCATCATCATATATATATATATAAAAAAACAATTTCATGTGTTAATATTTAATTAAGGGCCACACATGATACATCATCACTCTCAGTTTACGAATCTCTGAATTGTGTGATCTGAGACGAGAGAGATCAGGAAAATGGCTGGCAAATCGGAGTTGTTCGGAGACCAGACCAGAGAAGGTCTCCTCTCTCGAAAAGGTTGCTCGGATTTCGGCTTCAGTGACTCCAGCGGCATCGTCGATGATCGGCGATCCAAGTTCCGGTGCTTCCGGTTTTTCTCCGACGGGATCATCGCCTTATGGAAGGCTATCTACGACACCGCCGCCAAATTGTACGAGATGGGTCGTTCCGATCGTCGGAAAGTCTACTTCTCCGTCAAGATGGGAATGGCTCTCGCACTCTGCTCCTTCGTCATCTACCTCAAGGAGCCACTCCGTGACGCTAGCAAATACGCCGTGTGGGCGATCCTTACTGTTGTCGTCGTCTTCGAGTATAGCATAGGTACTGTCTCCAGAATCTTTTGTTTTGTTTTTGTTAGATTCGGATCTAATAGATTCAGGTGCTTATTTGTTTGTTGTTCGATTGAATCTTCCGGATTTTGGATTTTCCACCAACAAATCCGCACCTGAGCTTTCTCGATTCAAAATCTCATCTGGTCTCTCTTGGTTAATGGTTTTTTGGAATGATTACGATTCTTTCACATTAAATCTGGTTCTTGTCCCCAAAGATTTTTTTTTTTTTGCTCATTTGCTTAATCCTCTTTGTGAAACTCTGTTTTTTTTTTTTTTTGCAGGAGCAACGTTGGTCAAAGGATTCAATAGAGCAATAGGCACACTCTCTGCAGGAGGGCTTGCTCTTGGCATAGCTAGACTCTCTGTCTCAGCTGGAGAATTCGAGGAAGAAATTATTATCATCAGTATTTTCCTTGCAGGTTGTACCATTTAGTAACAATTCTCTCAATCCATATCATAAATTAACCTTTTTTTTTTTTTCAATTACTGATAAGTCCATTCGGTTTGTCTATCAGGTTTTTGTGCAAGTTATCTGAAACTATACCCGGCTATGAAGTCGTATGAGTATGCATTCAGGGTTTTTTTGCTGACATACTGCATCGTTCTTGTGTCCGGAAACAACACCAGAGACTTTTTCAGCACTGCTTATTACAGGTTCTTGCTAATCCTGGTTGGTGCAAGTATCTGTCTAGGTGTGAACATATTTATACTCCCGATTTGGGCTGGTGAAGATCTCCATAAACTAGTGGTTAAGAACTTCAAGAGTGTGGCCAATTCCCTTGAAGGTAGAGAGAGATGCATAACATGGCTGTGTCTCTTGTTTTGTTTTGGGTTTGGGCTTATTTTGATTTGTTTGTACAGGATGTGTTAATGGGTACTTGCAATGTGTTGAATACGAGAGGGTGCCTTCAAAGATTCTCACGTACCAAGCTTCGGATGACCCTTTATACAGTGGATACAGGTCCGTAGTCCAATCTACGAGCCAAGAAGACTCTCTGGTGTGTTTTCCTTAAGTGTAATTTTTGTTGAGCAACACTAGATAGCTTAAAAAAGAACTTAGATGGTTAAAAAAAAAATGTACCTCCTTTTTTTCGCAGCTTGATTTTGCAGTATGGGAGCCTCCTCATGGACCTTACAGGACTTTCCACCATCCTTGGGCAAACTATGTCAAACTTAGTGGTGCGGTAAGGCATTGCGCCTTCATGGTTATGGCAATGCATGGCTGCATTCTTTCGGAAATTCAGGTAACTTACTATTTTCTGATATATTAGTTCTATAGTGATTGTTGGAGACTATGCTACGTTACTGTTACTGATTAGCTTTGTTACTATAAGAAAGAAGTCTAATATCTATCATTCAAAAAGTGCTTGAAACCAAAAAGTATATCTAAAGGAACCATTGCTGCAGAGCGTGATCCTCTTACAGAATCTGTTGGTAATGGCAATGGGTGTGTGATTTGCAGGCAGCTCCAGAGAAAAGACAGGCTTTCCGTCAAGAACTTCAGAGAGTTGGAAACGAAGGAGGCAAAGTCTTGAGGCTGTTTGGTGAAAAAGTGGAGAAAATGGAGAAGCTAAGCCCAGGGAACATTCTGAATGAAGTTCAACGAGCAGCAGAGGAACTGCAGATGAAAATCGACAGCAACTCTTTCCTTCTTGTCAACTCAGAAAGCTGGGCTGCCATGAAAGAGAAAGCCGATGCTGAAGAAGCGCAACAAAACTATCACGAAGCCAAAGACGACGAGACCAAAGTGATCCAATCCCTCAGCCAGATTTGGGACACTAATCACAACCACCATCCTCAGAATCCACACAATGGCAATGACTCTCAGCTATGGATGTCGACAGAGAGCATGATGCTTAGGAACCGCGAACACTGGCCAAGCGTCTCATTCATAGGCGGCTCTATGATCAATGAGATAGAGTCTAAAGTATACGAGAGCGCGAGCTCTCTGTCTCTTGCCACATTTGCGTCTCTTCTGATAGAGTTTGTTGCGAGGCTCCAAAATGTTGTTAACGCCTTTGAGGAGCTAAGCAGCAAAGCCGATTTCAAAGAACCACTCAGTGAGACACAGAACAAGGTAGAGAAACCTGGATTGTGGACCAGATTCAGCAGCTGCTTCAGCTCCAGGGACTAACAGAAGCACTTGCGGTTTATTTATGGGGCGAATTGTTTGATTTGTATAGACATTTGATGTATTTGTTTTGTTTTGGTGGTGAAATAAGTTCATAATTCCTTTTTTGTTGTGGCAAGCCATAACTCAAGTGGAAGTTTTTTTGTAGTTTTTTTTTTTTGTGTGTGGCAAGCCATCATAATCTCTTAATGCATTGAAACTTCAAAACATAATGATATTCAAATATAATATCTTAACATAAACATAATATTTTAAAACATCTATTTTGATCTTTTTGAACATATCAATTGAACTAATAAATATCTATCATAATTAAATGTGATATGAAAATAATGATGTGTAATGATAATGTAATTATGACATGATATTTGCTAACACATGTGGCTTATGACATGACAAAATTTTTTTTATGATATTTATCCTTATATTTATTATATCTTGATCATATGATGCACGTTACCAAATAGCAGTTCTATGATTTTACATAATGATGCCAAACAATCACCTTTTAGTTCTAAGATTAATTATCTTGATGAGTTTCATATACAACAGAAAAATTAAAATATTTGAGACAAATTTAGATATTGTATTTAGGTAATTATATTTTTTAAAACTGTTCATGTACATACGTGCAGGTCAAACTTCTAGTTAATTGTTAAAGATAAAACTGAATTTAAATCAAATCTATTTGAAACTCAATTTTCTCATTTTGATCAATGATTTATTAAAAAGAAGCATAGTGAAGCCTTGAAACTACACAAACCAATTTTTTTTTTTAACACTATTGTAAATTATGAGAACTGTTACATCGACGATTCTACAACGGTCAAATCTACCGTCTTATGAAGATCCACAACTAACGGCTCTACCTGCACCATGCACCACGCTTACCATCATCATATGAAGATCTAAGCTTGCCTTCATTAATTTGCATCATTTTTTATTAATCTGTATAATTAAAAATAAATCGCGCTCGCTGGAATTTGAAACCCAGACCTCTTAGTATAGAAGCATTAATAAACCTTTATTAAACCATTGGGCTAAGGGGGCTTCTACCACAAACCAATTTATGTGAATCAAAATTTACAAAATCTAAAATCAAAAGGATTACATTTTCATTTTATGCAAAAATAAAAATCGGTCTACTGAAATGAAGCATAAGAAAAGCCCAATATATATAATCGGCCCAATCGGACCCTCTCTTGGTTCGTCCTTCATTTCTTTTAATCCTTTGGAAAATCAAACGCAGAATATTTTTTTCTCGCTCGCAAATCTTCTTCTCTCGCTCCTCGGAATCTGAAGCAGCTCTCTCGTTAGGCTCCTGGATCGGTAAGATGATATCCACTTTCTTCGTATGCACCATAAGATCTCATTTTCACAGCTTCATTTTCGATTCACATTCGTTTGAATCTGGGGGCGTATCTCGAGTTTCTCGCTTTTCCGTTCTTCGTTCCTGATACATTTCGGAATCTGCGGTATTTTCTTATCGTTTTTTGGAAGTAGAGGAAATTTAATAGATGTGGAGAAGATAACACTCGAGTGGCCATTGTTTTTTCCAGAGTATCTGTAATGATAATTGGATCTATTTCTTAATATTCAAATCTTCATCGCTCCGAGATCCGAAATATCTCTCTTTTACCTCTTGCCTTCGTTATTGCTTGATCTCTTATAACCAATTAGCTCTGGCCTGGGAAATTTCAGTAATGGGTTTGTAATTAGCTGCTTTACCTTCTTTAAGTTCTCCTCATACGGATTGTTTTGGTGTTTTTTTTTTTCATTGCAGTGACTTGATCGAACTTGACGTAAGGTAGGGATAAGGATGGCCATGGTAGATGAACCGTTATACCCCATTGCGGTGCTCATAGATGAGCTCAAGAACGATGATATCCAGCTTCGGCTGAACTCGATCCGCCGGCTATCTACAATAGCTCGCGCCCTTGGAGAGGAGCGCACGAGGAAGGAGTTAATCCCCTTTCTGAGCGAGAACAGTGACGATGACGACGAGGTTCTCCTTGCAATGGCTGGAGAACTGGGAGTTTTTATTCCGTATGTGGGAGGCATTGAGCATGCACATGTTCTTCTTTCTCCTCTTGAATCTCTCTGCGCTGTTGAAGAGACCTGCGTGAGAGAAAAAGCTGTGGACTCGCTTTGCAAGATTGGATCTCAAATGAGGGAAAGTGACCTTGTCGACTCCTTTGTCCCTCTTGTGAAGGTTAAGATAATCAAAACATGTTTATTTTATCCGTTTTAGTACTTCACTCAAAGTTTGTTCAGTCAAGGTCTTATTTTTTTTTCGGTTCTGTTCTTTAATCTTGTAGAGTCTGGCAGCTGGTGAATGGTTTGCAGCCAGAGTTTCCGCATGCGGTTTATTTCATGTAGCGTACCAGGGCTGTAGCGATGCGCTGAAGACAGAGTTACGGTCGACTTATAGCCTGTTGTGCCGAGATGACATGCCAATGGTGCGAAGAGCTGCTGCATCTAACCTGGGGAAGTTTGCTACGACTGTGGAGGCAACCTATTTGAACACTGAGATCATGACTATGTTCGATGATCTTACTAAAGATGGTACGTAATACCTTGCACTGTGTCATGTCTTACTATATGTGCTCTTCGCTTGTAAATAGATCACATTTGAAACTAAGGACCAATGTTTGATTAAGAAAAAACCTTTATAGCCTCTTTAGAGATGTTTGTTTCTTCTACATGCTAATATTTGTTTACATTGTAACCTTCATTTCAGACCAAGATTCTGTCAGACTATTGGCTGTCGAAGGCTGTGCAGCTCTTGGAAAGTTGTTGGAACCTCAGGATTGTGTTGCACGCATTTTACCTGTGATTGTTAATTTCTCTCAGGTGAATTTGAGCTTTGGTTTTGCATTCATGGCTAATTTTATTAACTGTCGCGTCTAGATCTTGTATTCATATTTCTGCTATTGCATGTGCAGTTCTGATATTTTTCAACGCTATATGGTTTGTTTACTGCAGGATAAATCTTGGAGGGTGCGCTACATGGTTGCTAATCAGCTATATGAACTTTGCGAGGCTGTGGGTCCTGATTGCACTAGGTATGTGCCTTGTGACACTAGTTTTATCCTTGCTTTGCTAGGCTTTCTTTCTCGTATAACAACTATTATGTGACAACAACCGCATATACATAATACATCTAAGAGTGCTAGCTATTGTAAGCTTTTTAAATTTATTATGTACATATATCTTATTATTTGACACTGTATGTTGTATTATATCTAGGACGGATTTGGTTCCAGCATATGTGAGATTGCTTCGGGACAATGAGGCTGAAGTGCGAATCGCAGCAGCTGGAAAAGTGACCAAGTTCTGTCGGCTTTTAAGTCCAGAGCTTGCGATTGAGCACATCCTTCCTTGTGTGAAAGTACCTTTTATTAGCTGATGAAATTTTTTCAAAAATTCCATACAAGCAACTTGTTTGATGTCTCATGTCTCGTAATATTCTGATTCAAACTCATGTCTGCAGGAATTATCATCCGATTCTTCTCAACATGTCCGCTCTGCTCTAGCTTCAGTAATAATGGGGATGGCTCCTATCCTTGGCAAGGTAAAGTGATGATAGCCAACAATATTTTTTCACATCTTATGACTTCTTTCTGGGGTTTAATTTGGTAGCCACACCATGTGTTATGGCTCGGTTATACCATATATCAATAATTATTAACATGATAAAATCTTCAATACAGGACTCAACCATTGAGCATCTGCTACCAATTTTTCTTTCCCTTTTGAAAGATGAATTTCCTGATGTACGCCTCAACATCATAAGCAAGCTAGACCAAGTCAACCAGGTTTGTATTTTTCTTAAATTTAGCTACTACTATTGCTTCCTTGTTTCAACTGGTAACTGAATATCTTTAACGGCAGGTTATTGGAATCGATCTACTATCACAATCTTTGTTACCGGCTATTGTAGAGCTTGCTGAGGATCGGCACTGGAGAGTCCGGCTTGCTATAATAGAGTATGTTCCTCTGTTGGCAAGCCAGTTAGGTATAGGGTTTTTCGATGACAAACTCGGAGCCCTTTGCATGCAATGGTTGCAAGACAAGGTTTATCTTGAATCCTTGATTTTGGATCTTTGATTCTTGGCAAAATTTCTCATCCACTTGTGATTCTGGATTGTGACACTGTTGTCCATCTACAGGTCTACTCTATCCGTGAAGCTGCAGCAAACAACCTGAAGAGACTCGCAGAGGAGTTTGGTCCTGAATGGGCTATGCAGCACTTAGTTCCCCAGGTCTGATCTTCCATATGGTCTATTTTCTTTGAAATCAGTAATAACTAAAGCTGCATATATATAGAGAGATCTCCAAATTAACCCTTTTAATTGTTTCATGTAAACAGGTATTGGACATGGTCAACAATCCGCACTACCTACACAGGATGATGGTTCTGCGTGCAATATCTCTAATGGCTCCTGTAATGGGATCAGAAATCACATGCTCTAAGTTTCTTCCTGTCGTGATTGAAGCAGCAAAAGACAGGTAAGATAGATTTAGATGAATAGGCCAAACCCCTTCAAGAACACATCATCTTAGTTCTAATGTGTTGTTGTTGCACATATCCAATCTTCTGCAGAGTTCCAAACGTCAAGTTCAATGTTGCCAAACTCCTGCAGTCTCTCATCCCCATAGTCGACCAATCAGTAAGGATTTAAAATGAAACATTCTACTAATATATCGAAATTACAGAGGAGGTTGTTGAACTTTAATGTTTTCATTTTGCTCTGTTGAAAAATTTGAAGGTGGTGGACAAAACAATCCGTCAGTGTTTGGTGGACCTGAGCGAGGACCCTGATGTTGATGTTCGCTATTTTGCAAACCAAGCGCTTCGCTCCATTGACGCTACCGCCGTGACGCAATCCTGAAATTTTCTCAAATGTATTAGTGATATATAATATTCTTTAATCCTGGATATTCTTTCGCTAAGTTAAGTCTATTATTCGTGTTCTTTTGGTTTTGTTTGTGTAAAACGCCGTTTTGGTTGTGGCTATGAACTGCATTAACTTTATAATATGTCAGTAATATTGTATTATTCCCTTTGTTCCATTTTCTTGTGTTCAAAACCTTGTTTCCGTTATCTTCACCTTCTTACAAGTCCAGAGTCATTATACTTTCTTCTTTTGCATTAATTTCTTTTTTCTTTAAGATAAAATCAGTACAATTTGATACATTTGGATCAAACAAATCGTCCACACAACTTCCTATTCATTAATTGACAAAAGAAAAAAGCAAGAATCATTTGACAAAATAACACCTCTAATTGCATCATATTCTACAGTTACTATCTCCTATTTTCCAAAGAGACATCAAGCGGTCGTCAGAACTTCACGGGCTCGAGCGCTGCGATGTTGGAGACGACGGTGAAGCATCTCAGACATCTCAGTGAAGAAATCAGCATCCCATCTCTGAATCAGCAAAGGATCTTCAGCAAAACATATGTATATCGACGTCACTGCGCTCTCCACTACCACCATTCCTAGTCCCACCTGAAAACCACATTGAACCAATTTAAAAACAGATGAAACAATTTGGTTTCTTGTAGTATTTGGAAGAGTGCAACAAAAAAAAAAAAGTGGGGCACTCACAAGGACCATTCCCATCAACATAGCCGTGGATGCAACCATTATAACCCTGTCACTGTACTTGATCCAAGCCCATATACCAATGCAAGAGCCTGTGATGAGTCCTCCAAAGATGGTTCCCATCAGAAGCACTGCACCAGAACAGTCATACGCAACAAGTGCCTCTACACCTGTCGACTGAAACAACTCCCACGCGTCTCTCGCTGATCTGTTGAATCCTTTTCCATACACTGCAATCTGAAGAACTCAACCAAAAGTTTTTTTACCGTTTTGATTCTTTACATAAGAAGGAGACTGATGATTTTACCGTCTATAATCCTATATATATATACCTGGACATAGGCATACTTGTTGAAAAACCGAACTAGCGTTTCAACTAGATGAAACAAGAAATCAACGCAGCAAAGTAGACATTCGTTTCCACAAATCTTGGAACGGAACCCTCTTATCTGCAAAACACATGTTATCAAGAACTGTAAAGAACAGTAACGTCTTTAAAAGACAGCAAATGAAGATGTGGAGACTACCTCCCACCGAAGAGTTCTAATGGCAGCAGTGAAGAGTGAACCGTAACATATGCTCCCAAAAGATGTTGTCACGGCGTACCTAAGAGACTCTATCAAAGTGCTTGGAGGCAACGACGTAGACTCTTCTTGACCACATTGAAACAGAACATGAAACACCATCCCAGAGACTATAACATGGACAGTGTTACATAGCACAGCGCCTGTCCAGAACAAGCTAACCGAAAGAACCTGCATGTTCCCAGTGTTCGAATGAAAAAAATCTAAACATGATTTACTTTCAGACCCTAATAAGCAGAGACCATTATGGAAAGAAACGCAAAAACTTGCCAGCTCACCAGAAGAAGCCACCATCTTCCTTCATCGCCCATGCTCGAGGCCACAACACCAGCTGCTCCAAAAGACCACAGAGACATCCACAAAAGCATGGCTACTGTGAAAGCATGAGCCACCATTATGACCTTAGGAAGTCCCCACACTAGTTTCAGCGCTTTCCGCAGAACCAGCATCGTAAACGGAAGTCTACACATCAACAACGAATTTATAAGTGTTACTAAAACAACCATAACACTTCAATCAAGTTTCAACCTTGCACGCACCTGTCTATAACTGAAATAACATACAAGAACTGCAACAGAGCTCCAATGGCGAACGCTCCGCCCCAGAAGAACTGTCTGCACCAGAAACACAGCACACTAACTACAGCTAAATAGGTTGTTAAGATGTGAACCGAGACTTTCATCATCTCATTGGCGTAGGAGCCGAGAAGCAACGACCAGATCCAACTGATAAAGACTCCGATCCCACCAGCAACAGCGTAGAGTGGCCAGTAGTCTTCGGTGAGCCCTTTGTGATTCTCCAAGAACCCATGAGTGTATCTATCGATGTTTAGCCTATCTGATATTCTAAACCTGTTGAGTCCAAGCACCGCGAGAACGAACCCCAAACATATGAGGTGGATCACAAAGATGGCTGACCAGAACACATCGTGCCAGTGACGTGACTCACGGACAACAGCTCGGTTTCCATCTCCACTCCTTCGACTCCGCTGAAGAGACTACAAAATCAAAACAGAGATGTTGAGGCCAAAACGTTTGAGAGAGTCCGAAATTCATACTGTAAATAGGCCAATTCTGATAGCATGGAACTAAAAACTACAGAGAAATTTGTAACATGTGATTGAATCAGTTCTTTTACAGAAAAGCAAAGACCTTGAAACTTCTTTTTCAGTACAATGCAAGCACTTTTAGTGATCAAACTCACGGAAAAGAGAAAAGATTTTTCTTTCTAAAAGAAGCAACTTTGCTACTGGGCGTGATTTAATTCACAAGAAGGGGAAGTAGTAGCCTACATCGGTGAGTTCGACAAGATCTTACTCGGAAAAACAAAGACTTTATGTAATGGAAGTATTCTAGAAGCAAAACCCATAAAAGGGATTCTCAAATCCTAGTGAACTGCTTCGTTTATTTTATGAACAGAAGTGAATCCAAATTCAAAGGAGAAACAGATTCAGTATGAAATTTGGATTGTTGAAAGAAAGAGACGCAGATCGAATTTACTTCAGAAAGCTTGAGAGAATGGGAAAACCTGGTCGCCGGAGGAGATGGAGGCGTAATCGGAGGAAGGAGAGACGCTGTTGGTGGAGTCACTCATGACGTAGTAGGAGCAGAAGATTCACTGACCGGAATCAAATTTCATGGAAGCATCTTTGAATAAATATCACAGAGAAAGAGAAAGAGAGGGACAGGAAGGGGAATAGTCAAAGTAGTGAGGGGAAAACGAGGAATAGGAAACGTGAAGCAAAGGACTTGAGAAATGGTTTATGAGTCAAATAAAGAAGTATGATAATGATCAGAGTGAAGAGAACGTTGCCGGCGAGAAAATTAAGTTTTTGTTTTGGCACGGAATGAGTAAATACAGAGAGAGAGAGAGAGAGCGGTTCTTCTTCTGCTTCTTCTTCGTCTTCTTTCTTTTTATTGGATAAGAAGCGGAAATAGTTTTCGAGTGGTCGTTTTCGGATCACAGTTTCTCCCTACGGACAATAACTATTCGCTTTTATTTCCTTTCTTTAAGAAGTACTGTTTCTTTTTCTTTTTTTTTGCGTATTGCTTTATTTATGTTTACTTTTGTATTTACGTGTTTTAATATTTTAAATCATTTGTAAATTTTAAATTTAAGCAAATTGTACATGTTCAAATTGTAATCATTTGTGAATTTTAAATTTAAGCGATTAACTAAAATTGTGGCTTTATTCGGCTGTAAAATGATAAATCACTATATACTTACTGAAGTTTATTGGCACTATCCCTTATAATATTTCTGTTTACATTTTTGGATTTTGCAGATGACAACCGAGTTTATTGTTGTATACATGTAGGGTTTTCTAAATGTATCTAACTTTATACATACAAAACTTGTTATCGAGTAAAACAAAATTACAATTTCACATACATGGGCAATCGCTTCAAAATCAGTTTGGTGGTTGTATATTCTCACGTACGACAGAAATATTCAGATATTTAAAAAAGGACCGATCCAAATCATTCTACTGAATATACGAACAAACGTTACATTTATTTAAATACTAAAAATATTCCACATGTTTGTTCAGAAACATTGAATTCTTAGCTTTTTGTTTTCTACTCATAAGGAGTAAGTTTGATGTCAAGCATGCAACTGTGAAAGTAAAAGAGTGATTTTTTTGGATGAAAAAGGAGAAAGTAAAAAGGTTGACATAAAGAAAAGAAAAGAAAAGAAAAGAAAAGTTTGAAAGGACAAAATGATTGACCCGAATGGCTGACACTTCATTTGTTGTGATGGCAAGTGGTGGCATCATGTCTTCGCCACCTCTCTATATGCATTCTGCCATGTTCCTCTATCTGTTTATTTAAACTTTTATTTAAATATAATGATTTTTTTACTTAAAAAAATATATTACTGTTCACAATACTATATAATAAAATTTAAATTAAAATAAATAAATTTACATCATACTAGGTAAACTATATAAATAAATTTTATAGACGAATAGAATAACTAAATGAACTATATAGACGAATATAATAAACAAAGTATATAAGTGAACAAATTTTTTTATTTTCTAAACAAATATATTTAAATACACAAAAAACAAATACATAGTAAAATAACTTCGCACACAAATCTATATAGAACATATGCTAAATGATGCATTTTTATATAAAACCTGCAAAAATAAAAATATGTTTGTATTTCTTTAGTGAATAACATAGTATAATTAACTATATAAACAAATTATATAGGTGAATTATATAGACGAACTATATATGTCCTGTTTGTTTGGTTACCGCAGCGGCTTCAGCAACAGTAACGACAGTAATAGCAGCAGTGACAACGATAATATTACCGCAGATTATTGTTTGTTTTATAGTCGTAGTCACAGCCGCAATCACAACAAAAAGTTGTTGTTCGTTTTATAGCCGTAACCGCAAATTATAACTGCAGCCGCTGCCATAACAACAAATTGTTGTTCGTTTTGTAGCCGCAGCCGCAAATACCTGCAGCAACAAAATGAACAACAATTAATTGTAGGTCGCAGCTGCAGTTGCAGATCATAATTCTACTGTTAATTTTTTTTTACGTTCAAAAATTTTTAAGGCAGCAATCTATGTTAACCGCAACTACAATATTTTGCCGTTGGTAACTAAATAAACAATAATTTTAGACGCTGCCGCAGCTGCATTGATTGAGCATAATAACTAAATTTAATAATATAATAATAGAAAATATTATTTTTAATGTGAAATTTGGTATTATGATTAAAAATGAAAAAATAAAATCAAACATTAAAACACCAAATTTGATGTGATTTGAACACTAAATATAGTATTGGGGTTGAAGATGCCATTGAAATAGCTAAATAATTTTAGTATAACAGAATTTAGTTAAATAAATAAATTTATGTGAAATAGTCAACTAAAATGATGCTTTCTAAATTAAATGCTCGTAATGTACAGCAAAAATGACATCCATTCATCATCACATTGAATAGCAGTTAAAACACGTGAGCATCTCTACTTTAAATAATGCTGGAAAACAATAGCCAACACACAACTACTTGTACATAATTAATACGAATTGTTGATCGTTGCTTCGTCGTGATTCGGAATTATATGATTACTAAATGAGAGTAAAAAATAATTATATTTATAAGGAACAGTGAGAGATTAGGATTTGTAGGAGAATTTTCTTTTTCTTACGTGAGCATTGTAGAGCGGTTGTTTCACCATAAGCTACAATAAGAGATTTCTTATGTCATTTGAAGCAGAACAACGGATTGTGATGGTTGTTCACTACGACAGCTATCGTTAAATCCTGTTTTTACGAATGCACTAAACTTAGTCTAAACACCTCGAGATTGATTATACTTTCGTGAATGCTGTTATGCACTTGTGTCGACGACAATCTGGTCCCAAAACGCTTAAAACCTGTAACTGGGCCACTATTTTAATTATAAAAACTACAAAGACAAATTCCATTTTTTTACTCTTTCACTCTCTGCAACAAGGACAGGAACATAACAACAGTAATCTACTTCAGATCTTTTTTGGTTTTAAAAAAACATGTCTAGCATTTATTTGACGAGAATCCAATGAGGGCATTCGCCAGATCAAAAGCGACACGTGTCCCTTGCTGCTGCACGTTTCCGATGATCGCCATAGAACTCGCCGTCGGTGCGAACGCAAGACAGAAAGTCCCCACCGAGTCAACCGGTATCATGTAATTCTTCGCCGGCAAAGCTAACATCTTCCCGCCGGGGAAGTGAAAAGCCACCGTCGGAACTTCTATCGTTGTCTTCGCCGAGAGATTGTAACACGTGTCGAACATCGCCACTCCGGCGGCTCTCTCCAAATCTGTCGTCCCCTTGACAAATGCATCTCTCAGCGAGTTGTAGATTTCCGTCTGGAGACGAGTCACGGCCGTTCCCGAGTCAATTATAATCCCGCCGCTGCCTGACTCATCCATCTCGTAAGAAGACATCGGAATCTGAAGCATCTCGCCGCCAACGCTTATCCCGGTAAGTCCGAGGTAGTAAAAAGTGTCGAGCTGGTGGTTACGAAGCAACGGAGCCACGACGGCGTCACGAGAGATATCAGACCCGAACTCGACGGTCGAGACCGAGTCGGAGTCACGGTCGACGAGGCAGTAGGAAAACGATGTCGTGTTGAGCTGCGACGGCAGAGCGAGCAACCCGCCGCCGAGTCCGAGCAAACCGGCGGCACCGACGAAGAGCCCTTCGTTGCTGTGTCCACACCCTACGGCGACGTTTTCGACGGAAGCAGAGCCGATGGTGAGCGTCTCGGTGGCGAAATCGCCGACGGTGTAAGAACCGTCGCCATAAGAAACTTCGTAGAGACACGTGGCGTTTCTGCATTCGGAAACTTCGAGTGCTTTACACTGTGGATTGTCGCAAGAGAGAGTTTGGTAAGAAGAGGAAGACGACGGCTCGAAGATTGGCTCGGTTTGGTGGTAACAGTCGGCGCAAGGGGCGCATTGTAGCCAGTTCACGTCGCTTCCGGTGTCGAGCACCATGTAAACTTCACGCGCCGGATTCCCGATTCCGACGCGTGTGAAGTACTCGCCGCTTCCTTGAGTCGTGCCGGAGATTAAAGGAGCTTCAATCTCTTGTTCCGTTGTGTACATTGTGGCAACGGGCTTGAGATCTGCTTTGGATATGTTGTTGATGGCTAGATCTAAACGAGTCATGAGAGATTTGACTCGGGCTGAGTCACGTTCGAGTCTGGCTAGTGTGAGAGACTTGTAGTCTGGGTGTTCAGCTCCTCGGACGGAAGCTCGTGAGTGAAGCTGCAAGCTAAATGAAGAGGAAGAAGATGGCGAGTGAGTCTGGTCTTCTTGCTGGTTCAACTGAAACGACGATGCATCTTTGGTTTTGCGAATGGACTCGGCGACGTCGAGAATCGATGAAGTAGTTACAGAGATCTCTGGCAAGATTCTGGAAGTAACGAAAGAATGTGAAGCGAAGAAGAAGAAGAAGATGAAGAAAAGTAAGGAACGGCGAGAACCCATTTTTAGTTTTCTGACCGTTGGATTCGAAGTGAAGGAGAGAGAGTGGTTTGTTTCTTCTTAAAGAGTGTGGGACAAGAGTGAGTTTTGTGGTGGGGAAAGGAAGAAAATGAGACAAAAGCTTCTTTAAACAAAGAAGAAAAAAGCTGTCTGGGGTTTTGCAGATTCCAAGGAGATTTATACTGTAAGTATCTTTAAGACTTTGAAGAATGAAGATAGATAAATGGTTTATGTGGAAGTGGAGGTTTCTTCATCGTCTTTAAGTGTCAAGATTAATTAAACTTGTTTTATGATCTCAATGCGCTTAGTGTGGCTCTTAGACTCTTAGTATATCTAATCTTGTTTAGAATTTCATCACTTTTCATCTTCCCTCTTTATTTTAAACTCAGCCACTTTTGTGTTTCACATCTTTTCACTTGAAAAATTTGCCAATGGCCTTGGCTTTTTGCTAACAACTTTCAATGTAACAGCTCATCCATTTCAATTTCTCTGAATCTGTGGATATAACAAATCTATATGGTATTAACTATTAAACAATGTACCTAAGAAAGTAAAAGAGCAACTCTACATATATATAGTAAACAACACACACTTGTGCATATTGACCAAATAGTGCATACATATGCATATCATATTACAAATAACTCTTTTAACAAACTAAATAACTCTTTTAACAGTTTGTGTATGGCATAGAATTACACAACGTACAGGAAGAATGTGTGAGATCATGGTCCTTCATGGGCCGTGTGGGTAACGCTTACTTTGATCATTGGGCCCTTATATATGTAAAATGTGTACATCAATTTTACACTTATAATAATTTTGGTTAAATACGTAATAATACAAGGGCCACCCAATTAATTAATTTTTAGAACAGAATAAAATCGAGTTATAATAAGTACAGTAGGATAGAATCAAATAAAATCAAATCAAATTATATACTAGCATTTGCAAATCATCAATTCAGCTCCAATCAGAATTTGGTTGTTTTTCTGTTTAAAAAAATTTGTATAAAATCTGGTAAATATAGATACTAGGATAAAACCAAATTAAAATTAGCTGCGATTAGCCAATCAATTAATCTCCAAACCAGTTTTAGGCAGCTCACAAAAACTTAACAAAGTTATGAACACATATATTCTCCATGTTGTGACGTCTTTATCGGTGATGCGACAATACATCACCGCAGTAAAGTCTTCACCTCTCTTACTCGGCCACAGTGACGATTACCAAAGGAATAAAATTATTGAATTTGCATCTTCTAAAGTCAAGTTGGGTTTTCTGGGTCCCACACTGCCAAAATCGTTGGATGTAATCGATCCACGTGGCAAGATCTCAAGGTTATAAAGAATCCGAATCTAAAATTTACCAAAAAAAATAAAAAGCATTCATCTTTTGCACTACAACAAACTTTTAGTCCTCGCTCTCTTCTGCGTCGTCTCCGTACTCTCTCTTTCGCCGGCTGTTTGCTTCTTCCGGCAGTAGATCACTCCGTTGACTCTATACCAGCCGGAGGAGATCGGAAGTTTCGGGTTCTGTTCCTCTGTTTGTAGCTGATTCGCTGTCGATTTTCATAACTCGGCAGCCATGAGCTCGGTTTTGCAGGTACAGTCAAAGATATCTGTTTTCAGAAACTCAATTTTTCTCTGTGAATCGTTTTGAAAGCTAATCTGGGTTTACGATTGATGGGTTTTTCTAGGGTTTTACGAAGTCACTCGCCATGACGTTTGTCTCGGAGATTGGCGACAAGACGTTCTTCGCTGCTGCTGTAAGTGTTCCTCTTAGCAAGTTTTTTATTTTTTTGTTGAGAATTTGCCTTCTGTACTTCGCTGGGTTTAAGGTCGAACAAGTCAATAGCTTTTATCAAACTTATTTTAATTCTGTTCTGAAACAATTTAGCATCTGGGCGTGATGCCTTTTCCTAAAATTAGAAATCTAGCTGAACGTTTGAAAATCCTGCTCTTACTTTGTGGTGAGATCCTTTGTTCATTGAGAAAGTTCGTGTTTTTTTCTTTCCTTTGGGTAATTTTGTAACTTATATGAATGAATCTGTATCCAATCAGAGGAGCTTCCTGTAATATATTCCCATTTAGTTTGGTTGTATTGATACTTTTGTTGTTACCCTGATTTGTAAGCTTAATCTCTTTTCACTTTTAATCAGATTTTGGCGATGCGTTATCCTCGGAGACTTGTGTTGGCTGGTTGTGTATCGGCCCTGATTGTAAGCTTTCATGAGTCCTTTTGAGTATTGGTTTCAGTGACCTCTCTCTTTCAGATTTGGAAGCTCATGTCTTTCCTAATTCTTAGGTTATGACTATCCTCTCTGCTACCGTTGGATGGGCTGCTCCAAATCTGGTATGATTTTTTTTTTCTACTTTTGTAATGCCTTTTCCCTTGAATATTGGACTGTAGTTTGATATAGCTTGTTTTACCAGTTCCCTGTTGTGATGGAAATTTTCAGTTTTTTACTAAATGCCCTCTTGTAGATCTCTCGGAAATGGACCCATCACATAACAACATTCTTGTTCTTTGGTTTCGGGCTATGGTCTCTGTGGGACGGTTTTAAACAAGGAGGAGGGTAATAGTTTTTTTCATCGATTTTTGATTTCGTAAGGATGAATATTGACATCCAAGAGATTGAGGTTGTCTGTTTCTACTTTGTTGGCAGGGGCTCGGAAGAATTGGCTGAAGTCGAAGCAGAACTGGTCTGTTTTGTTTTTCTGCACGGCTCATTGTCACGTTTAGATAAATGCTCTTGTGGTTTGACTTTGTTGTGTTTTTTTTCACAGGATTCTGATTTGAAGGCGAATGGTAAAACTACAAAAAATGACAGTAAGGTATGGACCAAGATCACAGACTGCGTGTGGGAATTACCTTTTGCTAAGTTTTAACAAAACTGTCTGTTATCATTGTAGAATGAAGATGAAACCAAAAAGCAGAAAAGGCCATTCCTCACTCAATTCTTCTCTCCAATTTTTCTCAAGGTAAATATGAGTTCCTCTTAAGGCTTTCTCTCAGAAGAAGTAAACTTTTTTGAATGAGTTTCATATTCTCTCTCTCTATTCTTGCAGGCATTTTCTATTAACTTCTTTGGTGAATTTGGTGACAAGAGTCAGGTAGCTTTTCACTTACTCGATTGATTCAGTCTAAAGTGCTTCACATACTCACCATAATAACTCTTTTGTCTAGCTTGCTACAATTGGTTTGGCCGCTGATGAAAACCCCCTCGGGGTGGTCCTTGGTGGAATTGTGTAAGTCTCACTGTAAAAAACCGCTACAGTCGTTTTGCGTCTGCATCACATACTTATATATGTTTGAATCAATGATGCTGACGTAAACTGTTGCCTACACAGAGCACAGCTATTGTGCACCACTGCTGCTGTGATTGGAGGAAAGAGCTTAGCGTCTCAGATATCTGAACGAATAGTAAATATCTCTTATTCATTATCCCATTCGACATTTGTGACAAAGACTCATCAAATCTTAAAATTCGGGTCATCTAATGTTTTGTTGTTACAGGTTGCTCTCTCCGGTGGGATGCTTTTCATTATCTTTGGCATCCAATCGTTTCTTACTTCTGTTTAGGCCTGATGCTTCACAAACCTGAAATTCAGGTATGGTTCTGAATCTTAATTTTTTTTTATATATTCATCAAATTCATTTAGACAATACTCTTCTTCTGTCTTACTTATTTTGGTATTGTGAAAAATGCAGGTTTGTAGGGAGAGATGAAGATGACGATGAAGAACGTTACTATCCATAGTTTTCTTAGATGTTTAATCTTGATATTAGATGTTTACACAAGTGATTACAAAACAAATCTGAAAGATTATCTACGGTGAAATTATTGAAATGGGCTGTGAAAGCAGCCGTCTGACTTCAATAAAGTTTTGGTAAACTGTGGTTAGTTATTCTTCTTTTTTATTAAACCATGTGGTTTTTGAAGTTTCGTGTGTGTGAGTGCATATTTAGAGACCAATATGATTTTTTATTAGCAAATAACAATAATATTGTAAGATAAAAATGTTGAGATATCAGAGGGTAAGTGTGGAATGTGGTTGATACCATCGAAGATCAATGTGGAACCAACAACATGTCTTATTGAGTAAGTAGCAGATTATATATTTCTCTAACTCGACACAAACGCACGACGATTATATGGTTTTTATTCCTACACTTATAATTAGATGATCCAAGGATCAATAATTTAGTTTGTACGATCTATTCGATATTATTCGTAGAAACTGTAAGTAGAAGAATCCGCAATGATGTTCCTCAGTCCTCCAATTGTTGACGCCAGCATTATGAACACTCCTACGATAATAGAGATCTGTCCATTCGAAACAAACCAAAGATATACGTAAGTAAACTATCTTCATATAAATTGTTCATTTTCGTAAGATTATGATATAAGAATGGCAAAAAGATATGTACGTAAATATAGATGTTTACCCAATTGACAAGCCACGTGATGCTGAATCTCTTTGGTTTCTTGATGATAAGCCACATTATACTTGGGAGCTGCGGCGTCATTATACAACCATAACAAGATGATTATACTAATTGACTTATTTTCATCATAACAATGGACTCATATAGCCATACTCATATATATTAAGGTGAAATTCTTTCACTAATAGAATATTTGAAATGTAGAAAATGTTGAGGAGTGGACTTACAAAGAAGGAAGTGGGTGCAAAGCCAAATCCTCCAAAGAACCCTAGAAGGTCTCCAAAGAAGGGGAACGACACTCCAACAAACAATGTAAATGCTGCCATTCCAATCACAAATATTCGATTTACAGGTAGATTCTTAATTAGACATATTGTAATTGTTATATAGATCATAAACAAAATAAACAAAGTCTTACCAACATAAGCAGTTCGAGTGAAAAACCTCAGACCAACCCCATGCTTGAAACCAAATTTGTTAACCATCATTCTCTCCAAAAGATCAAAGACAGGCATAGCAAACACTTGGTAGCTACCAATGACGTGGACAACGACCATGAGATTAGCCGAAGCAATGAGCCAAGCTGGTCTCTGTAGATTCATCAGCACATTGTCGTCTACGTCTTGACCAAAGGCCCAGTAGCATATTAGAGCCACCGGGAAATAGCAAATGGCGTTGACGAAATAAGCTCCCATCACGCCTTGCCACATGGGCACTTTCGATGGTCTCTCAGGAGTGGAAGGCATCGTGGCTTGAATCTCCAGAGCCACGGCGTGACCAGCGAAAGCGAATGAGATCTGACCTAAGGCATTGAAGACTCGGAAGGTGAAGTCACTTGGATTCGTCGCCTTGTAATCGTAGTTCACGTCAGGCATTCTTCCATGTGAGATACTTCCTGCCCACGCTATCGTCGAGTAGCTGCAGCACATAACATATATCCCAAACTTCAGGCTTGCCCTAGTTATAATTGTTTTGTTGGAGATGTCTACACTAATGATTTGAAATGTCATGGACCGAATCATTCTAGTCTGCAAATGATTTTGGATCCAACAATTTGGTGTAGTTTATGTACAAATCCCATTGTTTCATTGCTTTAACTAAATTACAATATTTTGTTTGTGTTAAGAAGTATAACTCAAAAGGATTACTAGAAATTATTTTTAAAAAACTGTAATCTTTTTTTTGTTTGCGCTTACAGTTTTCGTTTTTTGGGGATAAAATTACTAAATAATACTGTATTTCTCTACATTCAACAATTTTCGTGCATATAAACATATATACAGTATAAAACAAACGAAAAAAATTGATTAGATGAATGCTAATCTACTTAGTGGACACGCGCGCTAATTCAACTATGTATGTAGAAACTTCAATTAAATTAAAAACATATAAATAACAATAGGCCATTGATTGTAGCTTGCATAAAATGGTATAATTACACACTTGCACTTTTGTTACTAAAGTGTTTTCAGTACTTTTCCAAACATTTGATTTATGAAAATTTTGATGTAGTAACAAATTATATGTATTGTGTAAACTGGCAAAATGGTAACGTGATGATGACAGGGTGTGAGAAAGAGTGACCTGAGGGACATGACGGCGGCAGCCAAAGAGACGCCGGCGACGGAGTTGAAGTTAGGGAGCTGAGAGAGAAGGAAGTGGACCCCACCGAAGGCGAGGATCCAGTACGACTGTCGTACCGGAGTGCAGGCGGAGCACGTGATATCCACGAACTTCTTTATGCACTTGCCACCAGTCACCATGTAAACGATGCAGCATCCGACCTGGACGATGAGCTGCTGTGGTAGGACGATCCATGGGCCGAGTTTTGGGCCGAAAGCGTACCGGCCTAGATCAATATACCGGTCAAACCGGGTTCCCGGTACGCACTCATGGAGCTGCACCATTTGCCACATCGTGTTTAGGGTCAGTCCCCATGTAAGTACCAACATCATTGTCCCTGGTCCCCTGTTTTCACCACACATGTACAACACTTCACTTGTTTATTTTACAAACCAACAGAAAATAAATGCATTTTGTTTCTTCTTTTTTCTTTTTTCTTTATTCTCCCTTATTTAATGTTCTATGAACCTTCTTATATCTGAATTTAGTTGCATCTAGATCAAAATCATCAGCTTAAAGTGCATTTTGCTTCTTCTTCTTCTTTTTACATGCATGTTCTACGAATCTTCTTTTATCTGAATCTAATTACAGCTAATTCAAAATTATCAGCTTAAAGTGCATTTTTCTTTTTCTTTCTTCTCTATCTTTCCTTTTACATATACACTTTCAATCTTCTTATATCTGAATTAATTGAAACTAGTTCAAAATAATCAGGTAAAGTAACGAAGGAATTTTAGAAAAAAAAAGGTTCTTATTACAAAGATCAGTAAGGTGAATTTCCATTTATTTGCATGTTCTGGTTTTAAACAATTAGTGGCAAACAAAACCAGTCCTTCTGTTTGCTTTTGAAGTTGGTTGAATTACAAACATAAAAACATAATCTGCCACCTGAGACTAAATTAACCCGCTAACCTCTTAATTTCTTGGTTAATAAAAAATCATAATTCAGGGAATAAAGTTTTCAAATATGGTTGAAGAAATAGTACCAGCCAAGGTAAGCCATGGCATAAGGGAGGCTAAGAACTCCTGCGCCGATCATGGCGGTGACGGTGTGGAAGGTGGAGTACCACCACTTCGCTGGCCGTGATGGATCTTCCGCCGTCCATTTCTCGCCGGAGTTCCGATCGATTTCCTGCAAACACGGCTTAATTTTATGAGAAAACAAAAGGAGAAAAGAAAGGGAAAAAAATGAGAAGGTGAATGATTATGGAGGAAGACCATAGGAGGAGAGACGGAAGAAGTGGAGACCATTGTGTGTCGTTGTTGCAGTATAGTGAGAGATAGATCTCAATTCCTGTAACATATGGAGAACTCTAAGCTTTTTAAGTGGTGTTTTGAGTTTGTATTTTGTCCAAATAAAGTTTATTTATTTGAAAAATATAAATAAATCAGTGAATAGCTAAAGTTTACGTTTTTTTGGAAGATCTTACCTAAATTAAATGCACTTGTTGGGCTTTTCTTTTTTTCCCCGGCTAATTTTATATATATCGGATACAGGAAACTTTGTTTTTTCCGCACTGTGATCATTTAAAGTTGTGAAGTTGATGAAACTTCGAAACGTGTACAGTTGTCAAATTCAAGAAATGTGTAAGAAAAACAAAAAAAATCATTAAATCATTACCACAATACCCGCACAATTAGAAGTAATACAAAATATACCGATTTTGCATGTAACACACGTACAGTACGTGAGATTTCTAAAAAAATATCATCTTCATGAACAAGAGTATTTTGTGAAAATGATTTTCTTATTTCTCAATCGGAAAAGAAACTTTTACTTTGGTTTATATACAAATACTCAAACCACGTTAACCAGACAAAAATCATAAATTAATTTAAACCGAACTAAATCACGCTATATATGTTTTGATACAATCCGTAAACTCATCATGCTTATAATAATTACGCCATATAGAGAACAAAAAGAGACAACATGTCAACACATAAAAAAAAATCTACTGCAAAGATGCACTTTCGTGTTTGGTATGCTCTGTACGTTTCGTTGTGTTCAATCTCTTACACACTCCCAAATAAATTGGACTCTTCTTTTCCACGGTTGATGAATTGCTGAAAAATGTATTTTACTTGTCATTTTGAATATGATTTATTAGGGAAATAAAACCCTTTAAGAAAATGAAAGAGTGATGCAGCCCACCAACTACACCCACAGAGATAAAGTGTCCTTATTTAGAGTATTAGCTATAAAAGTGGAAAATTTTGAAAATCAGCTTTTTAGGTTTTTATAATTTATCAACTTGCATCTTTGCTTTTCCGAATCCCACTTAGTGTGATGCATTGCTCTTAAGTCCAAGCTTATGAGAATTAAAAATACGCAGAAAAAGTTCAGTGCTGGCATTTTCTTTCCATCGATATATAATCTTTTAAGAAAGGGCCTTTGGTTATGTTCCCATGATTCGATTGAAAAAATCTAATGGGTGCGGTGAATCGTATCATGGCTTGAAATTTGGTACAAAGTTTTACCATATTTTATTATCAAATTTATGTGCCACGTGAATGGAGCCCATCCACCTGAAGCAATTCACCTCGATTTTGGACAACGAGTGAGCTCAAGAGTGGAGAAGAGAAGTCATGTTTGTCGTCTTCATTTCAAAAAGGCAGTCGATTTCATTTTAGTGCGCGTCATAGTTACTATGTCTTATCAATTATCAATAATAAAGTTTTCCTCTTTAGTTTTTAGTTGCTTTTTAGACAACTTATCAATGATTTTTTGGTCTAGAGCTACTTATTTTTTTAAAATAGTAACAGTGCCAAATTCAAAATGAATTTAACGGAGCAAAACGATCAAGGAGATCAGATACAAAAATAGAAACAATGGCTATATAAGCCTACAACATAAGACTTAGGATGGAGCTAGCTCTAGGATTGTGAATTGTGAGCAAAAAGATAATAATGATAAATGGGATTGGATCTATAATTCTAGAATTTCAAGCAGAATGAAAAAATAATGATAATGACGATGAATTTCAGAGATATATTGAGATTTTTTATCTTTCATGGTCTGAGCTTCAAGCAGAATGAAAAAATAATGATAATGAAGGTGAATTTCAAAGATGTATTGAGATTCTTAAATTTTGAGGGGTAATAATGACTTGTCAAAACGATAAAGAAAAATAGAGATAAACCCACATTTTTCATATATATCTCTAGACAAAAGAAAATAGTTTGGTGCTGTGAGGTTCATGAGTCAGACCCACAAGAGGATGACATTTTCAGGCAGAGAGACAAAAGACACGAACTAAACTGTAGTCTAAGAAGGAAGAAATCATTCAAGTTTATATGATGAAACTAATTGGCAAAAAGTTGAAAACCCTGAAGAAGAGATGTTAAACTTTATCCCATGAAGCCAGCTCCTGGCATGTTCGGCTGCCCACCACCACCACCACCACCACCTCCTTGTTGCGATCTTCCAGGAGCTTGTGCAAAACCTTGACCACCCATTACTCCTGACCCAACCATCTGTTGAGGCTGCTGCTGCTGCATCTGGTTCAGTGGCGACGTCTGTTGCTGCATCTGGTTCAGCGGCGACGCCTGTTGCTGCATCTGGTTCAGCGGCGACGTCTGCTGCTGCTGTTGCTGCTGATGATGGTGTTGAAGCTGTGACAACTGATGCTGCTTTTGTTGCTGCTGCTGTTGCTGCTGATGTTGGAGCTGTGACATTTGATGCTGCTGTTGCTGGAGTTGTGGCAGCTGTTGCTGTTGGTGGTGATGTTGCTGTTGCTGCTGCTGGATCTGTTGTTGTTGCTGCTGCTGATGTTGCTGCTGTTGTTGTTGGTGCTGTTGTTGCAGCTGTTGTTGCTGTTGCTGTTGCTGATTTGGAATCTGCGGCTTAAACACAACCATATCCTGGGAGAAAACCATCACAGGAAAACAAACAACTCTGTAACTTTTGACTATTGTTTCTTTAAATCAAACCGTTATGAAGAGAGGAGTGGTGCAAGATGGATTAGACATTAGCATTCAGTTTGGAAATATGAAGTCAGGAGCCACTACTAGACAATGGATACATGTGAAGTGAAACATGTATAGACACCTTACTAGGTCAAACTTGTTGCTTACTTACCCCTGGGAAAAGCATTCCAATCAAACGGCAGGCCTTGTCAGAGACGGAGAGAAGCAGCGTCTGTGATGGCAGCTGGATGACTGCACACTGCACTTGACAGGCATACACAGTTATCATATACAATTCCACATGAACTAAACGTGAAGATTAAAAGGTAAGGCACACAATTAGGATCAGAACAAGGAGACAAGTGGAGTCGTAATGAGTACGGTAAAGAGATTGATAGATTCACAGAAAACTCTTTTACAGATGAAAGTTCATATATTTTGCAAGGATTTCATTCTGAACATCTATGTATTAAACCAGTAACCAGTCAGTTCAATTAAACGAAGGAGACGAGTGGCATAAAATATCAACAAAACTTACAAGCTTCTTATCCTGAAGTTGTCCTAAAAACCCATGTTGACTCATGGCCCGAAACACAAGGAAGTCAGCTTTGCCAACATATTGCCTGATGCAAAGTTAGATGAAAAGATTAGAGGCAAGAAAACAACATCTACACATGACCTGGTGGATATAAGGAGAGCTATAGTACGAAGATAGTACTTGTTGTTCATATGATCCTGGGATATGAGACGAACAATCTGCATAGTTGGTGGCCAGTTCGCTGCCAACCTGGGGAGACGCACAAAAATAGAAAGCAAAAGTTATGTTTGCAGCTATAATCATTCCTCAAGGCGTAGACTGCAATTGAAATTTTATCGATCTCTTGAAAAGAGAGCAACTTTCATATTTCAATTAGTCAATAAGTTATGAACTTACGAATCAGAGGCAGAGGCACTTCGGTAACCCTGTAAAATATAATAAACAAAGAGATTACCATTTGCTAGGGTCAACTCAACAAAGGTCTGGAAAAGAAAGATGTACTCAGTGCCCTAAACACACCTCAAGTCTGGTGATAAGAACAGGCTGCCCTTGTCGTTGCCCAGATAAATTTCCCTACATGAATTAGAAAATGTAAGTTAAATTAGCATAAGATCACCGTTATTTCAGACGAGGTAAAGTGGCATTACCTCCCACACTTTTACATATTTGGACTGTGAAGTCTGCAGAGCCCCCGATGATGGCTGTGACAACTGCATATTAGGAGCTGAACTGTTACTGCCACCAAGTTGTTGTATTCCTGATTGCGCTTGTTGGCCAACTCCTGGAGTAGGCATCATTCCTCCTGTTCCAGAGGAGACATTTCCTTGACCGAGACCACTCATCATGTTTTGATTCATGGAGATTCCTCCTTGCATCATCTGTGCTCCAGAATGACTTCCTTGGTTCATCCCTGGCATTGGTTGAGAAACACCAAGGTTTGAAGCAACATTTGACGTAGTTTGAGGACTAAAGGCGTTGTTAGGACCAGGGCTTTGTCCCGAACCAGCCACTGAAGTAATTCCCTGCTGTCCAGATGAAAACACAGTTTGTGAAGGAGGCAGAGATGTAGCCATTCCTGTTGATATCATATTTGACATATGCATTGCAACCGCACTTTGCCCAGCCGACGAGGCTGCACCGGCCAGAGCTGCAGAGCTCATGACTTGTCGGACTTGAGAAAGATTATTCAGCAGATTTACATTAGCTCCACCAGGAGGACCAGTACGCAATGGTGGCGTCATTCCACTAACCACAGGCTTAACATCTGGTGCATTCTCGGCGTTGGTGACCATTTCTTGAGAAACCGGCGATGCTGAAGATGTTTGAATCGAAGGAATTGCTTGTGTAGCAGGCCGAGCTACAGACGGGATATGGGGAAAAGTTGAAACTGCTGCCATTGAAGATACAGTGCTAGGCTCCTGAAGTTTCATCCCAAAAAAAAATCCAATTACAAGCTTTTATATATATATTTATATGACGATATGTTATCTTATACACAATATTATTTCAGATATCTATATGGGATATTCAAAAGAACTTAATTAAATCAATTTAACAATATCTAAAACAATGTTTTTGAATGTCTTTTCAAGCACCATAGAATAAACTATATAATCCATTTATGATTTATATTTAGTATATAGGGGATTATAAACAAACAGTTTATCAATAAAGCTGCCTACTCCAACTGACTAAAAGATCAAAAAGACTTACAACTTTCACAGTAGCAGTTGGAACTGGTCCAACAGAAACTGGTTGCCGATTAAGAATAGGTCCATTGGCTGAAAATCACACACAAAGAGATCTTCACATAAGAACAAGCAGGATAAAATCTGAAAGACGCACAAAATGAAAGCAAGATACTTCAACTAAATTAAAGTATCTGTAACCGGAACCTGATGGCACAGGAGCTGGAGGCTGCCCAGTGACTGGAAGAGATGGAGCAACAGTGGCCCTGTCGATATTCATAGGGCTTGGGTTCTGTGCCATATTTGTTGCAGAATGACTTAAGGCAGCACGTGCTTCCACAAAATTCTCTGAGATCAAGACAAGATAGAATGTGTTCTTAACCGTGTCTAGTGACAAGTCCGCACTTTTTGGATTGAGCTTTCCCTGCATTTAGAAGAAAAAAGAAAAAATCTTAACAGTACTCATCAAATAATTTTACTTCAGTCTGTAGCACTGAATAAAGAGCTGGCTGACAAATGAAACGCTTCTGTTATTGAACATCGAGTCAATTGCAAATAGACACGCAGTCTCACCGCATTGTATAGTGCTCTAATCTTTGGAAGCTGCTTTGGGCACACAACAGACAAAGAGACAGAGCACTGCACACCAATATGGCAAATTAGTCATTCCCAATTTCAAACAGTCGTAATAAATGGGGAATTCATATAAAAAAAAGGTACCATAGAAAAATACGATGCCACTGTCTCGGCATCTGATAAACGACTTTGAGATTGCACATCGCCATTTTCATTCCGTTCCGCGTTTGGTACTTTCGGACGATATACAGGTGTTGGTAATGAGTAAGGGTTGCTGGCTGTGATTAAGATACAGTGCCTTTTCAAATCGTTACTTGGTTGAGCTTGGCCTGAAGGAGGAGAAAACATCTGCGTCATGAAAGACAGAAGACAATCGTGAGATTTAAAGGATCTAAAATATCTCTGACAGAAGCAGAACCATATACAATGAAGCCGTGGAGAAAAATAATAATAGTTTCACTAAGCAACTAGACTAGTCAAGAGTCGCTTGAAAGACAGTAGTTTATACATATGTATTTCTAGTTGCGTCACAGATGAGAAGAGATCAAGTTTCCCACCATCAATGCTTCCGAAAGTCCTTCGGCTGTGGCAGCCTCATTGAAACCACCACCGGCAAATTGTATGGACGAAAGCCACTGCATGAAAATACCAACATCTCTTGTCCAGCCACTCCGTTGTACCAAGCAAGCTAAGAAGAACGAAATAATCAGAAATACAAAAGATTAACCATGGCCATGAAAAAGCACCCATTGTTAATGTTTTTACTTGGATATCAAAGAAATGGAGTGCAATACATACCACAATATGAACCATGAGAATTGAAGACGACCAGTGATAGCTCAACATTAGAAACAGGGTTCCTCTGCAGGTTTCGTGAATATATAAAGACTCATCAGCCATCGAATCAAACATATGAAACTGCCTACTTGCTATCTTGTACAAGTAGCAATACAAAAGAATGAATAGTAGTTTGCTCAAAAACGAGGATGAGTCAGATAAAGTACCTCTCCATTTAATTCAGTGCCACAGAAAGACCTGCACAAACGCAGAGATTGCATTAACAGATGACGGAAGTCAATTTTAACATACAAAACATGTCAGGCGCAGATATTAGTGGTTCAACTGCTGCCGGATCCACCAAAAATATTCTTTCAAAATAAATCTCAACACACTCAAAACAACAGCAACAAAAGCTCTCTAGTAAAAAAGATACTATGATGCCCTAAGAAGCATGTAGCTCAAAGAAATTGAAGAGAACCGTTTAAAACTGAAAATCTGATTAAGATGTGCAGGTGATGTGGAACAGTAGTATTATATCCTACATTCTCTTAAACTTTAGATTAGAAAACTCAATTGCTTCAGTGCTATGAATGTCGTAAAGTTCAATGAACAACAGGAAATCAATTTTTCACACAACACGATGATACTATAGAATGAGTAAGCGACTCTGAAGGATAAAATGTGATGCTACAATTCAATCAAAGCTAGAAATGGTTCCCTTTTTCCTAAAGAGGAATACATAAGATTCACTACGCACCAGAGGATAAACAAGGTTCGATTGAAGTATCAATTTCGGCTTAACCCTAACTTGGAAGCAAAAAAGGGGAAATCATCAATATCGGGGAAGAGGAGATGAGAAAGATTAAGAAACCTGATAATTTTCTCGAGATAGTCGGAGACAATGGTCTGCCAATAAGGGCCCAACGCGGCAGTGCCTTCGGCAACGACGATCAGCTGTTTCACCTCCGACGACATAATCGGAAGTTGTGACGTGAATCAAAAACAAGGCTCAGTCTCTCGCCTGGGATTATTGATCTTCTTAGGGCGTAACGATTCGCCGACGGAAATTTTTTCTTTGCTCGTTCTTTGCAAGTTTCCTTCTTCTCAGGCGAAGGATGAAAGATATATAGATTGACAAATGTTTTGATTTGGCCCCGGCCACTCCAAATGGTAAAGAATATAAATACACACAAAAAAAAAGCCGAAAAGAAAAGAAAATATATATAGAAAAGACTTTCTTTATTTGATTTTTTTTTTTAGTTCGCTTTCTTTATTAGGTGTGCTCTGTGTCTGTGGTATGTTCACTTGTGTCTAGAAATAAGTTGAATGAGATTTGCTAATTCTGAATAATCGGATTTTTGTTAACTCATATTTGATTAGATTTATCAAATTTGCTACCGAAGAGACCTATGTATGCTTTGGTGTATTCACTTTGCTATGAAATTCACACAATATGAGTTTATCATTGAAATGCTTAACTTTTAAATTTCAGTAATTTTAAATATTATTTTTCGTGTTATTCATTTAAATAATAAATTTTTTTGTTGACTGATTTTAAAATCTCAAACTTATGTTGACTCGGTTATTTTAGGTACAATATTAACATTGCTAACAGATTGACAAAACGCCGTTTAATCAGTGTTTGTTAGTGAATTCAATGTCATACCTAGTATAGTCGGTCAACATAAGTTTATGGTTTAAAAGATAATTGATAAAAAAAATTGATTTAAATCGTTCACGCAAAACTTAATATTTATAATGGTCGAAATTTAAAAGTTCAGTATCTAAATGATATTTTCCACTTCTTTCTATCAACTGAACTTCAATTTCATCAGTTTACATAACTGCAAAACCAAGTAAATCTAAACTAATTAAAAATATATATTTAAATATAAATCATGCCAACAACAAAAAAATGAAATGATTGAGTTTAATCTTAAAACATCAATTTAACCACATCTAAGAATTTTTTAAGAACGCAAATCTTATGAAACCTTAAATCTACACACATAAGTTGAGATTGTGATAAATAAATGACTAGTTGAGTGTAATCTATAAATTAGGGAAGACTATCGACTAATTGTGTGCGACTAATGTCTCCATTATTACGATAACTTTCATATTTACATAATTAAACTATAAATAAAATATTTGCTTTATGTAGTGTGTACGTTTCATACTTTTTTTTCCTTTTTCAAAGATGTCAAACACAAAAAAAAACTTATTCTATATAGTTGGCACTATTATAATAAAAAAATATTTTGGTTTGCGTTTGGTAAATAAAAAATCCATGAAACAGAAATCAATTATCGCTATGATCACAATTTTACTGAGAGACTCAAGTTTCAAGTTGTGGAAGAGAACTGTAGTAACTTTATCATTTCGAACTATTTGGGTTTTATTTAGAAAATCACATTGTTAAGTGAATCATGTGTTATCACAAAGAACCTCAATAGATTAAGTTCAAGATGCTTTTTCATTAGTTTTATTGCTAATTACAGACTTCAAAGACTTTAAGATTATTAATTTTTTACATTGTAAAATCTTAAGTTTGAGATATTCTTTTAATTAGAAACAGAAGTACTGTTTAATAAAAATATCATTTAAATGCTAAATTTTTAAATTTCGGCCATTATAAACATTAAGTTTTGTGTGAACAGTTTAAATCACAAATTTTTATATTGATTATTTTTTAAATTACAAATTTATATTGACTGGTCATAGTAGGCATGACATTGAATTCACTAACAAACATTGACCAAACGGCGTTTAATTAATCTGTTAGTAAATTTAATATTATACCAAAAATGATTGAATCAACATAAGTTTGTGATTATAAAATTGGTCAAAAAAAAATTGTTATTTAAATAGATCACATGATCGATCATGTTTTGAATAAATAGAGAGTATATGTCAAATAATTAATTTTGTCTTCTGAATCTCCAACGAAAATTGTCATTTGAATCTCCAAACGAAAATCCACATGACATGGCTCTCCAGAAAACGTGTATTTAAGCAAAATTAACTATTCAATAGTATTAAAAGCAGACATTTGTGGTTTCTTTTCCTTGTCAAATAAGGGGTTACTTATACGCGTATGTATGAATCATCTTCATGTTTAAAATTAAATTATTTGTAAAAGGTCTAGTTTGTCTCTATAGTCTATACCAATGGAAATGAGTCGTTTTCTTCACTTTTGACAGTTTCATAACTATGTCATCTCAAATTTGCTTTGGATACCTTTTCCATCTTCTTGTTCCACTGTTAATCCGAGATAACGAAATGTTATATCTTTTAATTTATAGTTTATATACGTTGTTCATAGGTTCCGGTATCTCAACTATGGTCATGTGACACTAAGAATTATTAAAACATCAATATTGTAGATGATACTAGGTATTTACCCGCGCTATGCTGCAGAATATTTTCCTAAATTTTGTATATATTTTTAATATAATAAAATTATTTTTATAATGTAAATGAGTATTTTTTATTTTTTTATTAGCTTAAGTTATTTCTTTATATGTTTTAAATCTGAATTAACGTTGTATATCCTTAATTTTTTTACTTTTTAAAATGATAAATAGCTATTAAATTTGTTTAGCTAACTAACTATAAATGTATATATAAGAATAAAGCAATACAATTTTAAATACTTTCATGCTAATGGTAAATGTAATATATTTTCTCCACTAAATTGCCACTTGATCCTCCGTTGTAATTATGTAAAGCAAAATGTCATTTAAAAAATATTTATTAATTAATACGATTATTTTGAAGTACAAAATTTATTTATTTATCAAATATTTATTATAAACATACGTTTCTAAGACCACCAAACTATAATCAATAACATTCATATTAAAATCATTGTTGTTGCTTTCAAACCAAACCGAAAATTCTATTTAAACTCTTGAACTTTCGATTTAGTTGAAGTTAAATAATTAAATTTTGGTTACTGTAAACATATTGTAACTTGAAATTTTAGTAAAGAGAAATTTCGTCTTTTTACAAAAACCGAGAAATCGCATCTCCTGTCAAAACAAAAAAACTACATATTCCTACGAAAACTGAGAAATCACATATTCTGGCCAAAACCAAGTAAATTCATTTTATCGTCAAACAGAAAATTTTATTTTCCCATTAAAACAGAGAAATCGTATATTCTCTCAAAAACCAAGAAACCACATTTTCCCGCGAGAGACTGTGTTTTTCCGTCAAAACCGAGAAATTACGTTTTTTCACCAAAATCAAAAAATTTCATCTTCCTATAAAAACCCAAAAATCGTATTTTCCCGTCAAAACCGAAAAATTCATTTTTCCGCGAAAACCGAGAAATCGTCTATTCCCACTAAAACTAAATAATTTATTTTCTCGTCAATCCAAAAACTACGCTTTCCAACCAAAACCGATAAACTACAATTTCTCGCGAAAACTAAAAATTAAATTATCTCATGAGGAATTTTTTTTTACCACGAAAACAAAAAAAATCGCATTATTTTTCAAAAACTGAAAATGTACATTTCCCATCAAAACCGAGATATTGCAATTTCTCTCGAAAACTAAGAAATCATATTATCCATCAAAAGTCGAAAATTTGTGTTTCCTATCAAAACAGAGAAATCACATTTTTTAGTCAAAATTGAAAAGTTGCATTTCCCATCACAACCGAATATCACATTTTCCCGTCAAAATTAAGATATTTTGTTTTATCATCAAAATCAAACTTTTTTTTGTTTTCTTACCAAAACTGAAAATTCACATTTTCACGCCAAACCCGAGAATTTGCTTTTCCCACCATAACCGAAAATTATACTTTCTTACCAAAACTGAAAATCACATTTTTCTATCGAAACCAAGAAATCCTCTATTTCCGCCAAACTGAGAAATTCCCTATTTCCACCAAAGCCAATAAAATTTTCTTTATCGTCAAACCGAAATATCGAATTTTCCTAACAAAACTGTGAAATTGTATTTTCCTGCGAAAAGTCAGTCAAAAGTTGAACTATATTAGGATAATAATTTGGGAATCTTTCTACCTAAAAAGAAAGCAAAATAATTATCAAACTTAAAACTAAAAGATTATTTTCTGAGAAAGTAAACTAAAAAATTGCTAGTAGTATCTTGTTGTTTATCCATATTTTTTTAAAAAGAAGAACTCATAAATCCGATGCAGCAGGCAGAGTAATAAAATAAGATTGAGAAGACCTGATATTTAATGATAATTTGAAGGAAAAAAGAGAGAAATTTTGTTTTGTTTTAAATAATTTTTATATCAAAGGATCTTATGGGCTTTTAAATATAATGAATTTTATTTAGTTGTTAGTCTTGGATAAATTTTTTGATCCAAATGAATTGAAAGTTTTTTTTAAATGAGCTGTATTAATAAAATATTTTTATTGGTTGATTTTTTTTCTGAGATGTCATGTAGAGAAAGTCTGAAAAAGTTTAAGTGTCATCACCTGGAGAGACTTATGAGTTATTGTTGTGTTGATGCAAGGAAGCGTAACATTATTTTTAAGTTGATGGGCCTGTAAGTAGAGTTAAATGAGCAGTTGAGCCACTTAAAGTGGTAAATGCTATTGTGAAGTCCAATAAGATTGGTCCAAAAACATGGGCATGGGCCGCTTTGGGCCCTTTTAAAAAAAGATCAATTTGTGTTTTAGATTAAGATTTTGAAATATCTCATATTCGAGAGAGCAGAGAGAAAAAGAGGATGAACCGAACCGAACCAAACATTGGTGTTGTTAAGGTGATTCATTCACGAGATTTAGTTGAACACACGCGCTTGATACGCGAGTGGGTTGGTGCAGGTAGGGTATGCGACTCCTCGGTAGCGTGAAGGGTCGTCCAAATTTGAACAAAACAAAACCTCAAAAAAGAGGAAACGCGGCTTGGAGATGTGTGAAAGTCACGCTTCCAAAGATTCTCCTTCCCATTTGGTGCGTTTCTTCCTCCTCTTCTCTCGAAGAATATTCCCTCATGTAAAACTATACTTTATAAATTTATATGTATAATAAATTCCACCCAAAAAATATACATTTAATTATGTATAAACTATAGTTTCTCTTGACCAAAAAAAAAACTACTGTTTCTAATTACTTTATTTGGTTCCTTCATACTATCATTTTATATACAATTTAAAACGACTCCTGCTTTTAAATTCTCACGTAGGATAATAAATTATAGTCTCCGAGCTTTTTTACAATAATAGTATATAAACATCTCGGAAAATTGGATCATGCTTCCAGTTTGTGTGTGAATGTGAACACACAAATGTCCAGCCTAATGGAATCCAATAATGTATTATACAGTATATTCTTCATTACTCGTTTTGTTTTATTTCTATAATAAGGCATAAAATAACGGAATAAGAAAACGAAAAGGGTCACGAGTATTTCAGAATTCAGTAATGACTAAAAACGAGTCGTCGTTCTTATCCCTCTCAACGTCACGAGAATGCTGACGTCAGTGCCTACTCATCATCATCATTTTTACCCACCCTGATCAAGATGCGATGCAAAAAAAAAAAAAAAAAAACTGAATCCCATTTATACCGAAAATATTCTTTTCTATAAACAAACAAACCCCCACATCATCTTCGTATATTTGCCATTTTATCCTTTTATCTCTTAAACAAGAAAAAAAAGTCCTTAATCCGGAATAATATCACTTTCTTTTTAAAAACATCAAGAAAAAGATTCGGTTTTAAGTACGCGACGGCCCGACCTCGATCCCTAATTTCTCAGACACCAACAATTCTCTCTCTCTCTCCTTAAAACTTCCAACTTGAGCGTCAAGTTTATTATTCACTTCTCTATTTAGATCCAAATATTCCTTTCTCTTCCAAGCTCCTCTCTCTCTCTCTCGATTTATGTTCTCTACACCGAATCACCAAAACAGTCGAGCATGATGATGATAAACATGGATTACTCCTCCAAAATGCAGAAATGTCACAGATATGTCGAAGCTCTTGAAGAAGAACAGAAGAAGATCCAAGTCTTTCAGCGTGAGCTCCCTTTGTGTTTAGAGCTAGTAACCAAAGGTATATATATTAATTTCATCTTCTTCTCTCTTTGTTCTTCTCTCGATTTTCATTTTCTAATTAATCGTCTCTTAATTCTTACAGCGATAGACTCGTGTCGAAAGGAGTTATCGGGATTATCCACGTCGGAGAACGTCCTCGTCCAATCAGAGTGTTCTGACCGGACGACGAGTGAGTGCGGCGGAGCTGCCGTCTTTGAAGAGTTTATCCCAATCAAGTGGAATTCGTCTTCTTCCGATGAACACGAGTCCGGTGAACCAAATAAAGACGACGGAGCTGAGAAAGCCGCTTGTGAAAATAACGGCGATAAGAAGAAATTAGATTGGCTTAGATCTGTTCAGCTATGGAACCAGTCGCCGGATCCACAGCTCAAAGAGGTAAAATTCGATTAAAACGTTTTGGTGAAATTCAAATCGGAAAATGGCTTTTTTGTAGCTTTTTTAAATCTGATTTGTGCTTTTGTTGTTGTTGAATGTATCAATAGGATGAGACGACGGTGGTGGTGGAGGTCAAACGAAACTGCGGTGCGTTTCAACCGTTTCAAAAGGAGAAGCTGCCCGTTGTTGCGGCTGCGAAGGCTGACTCTGACTCTCAACCGCTTAAAGCAATCACTCCGACGCCGACGACGTCGAGTTCCACGGCGGAAACCGGCGGAATTAAAAGAGAGTCGGAGCAGCGTAAACACTCGCAAATGCATAGGAAGCAAAGACGTTGCTGGTCGCCGGAGTTACACCGGAGATTCCTGCACGCGCTTCAGCAGCTTGGAGGTCCACATGGTAAAATCCATTTCCCAAACTTTTTTATTATATTTTGGTGACAGAAATTGGATTATTGATTTGGTTATTGGTTTGCCAAATCTGAAGTTGCCACGCCTAAGCAGATTAGAGATCTCATGAAAGTCGATGGTTTAACCAATGATGAAGTTAAAAGCCATTTACAGGTAACATAATCGTCATTTTTTTTATGTTTCTGAATCGTTTGTCTAATCTTAATTTCAGATTTGATATAAACCATGATCCTAAACTGTATCGAATCGTTTGAATATTTTCAGAAATATAGACTGCACACAAGAAGACCAGCTACTCCGGCAGTGACCAACGGCGGAGAAAATCCACAACAACCGCAGTTCATGGTTGTGGAAGGTATTTGGGTGCCGTCTAACGATGCAGCAAATAACAGAGTTTACGCTCCTGTGGCAGTACAGCCGCCGCGAGCTTCACCGTCGGAAGAGAGAAGCAACAGGCGTTGCAAATCGCTGACAGAATCTTCTTCTACACACACGGCACACCTTCTTCCTCTGTCATAAATAGTTTAACTGTCTCCATATGAAAATTCTTTTCTTCTTTTCGAGGTTTAAAATTTTGAAATAAACTGTAAAACACGTCGACGACAAGAGATACACACATGAAAGAGAAATAAACATTTTGATACTTTAGTTTGATAAAGATAATACAGTATGTAGTATTGATTTTTGGTCAAGAATTTTCTAGACGATATCTTACATTGGGTAGATTTGAAAATGATATGTACACAACTCAACATCAGTTTTGGTAATTGAATTCGTTATTTTAGAAGTAAACGTGAAATTGCGTAATGTAATTACAAAGTCGCAGAAACTTTATGGTCTATGATGGGTAAAGCATAATCATTTTTCCAAGGCGGTGATTATTTAAATAATCATAACATGACCTACCCAAGATTCTTAATGCACAAATAATCAAAATGAGTATAGTATAAGTGGAACCAAATAATCTTTGGGGTCGTATGGTAGAATTTTCTAAAGTTATATTCTTCGTTTGTTTTCAATTAGAGGTGTGTGTGGTCCCGGTGGCCGAATATTCTGGGATATCAAAAAAGAAGCATATAATTTCTTTGGCATTTTTCTTGCAACTGATTAAAAAATCACGAGAAAAAGGAGTCTTTACGAAAACACAAGCTTTTAAGAAATAATTTTGGTGCTGTCCAAAGTATATTATCTGCCATTTGTTTTACTAAGTTTAGATATTCTCTACCATTTTTACATAAGTTATCTTCTCGTGAACAAAATAACTATAGTAGAGAAAAAGTTTTTAATATCATCTTTTAAAAACGAATCATTGTAACGCCGAATCTCTTGCTTTATCTATTTATTTATTTATCAACTTTTTCCTTGCCTTTTTATTTTTTCCTAAACAGAAAAAACTTGATTAATTATTATTCATCAGTCGTAAATACCATGCAATTTGTTCATATTTCAAAAACCTATTTTTTCAAATGTTTTTATGTGTACGGTGTACCTGGTGCTGGAAACAAAATTGAAAACTTTTTTATCCGGATGAAAAATGAATAAAAGAAACAAATTAAGACAATGATCATTGTAATGAGGAGGTAAATTATCCGAATCAAATACACAAATCTTGATTATTGAAGCTGCATTAATTTTAAACACTCATCTAATACCAGTTGTCTAATAGTGACCCTTGCCTTCTCCTAAAGGCCAAGTGGCGCTTATTGTGGGCCTCCCTTTACCTGATGCTCAGATACAATACAACTGCCCATCAAATTATAGTAATTGTTTTGTTTATTTTTGGGTTCAAAGTTTGAATCTTTTCTTTGGGTAACTTGCTGATAACGGGAAATGTAAGTCGACAAGATTGTCAGCATTCCCTAAATAAACCAAGCAAATTGTGACAAGAATAATAGCATCCACTTTCATTGATTCAATAACAATTTATTGGTATATCTTATGCTAATCGCCAGGGCAAGTCAATGCATTCTAAATTACGTTATATGCACTCATCTAATGCTCTTAAAATTTGCTGTGATGCCAGATGTTTGGCTTGAGATTCCAGTTATATACTTACTGTGTCTATTTAATTAGTTATACGATTTCTTTCATAGACTAGGGGTCTATGAGTCTAGGATGGGTTTGATTGATTTATTTGTAAAATGTCTTAAACAAAAATAAACAAAAAAACTGTTCAAAATTCAAATATCTTGCAAGAAATATAGTAAGATTATTCAAATTTCAAACTAAGAGTTGCTGATACCATTTTAACAAATTTCCCCCTTACATAGGTTTATCTTCTATTGTAGCGATTGTAAATTGTGAGAGAGAATAATTTGTTGAATTAAATAAAAGATAAATGTTGCTTGTGTGACAACAAAGATAATTGAAATGAGGTACACGACAATATAACTTTTTAAATGATATGATTAAATTTAAGATAGGGACAACGAATCCTCTTCTTCTTGTTTTACCCATCTAAATATCTAATTCTTATCGGCATCAGCGTTATTCAAAACAAATCGTTAAAGAAAAATGTTATAGATTCAAACCGGAAATTTGATCGGTCGAGTTACGATTTGGTCAGCATATCGGTTTGAGCTAAAGATTCGAACCATTCTTCTTATGACAGCAAAAATTACCAAAGAAGTTTATTTGTAGAGATGTTAACTACGCCTTCCGAGTTCCGATTCTACTAATCAATTTCTCCATTTGATTTTTGATCTGAATGTTTCTGTGTTAGTAAATGATTTTCTTAAATTTCGAGCTGACGAAGGGCTTGTATGTTGAGATGAATGTTGATACGTCGAACTGATGATCAACGCAATCAGTTTGCCTATCATGACACTGACTAAGCCGTCGAAGCATCTGACTGATAATGTAAGAGTATTGCTTCCTGACTTGAGAAAACACGTAAGACCATAGTTTATGTATCATGGTTTTGAATGAATTTCTTAAGAAGATGGAGAAGTACATTATTCCTGAATAGTTGGCTTGTGCTGCAAGTAAAGACTAGAGATGTGCCAATACGAAAGTCCTTATAAAGTGTAATTCGATAAATTAGATCAAAGTTGTTTGAAGTTTCTTGTTTTTGATGAGGCTGACCACGTGCTTTATACGGTATGCTCTTTACTCTGTGCTCTTTGGCTTGTTAGTTTCTCAACTTAATGATGTTAGACCATTCCATTCCCAAAGACGTGCATGTGGATAACTCGGTTGAAGAATGGCTTTAAGGGATGATTCCTTAAAGATAGTAATAGAGATTGAGACAATTGATGCGATTTTGAAGGTCTTGTTAATGCCACAAAAAGTTTAGAATTCTAATGCGGGTTACTTTACTTCCTAATTAATACACACAATAGTTTGTTCAAGCTTTAAATCTTTGATAAGTGCTATTTCTTCAAATCTTAGCCCAAGAATATTTATGGTATATTTATTATGAGATTACAAAATATATTTCATGATGGAATATCACCGTAGGCTTTGGTTCTGTACTTCTGTCCAAGAAAAAAAACTTACGTTAGAGAAGATGGATTGGATAAGAAAACAAATAGGTTGAGGACGAAGGAGATAATTAACAAGGAAGAAGAATCGAGGAGGAACATTTAAATTTTGTTTATGAACTTGGGCTTTGAACGTGATGGGCCTTACTCATGAGAACAAAATTCAGCAGCAAAAATCGGAAATGGAGTAATATTTACTTTTTGGATTTTTACAAGTTTTATCGGAAAATTCATTAGTTTGCAAACAAATACATGCCAAGGTTTTAGCATGTTCGAACTTCGAATTTAAAGATCTCTAACACACACACAAAAAATGTAGCGTTCGTTCTACTGTTCTGAACGCAATGACGTGTTTTTCATTTTCTTACCACGAAAATTCACCACTAGAATGAAACTATATAGCTTCACACTGTCCCGTAGAAATCTTAGAAATTAGGTTATTGTCATAAGCAAAAAAACAATACATGCATGTGTGGTGCAATAATCAGTTATTGATATGAACCAGAACCAGTGTACGGTGTACCCATACATCATATGTAGGGGTGGACAAAATATCCGTTATATCTGCTTCGAACCGATATTTGCTTCGATCCGATTCGAAAAATCTGGATATCTGTAAAGCTTCGGAGCAAAGCAAATAGCAAAATGTAATATCCGTACAAAACGGAGCAAATCACAAATATTTTTTTAGATAACACCGGATATCCGATCCGATCCGTATCTTTATAAATTTATTATATATTATCATGTATATATCAATTATATTATAAATTTTTATTAATATATTCATAATTTTCTTTCTAAATTTTCAATTTTTATTTTGATTATATAAAATAAATGACTAAATAACCAATTATAAAAAAATAAATAATATGTTTAAACTTAAAATATGTTAATAAATAACATTTTATTTTATATTAGTAAATAAATATCAACAGAAATTTTTTAGTAAAGTTTAATATTAAAGTTTCAAATAGCTAATATTATTTTTAAATATAAAATATCATTTTTTCCTCATCTTAATTTTATAGGATTATTTTTTATAAATTTTTTTATAAAATAAAATATCTTTTTTTAGTTATTTTCACTTAATAGTTTAGATGAAAAATATTTTTTTATAATAAAAATTGATGTACTTTCAGTTTTGTGTATATTAAACGGATCAAACTAAATATTCATAAATATCCGTAAATATCCGCAAATATCCCTAAATACTTGTAAATTTTCTGGATATCCGAAAATCCAGATATCCGTATATTTCCGGAGCAAATCAAATCATAAAATTAAATATCCGTTAAAAATGGAGCAAACCACAAATACTAAAAAATTCCCAGATATCCGATCCGCGTCCACCCCTAATATATAGCCTTTGGTTTTTTGTTAAAGAACATTTTATGTAGCCATTTGGATCTTATTGATTATTTAAAAACAACAACTATACTTCGTGGATAAATAAATGAGATGCATGAATCTTAAGATACAATACAAATAATTATAAATCTTCGAGGTGTACTTATTCTAGTAGTTATAACTTATATCAATGGTTTTAAAAGTCGTAGTTTAGATTCCGTGCATGTTAATAATATTTCGGTCAGTGTTTTCCACAGATGGTACAGAAAACAGTTTATAAACTTAATTAGTTGAAGAAACGTACAGAATCTTTGAACAGTCGACGTTGTTGTTCTTCGCTTAAGCATCTCAACCACATAATTAGATTTTCGTATCCCACCCACGTTTTTAAATTGGACATGTTGACACATTTAAACTATTCTATTTGATCTTGCGAGATATTTACTCCAATAATGTACAATTTGTATGTAAGTACTAAATGAATAAATAACAGTGGGCTTAAACACTCAAAAATATTTTAAATTTCAGTTGAAAAAATATGCAATAAAGGGATATATATATAACCAAGATAAATTAAGCCAAACAAAATATCATATTCAGCAAGGGTGAAAAACAAACCCAAATTAGATGTGAGCAAAAACTATTTCCTAGTCATCATTTCCTTGTCTTATCCTAATTTACAACTTGCCAATTTAATAGATTTTTTTTTTTGAAAAAGAGAAACAAATTTTAGAAAGGACCAAAAAAAAAGAAAAAAAGAGAAATTGTCACAAGGCGTTGATTATCGCCTGCTTCTTGGAACGCCCTAACGCAAATAAATCAACTTCCCGAGATCTCTTCTTGCCACCGCACTCTACTGCGACGTCGTTTGGTTTAGCGCTACTCACATTGAAAATGTTGACCCCAAAAAGCCTAACCACAGTCTGAACCGGGGTTTGTTGCTCCGTACCGGACCGGACTTTCCAATCGATATACAGTTGCCGGTCTGGTCCGGTTGATCTCTCGAAACAAACCACATCTCCGGCTCGGAGATTTTTCTCTTTAACGAACCGGCTCCAGCCCTTGGTCAACACGTAGCTTTGACTGCTGTTCCAGTACGAGTAACGGAACCGCCACACTTTCCCCGTTCTGTCTTCCAGATTAATCAGAACGCCTTTCGTCGGAGACGGATTCATCGCCGTCACCGTCGTCAGCGCCGGTAACGGAAAATGCTTCTCCGCGTGCTGTTTCGGTATCACCAACCGGTTCAGCTTCCCGACGTCGCTAGGCGTAACGGCCTTCTCGAAAAGAACTTCACGCGCTCTCAAAACGCCGCCGTTTCCCTCCGAGTGAGTCATCGTCGTCCCCGATCCAAAGCATTTTCCGTTACCGTTACCGTCAAGGAACTTCCGCATGCTCTGTTGAAGCTCGTCGTTGTAAGTGTGTTTCCTCAACATATCGACGATCTCGGCCTTGGAATGAGCGTCGAGGAAAGCCGATTCAGCGTCGGTGCCGTCGATCGCCGGGGATTTGAAATTGGTGACGGCGTCACGGCCGCGGAATCTCCGAGCGGCGATGTCGTAGGAAGCAGCGGCTTCTTCCTCCTCGTTGAAAGTGCCTAACCAGACGCGCTGGTGCTTCTCGTAAATCTGAGCTCCCCATCTTCCGTTAGGCTGAGGAACAACGCCTTTGAATTTCGACGACGGGAGCTTCCGTGACTCCGTCTCGACGCCGTTGTCCAAGTCCAGAACGACGCTGCTCCCGCCGCTTCCCATCCTGTAGAGACGCATCGCTTGAGGAGGAGGAGGAGGAGGAGGAGGAAGTTTCTCCGTCGTCGTCGTCTTGTTTGCTGACGGCGTGGAGAAGGAGAGAGATTCTGAAGTGGTACTAGTACTGTCGTCTATACAGCTGTAATCCATTTTGTTTGAACGAGAAAACGAGTTTATGAGAGGAAATAAAAAGAAAATGAGAAAGAAGAGCAACAAAAAATGAAGAAATGGGCTGTGTTGCTTTATGAGGAGATGGGGTTGGAGTTTATATACAGAAGGAAGTGCATGTACGTTCCCTTTGATATTATTATTTTGTCTTTTTCCTTTTCTTTTTTGTGTTTTGTCAAAATATGATAGGATAAAGAGGGATAAATGTAAAATGTGGGTAATGTATTAAAATAAAATAAAAATGAGAGAAAGAGTGAAACATATATAAATAAGAGAGAAAAAAGGGGAAGGTGCTGTAGAAGAGTGGGGTCAAGTCTTGTAAGAGTGGCAAAATGATAGTTAGAGGAAGTTTCATGGGAAAGAGAGAAGAGAGAGTCAGTCCAAAAATATGGGTACTAGTGCTGCTATACGGTCTTTTTTATTTTACATTCGTACATAATTTTGATACCTTTTTTAATTATTTTTTGAGAAATTGGCTGTAATAACCACCAGACCAGTTGAAATTAATAGAATGATCATATAAAAAGAAGTGTTATAGTATTTTTATATTTTATATAATATATATCAAACTACTTTTTTCTTCTTTCTCTTCTCGTCTTCTCTTCCCCTTCTCCTCTCTTACCTTCACATCTTCTATCTCTTCTCTTCCTTTTCCCCTCCTCTCCCCTCTCTTCTCTTCCCCTTCTCCTCTCTTACCTTCACATCTTCTATCTCTTCTCTTCCTTTTCCCCTCCTCTCCCCTCCCTGTCTTCTCCTCTTCCATCTTCTCATTTCCCTCCCCTTCCCTTCCCCTCTCCTTTTCATTTGATGAATTATATTATATAAATTATGTGAAATAATTAATTTTATAAATAATATAGTACGATACAAAAATTGATATAGTACAATATATTAATATAAAATTGATTTATAATTAGAACTTCAAATACTATACTATATAAGTTTTCTCGTGTAAAAACATATATTATAGTATAGTCCAGAAAAAATTATATATTATAATATAGTCCGAAAAAAATTATATATTATAATATAATCTATAAAAAAATATGGGCAACATATGTTTATAACATTAAGAAAAATGAGTTTTTAGTAATTTTTACGTAAGTCATGGTTAATTTACATATTATTTGAATAGCATAACTATATTGTTCTATTGTTTTGTAAATATGGTTAGATAGCAAAAAAACCCTTATTTTTTCACCTTTTTTTTGTTGGCGTGACAAAAAAAAATACGGTAATGTTTTTTATATTGGTCAGAACATTGGACATAGAAAGAAAAAAGGAATTTGTTTCTTAAAAACTCAGTAGAAGACAAAGGATAACATTAGCAATTAATGAAAATGGGTATATATTCTACTGTATGTGTTGTTATTTCATTTCCTTTTTTATCATCGTCTGACTAATTCCAATGACTAAAATGGTCCATACCAAAATGAAGAATTGTAGAGATATATATGTAAATTATTGTTAAGAGTTGACTAGATAAGTAGATAGAAATGAATAATGGGCAATGTGTAACAACAAAGAAATGGGGATAGATAGAATAGAGAGGGACAAGTGGGAAGGGGGTTCACATGACATTTGGACCTTCCTCCTCCTTTTTTTGTTGCAATTATATGATTAAAATTGTGCATCCCCCCCCCCCCCCCCCCCCCCCCTTCGAGGCTTTTCTTGAAAGTTGAAATTTATATTCGTCGTTCCATATTTGGTATGTGACGTGTCTCTTTACATATTATGCAATATGTTTTTGCTTTTGGTTGGGGAGAGTCATGATCATTGGTTTCTCTTACGATGATGTTTCGTATAGAAAGTCCATACTTTGTTTTGGTTTTATCCTCTAAGCACTTCTTTGTACGTTGAATCTTATTTGGCTTTCCTACGCATTTTCTTCCCTCTCGCTCGCATTTTCTTTACTAATGTATGCTCACATTTTAACATTATTCCCCCACTTGGATGGGAACTGAACTAAACAAACCAGATTTCACATAAAACCATCAAACATTCCTCTGTTTTCCCTTTTGTTTTCTTTATAATGATGTAGTTTTCTTTTCTCTCTCTCTCTACATTAATTATTAGTATAAACTTATATATTCGACGTCATTAGATATCAAACCTACACAATTGGTTTGAATACAAAATTTGAAACGTCAACTTTTGTTGGTTTTGATCGTTCTCATAAGCTATGAATCCAATGAGTTCGACACAATTATTGCTCAATTATATCAATTACATTTTTTAAAAATATAAGATAACAAGAATGGGGACAAAGAAGATCAAAAGTGTGATTTCATGTGAAGGGGAGATGAATCCATTGCATTTGCCCTAAGCTATATTCTTGTACGGAGCAGAGTACCTAGTTCCATTGGTCCTACCTTTCTTCAATTGTTTATCCATTTCTTTTGAAACAAAAGTAATACTTATCCATTATTAATGTATATATGGAGAATTAACTTAATATTTCCTCAAACAGACTATTATAATAAGTCTTTTTTTTTAACATATGACTATTATAATGATATTAACGAGTTAAAACCGAGCTAAGCACTGAAACATTTGATTAGTGGGTCACGAACTCGCAGCTCAATAATGTTCAACCTGTTCCCACCATATTTACTAATCATTTTTCTTTATAGAAGTATACATATAAATATTAACTATGTATAATTAAATAAAATATACACAATCATTACTTAATCTACTGAAAAATCAAAAATCAAATATAAAAAAAAAATTGTCAACGAGGGACTTAATCTACTGAAAAATCAAAAATCAAATACGTTGTTATCATAAAACGGTTTTACCATTAAAAATTGAAGTGTTCACTATTCACAAACATGGCGAGAGTGTAACTCTTTAGTCGAATCCAATACTGAAAAGCATAATTAAAATTTTAAACTTTTTATGTGTACTTTAAACAAATTTATATATCGAGACTTTAGAACAGTTCCTACTTGTTAGAGATTATCTAGCTCGTTTTTTGTCTTTATTTTCAAAACATATATTTATCGTATTAACCTTAATATATATATATCTTCTTCTTTTTTTTGTTGCTAAAAAGCTATCGGAAAGAAGAGGGAAACAGGAATACAAATTTGCGTTAGCCTAACAGTACGTACAATGTTGGCCCGTCCCAACAATTATCAACATTTCAAAAAAAACTTCTTGTGGAAAAAAAATTGTGTCATAAAATCATGGGTTGACTTGAATACATGTGTAATTAACATGCAAGATTGTCACATTTTTAGTTGAAGTGGGTTTGGTACTTTGGTGTAATTAGAAACGGCGTCGCTTTAATGAATAATTGGGGCATGCATGCATGTGGGGAAGACAACGAGTGAGATGGTTTTAGACGAAAAGGTCAGCACCATCCTCCTCGTTTGTTCTGTCTGGACCCAAATTTCATCCTATTTTTAGTAAAATTCTAATTTCATCTCAGCCGTTCATTTTGGATTCTTATCTTCCATCAGCAACATAATTTTAGTCGACGATTATATATATACACCGACAAAAAAATATATATATTTCTCATAGAGTTAACAGTAGTTTGTGTTGGGGATAGTCAGGTAGGTTGGCCTAACTAATAAACTCAAATCCAGTGGAGTGGTAACTAAAAAATATGCATGGCCTAACTTAGGCCACCTTACCAAAACTAATTAAGTACGAGTATTAAATTAGGGACCCTTAAATCCATTAATTAATGTGTGGCTCCCCCCTTAATAAAAGAAACGTGACATTAAGCGTGCAATATGTTTAATCAATTCGCTGGAAACCTAATTTTTTTAAAAAATCATCATTGCAAACCTAATTCATATGATTATATAATTCTCGATCAAATAAGCTAATATATAATGACACTATATAGTTCTAACTGTAACATAATATGGCGGATTTTTGGGACAATTGTCTTATTATTTGGAATAAATTGATCATTTTGGCAGATTTTATAAATAATTAAATCAATTGAATTCCTTTTTACTTCCCTCTTGAACAAGTTTCCACCAATTTTATCAATTACAAAGAGTATTTGTTAGCGAAATGTCTTCTTTTCAGCAACAAAATATAGTAGTTGGCGGAAACTGTTTTCCATCACCCAATATGATGGTTTTGCAAACAAAAAGATAACAACGCCAGTTAGAAATTTAGGCGTATACAATGCGAACACAGCAATCTTTAGGCAATTTTTTTTTATAGTACTATGATTGACGCAAACTAAAAATAAAAATACATGCTCCAGTCTAGATAAAAATGAAATTAGTTGTTTCTAAAATGGTTTAATTAATGTAAAAATATACATATTCGAATTAGGGGGGCATCACGCGCCGAATAAATATGTAAACAACCCGAGTTTTAATTACTAGAGAGACTTACGTTTAACTGTGTATAAAGTCTATAAGAAGAAGATAAACAAAGCCAGATAGGACAAGAAGACCCTTTAAAATGACGACTATCCATCAACCTGAGTTATTCTTATTTTCTTTTTGCCAGCTTTAGTTTATTTTAATATTGATTTTAGGCTGTCATAAGAGGCTAAAGATAGAATAGTAGGTGTATTAGTAGTATTTGATATTTATAGAATAGTGGAGAGTAATTAACAAAGTATACACATGTGTGGAAATTATATAAAGAAGACTGCTTTTGTTGACCAGTAAAAAGGAACACTATGGAGAGAATCGAAACCATTGGCTACTTGACGTGGGTTTCACGTGGACTCCTGATCCGACCTGAATGCCACATTACTTAAACCCATTGGCTTTTGTCTTTGCCTTAGTATTTTTTTAATTATTTTTATTTTACCAACTCGCCATTGGTTTAAGACTTTAAGTGACAAATCTTGTTTTTCTTTTTTCGAGTGGAATCCTATGTGGCTGTTATTATTTGCCAAAAATAATCATAGGAGTATTTAAAATCTCTATTTCAAATTGAAACATAACATAGTTGAGACTTGAGAATATAGTAGTTGAGTGTAACAAATCAAAAGAAAAACATAATAATATATCTTTGCAGTTGTCTTCTTAGACATTATAAATACATACACAAACATATATAATCTCCGCCGTTATAAGTTTGAACAAACATATTTTGTGGAATTAATGTGGCTGCCTTGTGCTGACATGGTGCGCACAAACCAACATTATTAAAAAGTCAAATAAATTTATTTTAAACCAATTGGCATGCTAGTAACTAACAATACTAAGCAACAAAATAGTCTAAATTTATATTCTATGAGCAACCATATATATACAGAGACTAGAGTATATTAGCTGCGTATTTTTGTTATAAATAATTTATACAGTAGAACCTCTATAAATTAATACTCGATAAATTAATAATCATTATAAATTAATAATTTTTGTCGGTTCCAAGTTGGGCCAGTGTAAAAATTAGCAAATTTTGATAAGATAATAAGATAATAATTTTTTTGAAACTCCTATGTAAAAATATAGTCCCAACAATTAGATAAATTAATAATTATATATTTAAAAATATATGAATAATATAATAAAGTAAAAATTATATTATTGTTTCAAGTTTGAAAAAATTGTTTGACTTATTTTTCAAATTCACTTATATGATATTTTCTGAATAAATTTTACATTATTAAAAATATTTTTTTTTGTTTTTTGACAAATATTTTGAATTTGAACTGAAATATCTCTCTATAAATTAATAAATTATTAATTTCTCGATAAATTCATAATTATTAATTTATCGATTAATTAATAACTCTATAAATTAATAAATTTTTGAAGTTCCAACATTATTAATTTATAAAGATTTTACTGTATATAGAGTTTTCTTGTGCTTTTTGGGTTGTAAAGATAAGATTGCTTTTATATATTTTTTCTGCTAGTTGCTACTCCTAGTTGCTCACTGTAACCCTACATATATAGATGTATATAAGTATATTTACATATAAGGTAAATATACGACGTCCATTGTATAAATGTGTCTTTGCGGACATATCACATGTTTTCGCGAGTCTTGATGATATTCCAAGTTGAGGGTTTCGTTATGCAATATTACACGAATGAGTCATTTTTGTTTGTTGACATGCAGATTGATTTTTCTTATGTCGATTTCGTATCATTTTTTTGTACATGTCAATGATCTAAAACATAATTAAGTTAGTTAACTTATGAGTCAATTGCTAAATGATGTATTATATAAATCATAAGTGGCATCATACAGTTAAGTGTTTATAATGTAATGTAATCCCAAAGACCCGGAGGCAATTAGCTTACGTGCATCGAGGTCAACGAAGTCAATGGAATTGCCAAACATAAAAAGTCAAATAGAATTGCCGAATATATATAACAAGTCAATAGAATCGCCAAATATATCTCTACAGAGATATATCTCTAACAAAATTTAGATAAATCGACAAATCACTACCGGATATATATTTCTTGTATTTTTCACTTTCATTCGAACTTGTTGTTGGTTACTGATGTTTTCCTTACTTATTGTAAAATGGAAGCTCTAACAAAATTATATATACTCATCTCATTCTTTTGCATTTAAAAAGCCAACAATCAGCTTTCTATTGTCTTGAGAAAACGTTGTTCGCTAGATAACATAATGTCTTTGTCAGTTGATAAGTACTACGTGACAATCTTCGTTACGTAATTTTTTTTCTTCAAAATTAATTAAGCTCATATTTATCGTGTGGAAGAAGATAAACCAGCACCGTGCCTTAGTTATACTTATATCCCATTTGAAGACCAACACGAGAATCAAATTTTTGTAATTTAACATATAAAGTTAAAATCACGTGAAAGATTTCAAATCGAAGACCATATCAAGTTGGTTGGCGCAATAAATAGATGCATTCTCATATTCGCCGGTCATTATGACTTATAGAGAAGACAATCCAATATATATACTATAAGGTTTTTATATAGATAGAAGCTTGAGTTCTTCAAAGAGAGTGGACGAATTGAATACTGATAGAGAGAAAACAATGATAATCATCTTAACCAATAGATTTTAAAAATCGACTGGGACCTATTTTTGAATTCGTTCAGATATTTGGATAAATCTACCAAAAACAACAAATGAAAATTCAAATTAATAGTCTCGGTTCTAATTTGGACCCTAGTCGAATTGGAAATAGCATTAAAGTCCATTATTGCAAACTACAAAAAATAAAATTTTATTAAGTCGTATATATGCAGTTATATATATATCATGTACGATTGGTTCTAGAATTCATATATTTTTTCAGGAGACAAAAATTGTTTCTTGGTATATATGTCTATCGTCGTAGAAAGTAGAAACTATCGGCCGGAAACTATTACAGAATTTAGTGTGCATGTAGTTTATTTTGTATCAGAAACTTTTCAAATGAAGCAAGTTTAAAGATCACAAGTTCGTATTTCGATTACGGAAAAAAGATTAAATTTATACGTTTTGGTCTCTCGTCTACATAAATGATGAGTAAGAAATCAAGAACGAATTGAAAAATCAAGAAATGAGTTTACGTTGCATAAAGTAGGCATATAATAAAGTTTAATTTTAACATAGTCATCGTAGACGACGAGGGTTTTTAAATATAAGTTTACACATAAACTAAAATAGAAGTAAATGCAAACATAGAAATAAGATTATTAGGGATAGCATAATACGATTAGTGTCCAAAATCAGCATTATACATAAAAACAAAACACTACAGGTACACGGCACACCGCCCTTAACACAGGACCTGCATGCAATAGGCTCCAGTGTCAACTATTAAACATTTTTCAATTGGCCACCGTCAAGTATTCCAATTTCAAGTGGGGAAAAATGAAGTTAAAAGAAAATAATTTAATAGAAGAAGAAGTGTGAATGGGTATAACACTTCACAGAGGGAAATGTATTTATTAGTTACAAGTCAAATCTTTGAAAGATGGAAAAAAAACGTTACAAGTCAAGCGAGAGGAATGGCTACGAGAGCCAACGACTGTAATGCATGATGAAATCACGAAAACACAGCTTATACTAATATGGTTAATTATTAAACAAACATAAACAACATCGAGGAGTAGATGATATCGAGAGATAAGTATGAAAAGTCTCGGGGTCGTACTAGAATATATAAAAGTCAGAATGATAAAAAAAAATAAAAATATGTAAGAAAATAAAAAACTAAAAACAAAGGTAGTGTCACTTATCATCACCTCACGGGGTCAATTGACAAACTTTGCAGCTCATCACTGTCAAGAGAATATCACTTTCTTTATTACAAGTATTTTCGATAGGCAGTTTCTCATTATTTATGAAACGCTTAATACGAAAAACTCAGAGGTTAGCCAACAGCCCAACACTGTGAGTTTAACCTCTCTAAATGTTTTATTTTTGTTAAAAGTAGGTTGTTCTATATTTCCCTGCACCTAAAGTAATTTCATCAAGTTTCAGTGAAATGTTTGGAAAAATAACAACTAAAATCTCAAAAAGTGAAATCTTAGACTTAAAATGTATACCTGTCTTTGGTATCAATATACATTGGGAGGACGGAAACAGTAGCATGTCATCATAAACCAATGAGAAAACATATTCTCAGGTCTTAGCATTTTCTAAACTACTGTGAACTAGGGAAATACCATATGATGTTTTCACTGTTGTAAATTTTCTATATTCACTTTCATATATTGAACTAGTTATTTACTTGGAAGAAACTACCCCGGAAAAAAGTAAATGAAAACTACCACTTAAATTTTACATTGTAGAGAAAGACAAGTTTGGTTAATCCATTATCCATATATGGTGACATTCATTACACTTAAAAAAGAGAACAACAATGTGGGTATGAATGATACATGCACACAGATACAGGGGAGGAGTAAGTAAGAACGTTTCTCAATTAATTTATCATATCATATCTAAGAGAGACCCAAAAAAAATGAAATTACAATGAAGGAAGATTGAGTCCTTACTTCTTTTTTTGGGTGGAATTGCACACTCTTGATCCAATGCCCTTTCTTCAATGTTATTTGTGGTCTTTTTTGAGGAGAAATGCTTTGTATACTAATTACACAGAAAAAACCTCTAATCCTCATCTCCTTGCTCTGTCCAAGTCAAATCCCTTCCTATATCTCTCCTTCACGGCTATTACGAGTTCAAGGGAAGTGTGGGCATTCCTTTCGCATGTTGGCTCTCCATTTCCAGTAGCATTAACGACTTCTGCCTCTGGTATCTGTTTCTCTTTGCTGCAAGCGCTGTGTGACACATACAAAGAGAGAGATAGAGAGAGAGAGATCAAGATTCAAGAATGTTTTTAAATGTTCATCTTGTTCAATTATGAGGAAGTTTGCGTGTTTTTTTACTCACATGTAAGATCGTGAGGTGGGGCAAAGTCGTAGTCATGTCTTCCTCTCCAGATGCAGCACAAGTAAATGACCAAGAGAACCAGAACGAAAAGCACCACACAAGATATGGCTATGGCTATTTTGCCTCCTTTGGATAAGTGGCCATTCTCCCATAACAGTGGACACGACGGAAGAGTGGGAACCCCGCATAAGCCTTTGTTTCCTGAGAGACTGTAAGAAGATGCAGATTTCTTTTTGGTTGAGTCATGAATGTGAGCTAATGGATCAAAGAACAAAGCCATTGATAATGCAAAGTAAAAGTAAATTTGCCATTAATGGAACAAAAAGAGACTTATTATATAAGTGGACATTCGAAATTTAACATACTCGATAATTCCACCATGAACACCAACTGAATAAACCTCCTCTGGTACCTTTCCTTGCAACTCGTTGCCATTCAAAAGCCTAACAACACATCACAGATGAATCATTCAGAGATCGTGTTAACGTCCATAGATTTGGCTGTCACTAAAATCTAGTTCTCTTAACATGTATCGTTATTTCCCCATGTCTCTTAAAATCGTACAGTAGTATAATGTTCATATGGAATGGAGAAAAACATTGACACAGAACTGTATAATGATATAAAGCAGCTTCTTACACGAGCTTTAAGCTTGAAAAGGTCAGACTTTCAGGTATAGGCCCCGTGAGCTGATTGTTTGACAAGTCACTGCAACTCAAACAGGCAAACAATGAGCACAACTTTACAGAGCCAAAAATAGCTTCGTAAGGGCTCTAAACCATCCTCACACAATATCATTGTTTTGTTGCCATCTTAAATGCATACATTTATCACAAACTATAAACAGTAACGAGGTAGGAAGATTCCCATCTATGATAAAATTTGGCAATTTGACAATGAACTGAGATGTGTAAACTTACAGACTCACAAGGGATTTATGACCAAGACCTGAAGGTAGTGGACCAGTTAAGGAATTTGAACTCAAGTTCCTGCAATCAGAAAAAAGAAAAGAAAGGAAAATTCATTAACTCATAAATATTAAGCGAAATCACAATGCAGACACATGGATCCAGTTGCATTATAATGAGCTCTGAGATAGATAAACCAAGTCAATAGTTGATACTTACAAGCTATTCATATCAGTCAGCAGACTAATCTGCTCACTGATAAATCCTTTTAAGCCTTGGCTTCCGAGGTCTCTGAAACAGGTTAAAGGTAGAACAATAAGAAAGCAGCAATGCAAGCATGAGAAATAATAAGGTATTAATATTTATGAGATTATCAGCTACAACAGTTCAAAGATTTATTCCAAGTAGTTGGTGGAAAACTTATGAGATAGTACCAAGTTACAGTTCCAATGTCACATTCAGTTTTAGATATCAAGTTCTACACTTTATTAATATTACTAAAAATATCAAGTTCTACACATAATGTGGCAACGAACAAGGCAAAGCTAGTTCTAGTTACACTTTCTGCATCAATGACACTCACATTTGAAAAATCACAAGAGCAGATCCTTGTGGGTTTGGCCTGCATGCGACTCCTTCCCAAGCGTCCCAGCTAGTAGGAGCACATGGATCACCATTCCACCCCATCCTGTCAGGAACACGTAGCGAATCTTTCAATGCTTTCATAGCAGTCACTGCCAAAAAAACAAACAAACAGAGTCTCAAAACATGCCCCATAATACTCGAAATCAAGAAACGCATAATCTATCAAGAAACCAAATATCGTTAATTTTTGACATTACCTTGTTCAGGCACCGTGGCCATATCAGCAGGAACAATGGCGTAATTCTCAAGCCCGCTAATTATGGGCGCCCCCGAAACAGGGGAAAGCTTCACCGTCACAGTGGTGCTGCTCAGATTCTTGACGGTGTAGTTTAAGCTATAAGCCGCAAATGCTCCGACCTCACCGAAAACATCAACCCTGCTCACATTGTTCCCGTTCACCACCAGATCAAACACTCTTTCCCCAGCCTTCTTCACCGTCGATTCAATCTCCGAGAAATGGAACCAGAGCAAGTAGTCAAGCTTCGCGTCAACATCCAGCTCGTAGACCAGCGACCCGCTTCCGGAGACCGTCACCGCCGTCTGATAAAGCTTCATCGGGAAATAATTCGGCGGCTGCTCCACTCCCTTGATTTTCTCCTCCGTCGACAGCGACCGAGCCGCCGACCTCGAGTCGTCAGATCGAAAATCCTCGTCCGACTGCCACGACCGGCCGAAACTATCGGTGTGGTTAGTGAAGCCAGGCCCCCACTGGTCCGACCCACACGCGAGCCTCCCGTAGTTAACGAGGAGAACATTCTGACCGGTCCCGTCGGCGTCGTAGGAAGATGGATCGACTTGTACGACTTCGAGCGAACCTACAATCGGAGGATCAGTGGCGATGCTGTAGAAGCACAAATCAAGCTCCCCGTCTCCGACGAAGGCGAACAGATCGGAGTAAGAGCCGTCGCGGAGGAGTTTCTCCAGCCAAGGAGATCTCCAGGAGAAGACGAGCGTGCCTTCGACGGAGACATCGAATGACGGGGAGTGAGACTTGCCGTCGTAGTTATCGTAGACGGTGAATGTCCTGATGTAGTATCGACCGGGAGGGAGAGGGACGACGTAGCAATTCTTCTTGCCATAGGAGAGAGGGAAGTACCTGACAGTCTTCTCGGCGACGAGATGGAAATGGAGAGGCTCGGAGACGACGGCGGTGTTTCCGCCGGAGTAAAACCGATCAGGAAGCCATGTGCGGTTGAAAGCGTCCGTGGAACCTTCGGGACTTCCACAGTCAATGAAGAAAGAAGTATCTGCAAAAGAAAAGAGGAAAGAAGAATTCTCAGTTCATCATCATCATCAGATCTAGAAGGAGACAGAGAGATAGAGAGAGAGAGAGAGAGAGAGAGAGAGAGAGACGTACTGAATGGAGAGGAGAGAGAGAAGGGGAGGAGGAGGAGGAGGAAGAAGATGGAGGAGAGAGAGAGGAAGAAGGAAGGAGATAAGGGCATTGTGGGAATTAGTTGAAATTAGGAATTGTGAGAGAGAGTGGAGAGTAAAGGTGAGCCATGTATGCACTGTGATTGTTGACGATGGAAGCTACTTGCTCCCAACGATTACAAAAAATAATAAAAATTTGGAAAAGAAGGCGAGATTAGCGGGTGGACTGAGTTGAGTTTTGGTCATTAAAGGACATTTACAACACTTGTTGCTGACTTTAATTTCACTTTTTCCCCTCCATTATTTATGGGTTGCTTTTTACCATTTTTTTCCTTTTCAATATTCTGTTTTGACTACTATTCTGAATAAACCCGATTATAATTTTTTAAAAAGTAATACTAATGCAATGGAGTATGATTATTACTATAGTAGTACATTATTACATGTTGAAAGTACACGCAGAATACGAGTAGATAGGGTCGAAATTGTGAGTGAAGGGGTGTGTCTCGCGGGTAGAGCCAATAAATAAAAAGAGTTACTACGTCAGTGAATCGAAGCAAATTCTATTTTCTACCTGTCTCTGTCCCGTGACGTGGCCACCATGCACAAGCAGACAAAATATTCACCACCTCAAATTCACCGTCAATCTACTCAACCCCCAACCAGATAGTAACTTTCTATTTCAGTCCACACTATAGCTTAAATATTTATAATCTGAAATTGTGTTTTAGCTGGTAACCAAATCAAACCGATCTAATCTTAGTTTAATTAAACACAAATGAAACTCTCTTTCTTTTTCTTGTGTGGTCATGGTGCCCACTTTGTTGTTAAAGAATTAGGTTGGATTAAGTAAGTGTTTTGGTCAACCAATTGCTGAAATTTACTAGCTAGTTGAATGATTTACAATGAAAATGGATGTGATTATGAAGAACAAAAAGAGCAACGTGGTTAGTAGTACTTGTTTACAAAGTGACTGTATTCAGCGTCAGAAGACAACGCGCTCGGTGTAAATAAATGTTAAATCTATTAAATTCTTCTGAATCCGTGACTCCGCCTACTTGTCGTTTCCTTCACAGTACAATAAGACAACAGACAAAACCCGGTCAAGTCCCGGTTTTCCCTAATCGACTAATGGCCTGGATTATATGGGCTTAAAGCCCAGCCCATTAAATACGGCTCCTCAGTTCGACCAATCCAGTGTAATGTGTAGTAAACCTACCCGTATATTCATTTTTATCGAACTCACAAAAATGCGTTTTACATCAAAATGCTGCTAAGATGATAACATCAAAGGATAAATTTTAAAATAAAAAATCGTGGAAACGAGAGATACATAGCTAAAAGTTTGAGTAGAACATAATAATTCCCGACCATAATTAAATTTTCAAAACAAGAATGCAGGCTGTGGGGTTCGAACCCACGCGCACTTATGTGCAGCAGAACTTAAGTCTGCCCCCTTAACCACTCGGGCAAACCTGCTAGTTGTGTATATTTGTTATCTTTCTAATAATTAACTGTAATAAAAACTAATGACAAATGAGACCAGAACAAAAGAAAATTAGAAGAAATGTGCTTGCTTGGTTTCACAGGAAGCTTGTAAATACAATGAATGAGATTAACCAAGTTGGAGAAAGACGTACATCCCCAGAGAGAGAGGGATGTGAATTAAACTGTAGATATGATTGATTGAACAGCTTGATGAAAGTCTTCTATTGTGACAGTGACAGTGACAGTAAATCGGATACTTTGACTATAAACGAGTCTCCCACAAACTCACAATCAGCTAATGGAAAGAGAAACAAGGATTTAGTAAGGAACTCACAATCAGCTAATCGAAAGAGAAAACAAGGTTTCCGTAAGATAGAGAGATTCCTACTGAAATTCTCAAAAGCACCATTATTTACATAAGGACATCGTACGTTAGATCGGAGACACGTCCCAAAGTAGTTGTTCTAAATCCGAAAACAAAAACCAGAACAGTTTTGAAATCAAGCACTTAAGGCCTAGAGGGAAAATATCATACAGCAAGCGTGGCACCGTTTTGCCAACCAAAAAATTATCAGTGAGTTCCGTAGTCTCCATCTCCTGTGGGAGTCTCGTTTGTGTCAGTCGGTCTTTCCAGTGCCCCAAGCGAGAAAGCTCTCCTGTGATCCAAATTCCTGAAAAAAAGATATAACAAAAACCCATTTGGTCTTCTGTTGTTGTCTGATTGCATCAAAACAGTATCGAAGAGGAGAAATGGATTCAGGTTTTTTTTTTTTTTACCAGCTGGCTCAGACGAAACTCAGGTGGAGTATCGAGATCTATGTTGGAGGGATCAAGAACAAGTTTCTGACAATCCTCCAGATCCCGTTTGAAGTGTTCTGTTCCCAAGTGAGCGTAATCTGCAATACATGGTTGCTTATTCCTTAATCCTCCATTGTTTGCGTTTTCTTCTCTGTCCTGTGATCCCGTCTGCAAGAGATCATCACAGAGAGACAAGGCTTCCACAAGCTGTTGCGAGTCCAATATGAACTGAGATCCACTGTCCGGCCAATTCGGATCTTCTTCAGCTTGGTTTTCATCTTCTTTATCCTTCTCTTTGTCTTCTTCATCGTTTTCGTTCTCATCTTCTATATCCTTCTCTCTGTCTTCTTTACCATCCAGCATTTCATTTGCTCCGTTTTCAAGCCCGAGCTCAGGCGCAGGCTCGTCCTCGAAACTTGGCCTTTCATGATTACGTTGAATCCCCTGAACCTCATCTTCCATATACATTGTCTCGGATGTCTTAGGTACCGGGAAACAATGAGGAAAAAGTGTCAGTTAGTGAAATAGCAATAAGTTGTGAATTCACAGAGGAATGTAGAAAGATCCATGCTCGGTAAACTCATCTGTTCAATTCATCAAGAGTGTATATTTGGTCAACGAGTGAATCAGAGTAGAAGAATACCTGAGCAAGAGAAACCTCACGGGAAGTTACATAGTCATGGGGAGTAGCATAGTCATTGGCGAAGTGAGAGTCAGAGCAGAGTCTCACAGCATGTCGAGGCTCAGGTGTAAACAATTTCGGAGTGACAGGTTCCGGTCTCGGAGTCACTGCAGCAAAGATATCTTCAGAGACTTCTTGTTCGCCTTTATCACCTTGCTTGACGACTGCTGGCTGCTGATAAAATATCTTAGAAACAACGTAGTCACCTTCTTTCTCATCTTCGTCTGTTCCCAAGTGATACTGGTGCATCACCCAGTTCGTTTTCACGGCTTTCCCACCATAGAGAACCATTATTTTCTTGCAGCCTCTCTGAACACCATCCAACACAACAGGCTTAGTTCTTCCTGTCTTATGCCAGCGTACATCGCCGATATCATCGTCGTGGATCTTTCTACGCTTTCGAGTTCCTGTGCTGTAAGCTTTGATTGCTCTATGGAAGAAGTGAGACACCGTCCCATCGTGCTTAACACCTGAAACATTTCAAGCTGAGGTAAGATAAAAATCAGACAGAGATCACTCAATGTAGAAACAAAACCTGCATTGGCCTAACCTGGTAAGTTCTTAGGATGAGTGTAACAGATTCCATCATCTTGATTGACGGTAGGGATGAACTCATCAATGAAAGGGTGGGAACTTGAATCGGATAAACCAGATTTTGCAAGCAAATGCCATATGATCTCTGGATCAGACGGATCGAACTTCACACCTCGAGGCAATCCTGGCCAATCATCAACTACCTGCAAATTTAAAAATACTTGTGTCTAGAAATATAACATTAGACAAGAACCGACATCGAAAGAATAACGAAAGAGTCAAACCGTACGTCGCTGTTGTCAATGACGTGATTACAGTTTGGACAATGTCTTGAAGGATTGCTGTTGTACACAACTTGTCGCGGGTCAGAATTAGCCGATGCACTCCTGATTTTGGTTGCAATGCGGCTTTTGTCTACTAGCCATGATCGCCTGTATACAGCAAGTAAAAGGCATCCATTAGCTCCATAGAGTCAGGACATTGCAGAACTATCGCAAGAAGATGATATCAAAACGCATAGCTTTAATGAAAGACCTGAAAAGGTTTCAAATTTAGTATTTTCGAACCACTTCCAAATACAGGCCAAAGAAGAAATGGTCACATTAAAAACAAAACTTGTTGAAAAACCAAACATTTGTTCGGCAGGATACTTTGTGTCCATTGTCCTCATGGAACAAAGAGGATATGGAATCTGTTCCACTGAACAAACTACTTGGCGAAAGTGTAAAGACATGCTAATTAGCTGTAAAAGAATGTAAATTTAAGAAATTCATGTTCATCGATCAAAATCATAGGACTGGAAAGCTACAGAAATCAACTTTTTAGAACCCTAGCAATGAAAGACACAAATGCAGATTTCAAATCAATTCTCTTTCGCGCTTAACGTATTTCATCGCGGAAATCAAAATCACAGAGCTCCACTGGTTCATAAAAGCGAAAACAAGAAAAAAAAGCTTCAAACTTTTCCGTCCGGATTCTCAGTTGAAATTGACAGAAATCGAACTTAGGTCAACTAAAAACAAAGACCAGAGCGGGATATAGAGAGAGAAAAGTGCTTACCCAGCCATGAGAGCTCGATGAAGAAAAAGATCAGGACGAAGAGAAGCAGAATCCAAAAACCCTAGAAAACTCTCTCGAAGCTAACAAAAGTGAATTGATATTTGGGTTTGAAGTATTCTCGACACCCTAATCGATACTAAATAACTCCTCGAGTCCGGATTAATACTGTTTGCTTGAGTACGAAAGAAAAAGATTTTGAGAAAAAATTAAAATCTTTCAAGTCCCCGGAAATAACTGGGAAGTGGAGAGAGAGATAGACTGAGAGGCGCCAGAGAGTGAGGGAATTTATTGGGTACGACTCGGTCGCATACGACAACTCTTTGTTGACTAGACATCCACTAGCTGGTCGTAGAGATCAACGGTTGTGATTATCTTTGGTGGGTCTACTAAGTTTTCTGCTTTTAGGTGACTTAAAGTTATTTACAAAATGGGTTAAATATTTGAAATTTCATAAACTAAATGATGTGCACTTTTTATGATATGCGACACAAGGTGGTGGACCTTCCATTACAGTGTGATCGAATTTTATTATATAATCATCCGGAAAAAGTAAAGCATTATTAGTGTTTAATGTTTATTATCATCTTCCCATGTGCTTTTTCACAATACACATATTATGTCTGATTTCAACAGATTGTTCACAGATTCATATTATTTTTATTTTTCACATCATTTGAGTCCCTCACACAATATAAGCAATTATTTATGTGATACGGTTTTGTACAAGGATGGGAAAAACGTATATTATTTAAAAGTAGACAACATCCATACAGACAAAAGTGACAGTAGAAAAGAACAAAGACCAAAGCCAGGATCAAATTCAACTTTTCCACACGTAGAAAGATTGACTTTAATGATTTCCTTACGTCGATTTTCTTCTCAGCGATTCAGTCACACAGTTGCTAAACTACATCTTCCTTAATGGAATTGATGAGATATATTGTACTTAATTATTTCTTGCTCGAGCCTCGATGATATAAGTATGACACTCGATCCTAAGATGACTCGGGAAAGATAATAGAAGATGCTTGGATCAGAGCTCATTTGTCCTTTCGATTCTTATCAGACATGGTCTTGAGCTTCCTCACATATAGGCAAGGCGTTCATCAATATTTCCCTTTCTCTTTCTCAGTTCTCACATTATTATTTTTAACCCTCTTTTTTTACTATATAGATTTTCACAACAATAAGCTAAAATAATATTGCTTACTGCATTAAACTGTTAAGAATTTTCAAATATGGCTTTAATATTTAAAGTTTATCGCGGATCCCCTTGGAATATATCATAATAATAACCTTTAGTTAGATATACAAACGACGAGCAAATAAAAACTTACCTACACATCACATGCATGTTAATCGGGTTGGATTAATCAAATAATTTAGACGACACTTAACACTAAAATATGGCTCGTGAAACTGTCGTCCATAAGAAAATTATACTTGATTTTTTTTTTTTTTTTTGTGAAAGGAATAGAATAGTGTACACGCGAGATTTCACAAGATTTGGCAACACCAAGGCTCAATAACATTTTCACCAAAAACACATTAACTGATTTTTACGAACTTCTCAAGCATCAGACTAATTTATTATGATTTTTTTTGTGTGTGTGTGCAACGCTCGTGAGATAGAGTCAAAGTTGATGTACAGGGCACTTATGGCTCCTTTGTGACGTCATTTGTCTTGATGAGCGATCGAGATGAGGACCTGTGACAATTCGAGAAGACTGATAGAGGCATAGAGCTAAGAAATCTGCTTCCTTGGTACTTGGCAGGTATCAGGCTCTTCCTCAGAAACTGCTTCCGAGAAGATGGATCTCGAAGTTTGAATATAAACATGCCAGCTATGTGTAAAATACTCTATAGACGACTTTAAAAAAAAAATTATGCTTAATGTTGTAAGACATATATGTCAGACTAATGACGGTAATTATTGATGTGTGTATATTATATATATAGACCTTCTTCTCAACGCAGTTCTCATTTCTCCTTTAACAAAAAAAAAAAGTATTCTCATATCTCTCAACTATATTTAAAAAAAAAGAAGTAAAAAGACGAGGAAAAGGAAGATTGTGAACAAACGAAAAATATCGTAATTAAGCTATAGCTTAAATCCAGTTTTCACAGAGGTTACTGATACCAGCTGGCGAGAAAATGGCGATACCTGAGGAAGTTGCACTTCTCGAAGATTTGGTTAGCGACTCCGTAGACTATCGTGGAATTCCCGCCGGCAAGTCTTCCACCGGAGGATGGAGATCCGCCTGGTTCATTATAGGTAGAGACAATATAGATTTGGAATCACATTGTGATTAATTAGTCCTTTTCTTAAAGACTAGTATGTTTTCTTGAAGTGTTTGTTTTACGAGAAAATGCTGACTTTCTTTTTGGATTGCTACTCTTTGAGAAGATTTAATTTATACTTTCTATTTAGATTTGATTAGCTTTTAGCCTTTTAGCAGAAAATACAAAACTCAGAACGAGTTGCATTCATTGTAAACATTTTTTTTTGGCTGAATTAATTTTACATTCAATTTTTTTTATATAAAAAATCTGACTTTACGTGTTTTATTTTTGTTTGTTGAATTATTCTTCAGGTGTTGAGGTCGGAGAGAGGTTCGCTTACGTTGGGATTGCTTGCAATTTGATTACTTACCTGACCGGACCGCTCGGACAATCGACGGCAACCGCTGCCGTGAACGTGAACACGTGGTCGGGAACCGCCTCGACGCTTCCTGTTTTAGGAGCTTTCGTAGCAGACGCTTATCTCGGTCGTTACCGGACAATTCTCGGAGCTTCCTTCATCTACATACTGGTTGGTACCTTCGTCTTCTTCTTTCTCCTCTCCACTTCAAAATATTCCTTTAGTAATTTAAACCGGTGGGATGTTATTACATTTTACAGGGGCTGGGACTATTGACCTTTTCGGCTTCCCTAACCATCATGGGATCATCTGAGCAACGTAACGGCGATTCCGCTAAACCGTCTTTCTTGGTGAACGTGCTTTTCTTCTTCTCTCTGTATCTTGTGGCCGTAGGGCAAGGCGGACACAAGCCGTGTGTTCAAGCATTTGGTGCGGATCAATTCGACTCGCAAGATCCCAAAGAGAGGATAGCCAGGGGATCGTTTTTCAACTGGTGGTTCTTCAGTTTATCCGCGGGAATAGCCTTGTCGATCATTGTGGTGGTGTATGTTCAAAGCAACGTTAACTGGGCGCTTGGGTTTGGGATTCCTTGTTTGTCCATGGTTATGGCTCTTGCTATCTTCTTGCTCTGTAGAAAAACTTACAGGTACCCAAAGGGAAATCCCCAAGAGAGGAACCCATTCGCAAGAATCCGTAGGGTTTTCGTCGCGGCGTTCAAGAACCGGAGACTTGATTTGGACCAAGGTCAAGTGGAGGATGGTCAGTCTCAAACATGTGAAAGTCGGCTCGTGTAAGTTCCTATCATTTGAATTTTGGTTGTAGTGCTTGAATTGTTTTGATGTGGGGGAGCCATATGTAGTGGCAGGGACGTGGAAGACGCGAAGGCTTTGGCAAGACTTATTCCGATATGGATCACAACGATGGTGAGCATGGTTCCTTACGCTCAATACACCACTTTCTTCACCAAGCAAGGCGTTACCGTCGACAGAAAAATCTTGCCGGGCTTAGAAATCCCTCCGGCTTCTTTATTGTCAGTAATCGCTATATCGGTTCTCGTCTCGGTTCCCATCTATGAGCGTGTGTTCCTTCCAATAGCCAGATTGATTACCAAAAGGCCCTTTGGGATCACAATGCTCCAGAGAATAGGAGCCGGTATGGTCCTCTCGAGCCTCAACATGGTGCTCGCAGCATTGGTGGAAGCCAAACGGTTGCGAATCGCTGAGGAACACGGGCTCATAGACAAACCGGACGCAACCGTTCCAATATCGATATGGTGGTTCGTGCCTCAGTATTTGTTTCTTGGGATTATCGACGTGTTCTCTCTGGTCGGTGCACAAGAGTTCTTCTACGACCAGGTCCCGACCGAGCTGAGAAGTATAGGTCTCGCGTTTTCTTTGAGTGCGATGGGTCTTTCCAACTTCTTGAGCGGTCTTCTCATCACGGTGATTGATTGGTATACCGGAAGAGATGGAGGGGACAGCTGGTTCAACACAAACCTGAACCGAGCTCATGTAGATTACTTTTACTGGTTGCTCGCAGGATTCACCGCCGTTGCTTTCTTGGTGTTCTTGTTCATTTCCAAGAAGTATGTGTATCGTCGGGTGGACCAGGTCGTCTAAGAATTCAAAAGACAACTTCTGTTGACTTTTTCGTATCGTTTTTGTGTTTAAATTAATAACGTGTTTATAATTTGATTTGTTTTTTTTTTTTGCGTGTCAACAAAAGGATATTTGAAAAGTTCAATATGATGTAGATGTGCCTATACAAAAACATATTTATCCGATATCATTTGCATGAGCTAAGATAGATTTTATGCTTTGGTTTCACAACTCTAAGGGGTCCATTTGACGTCACTGTTTGTTTGTAAGAAACATGACATAACTTTAAATCCCCAAAACATTAATCAACCAATAGGAATGTTAACACTATAATACAGTTTTAGTTCAGCAGGAACATAAAAAAACGAGTACTTCGAACCATATATAAAATACAGGTTAAAGAAGAAATGGTCCACATAAAAAACAAAACTTCTTGAAAAACAAAACATTTGTTCTGCGAAAATTGGAGTCAGCGGGATACTTTGTCCTCGTGGAACAAAGAGGATATGGAATCTGTTCCACTGAACAAACTACGAGTATCTACTTAGAGAAAGTGTAAAGACGTACTAATTAGCTGTAAAAAAATGGGTGAAATATTTGAAATTTCATAAACTAATGATGATTATAATGTACTTTTTATGATATGCGACACAATGTGGTGGACCTTCCATTACAGTGTGATTGAATTTAATATAATCATCCGGAAAAGCAAAGCATTAGTGTGTTTAATGTTTATTATCATCTTCCCATGTGCTTTTCACAATACACATATTAACTCTGATTTTAACAGAACATTCACAGATCCCAAATCATATAATTTTATTTTTCAAATCATGCGAGTTTTGTTTTGAAATAAGCAATTGTTTATGTGATAAGGCTTTGTACATGACATAACAAGAATAAATAAAAATGTATGAATTTGTTATTCTATATACTATATATAAAAGTAGTCGACAGTAAAAAAAGAACAAGAACAAATCCAGGATCAGTTCAATTTCACACACGTAGAACGATCATCATTAATAAATGATAATACAAGTTGACTTTATTCATTTCCTTACGTGAATTTTCTTCTTAACGATTCAAGCATAGTTGCAAAACCTTCTTTAGATGAAATTATGAGATGTTGAACTTCTTTTCTTGCTCGATGATCATGACTAGAGCCATTTTGCCATTTTGAAGATCGAATTCATGATGTTTAAGTATAAAATCACTTTTATTCGCCATTAGACTAAAATACATTGAGGACTGAAATTTTGTTTATAAAAACAGAACCGGGTTTGCTCAGCTTGATATCAGGGTCTGGTCTGATGATGACTCGAGTAAGATAATTAGGAAAATATGCATGGATCAGCGCTCGTTTGTCATTTTGGTTCTTATCAAACTTGGTCTTGAAATTTCACATTGCATGCAGCTGCTGTATCTTCTTCACTAGGTGGAAGAAAGTCTTATCCCTTATGAAGTATAATGTATTGTTTAATCAAAGGTTTTTCCGCTCAGAAGCAGAAACAGAATTATATATGGTACATATCATATATAATTAGGTGGTCAATGGTCATAGAGAAATAAAAAACTAACTCTCAATCGTACCTTTGTATAGAATAATACTAGCTAGTTTCTGCGTACCTTGCTTCTTTTTCTGCTGGTTAACGTTCTATATCAATCAACGGCTGTGATCTCCTCGGTGAGTATATAACAATAAGTTTTTTTTTTTTTTTCCCTATATAACAATAAGTTTTATGGTTAAATAATATTGCTTCTTCTGAACTGTCAAGAATTTCACAACGGAATAAGATTCCATAATTAATAACCTTTATAATTAAGCAAGTTGTATAAGAATTTTCACAACAATGTGATTTTTTCTTTAAAAATTTCCAAAACATTAAGATAAGCGCAAATATTACAGTATTGCTTCTCCTAAAACTGCAAAGAATTTCAAAGATGGCCTCGATATTTCAATTTTCTCGCCGGATCGCCTATAATAACCTTTAGTTGTTGACTTTTGATTGATATTATAAATGATGATCACAGAAAAATTATTTAAACATGCACGTAACTCGGGTTGGATTAATCAAAGACTATAAGACGAGACTCTTATGCTTAAATATGTCTCGTTAAACAGTCGCCCATAAGAAAATTATGCTTAATGTTATCATTTATAAAATAGTGTACACACGATATATCGTGAGATTTGGCAACACCTTCTTACATGTGTGATGTATGATGATGTGTCAGAGAAAGTAAGTCGACGACTTACCTACAAATTAAAGATTAAAACAAATCAAGCAAGCAGCATACATCTTGGCTAGAGAGAAATGGCGATACCTGAGGAAGTTGCACTTCTCGAAGACTTCGTTAGCGACTCCGTAAGCTATCGGGGAATTCCTGCCGGCAAGTCTTCCACCGGAGGATGGAGATCCGCCTGGTTCATTATAGGTGAAAACAGTTAGAAAAAAACTAATCGAAAAACGATGATTAGATTTGGAGTCCCATTGTGATTAGTCTCTTTTTTTTTTTGTTGAATTATTCTTCAGGTGTGGAGGTTGCAGAGAGGTTCGCTTACGTTGGGATATCTTGCAATTTGATTTCTTACCTGACCGGACCTCTCGGACAATCGACGGCGACCGCTGCCGTGAACGTGAACACGTGGTCGGGAACCGCCTCGACGCTTCCTGTTTTAGGAGCTTTCGTAGCAGACGCTTATCTCGGTCGTTACCGGACAATACTCGTAGCTTCCCTCATCTACGTACTGGTTGGTACCTTCTTCTTCATTCTCCTCTCCAATTCAAAATATACCTTTTAGTAATTTAAACCGGTGGGAGGTTACTGCATTTACAGGGGCTGGGACTATTGACCTTATCGTCTTCCCTAACCATCATGGGATCATCTGAGCAACGTAACGGCGATTCCGCTAAACCGTCTTTCTTGGTGAACGTGCTTTTCTTCTTCTCTCTGTATCTTGTGGCCGTAGGGCAAGGCGGACACAAGCCGTGTGTTCAAGCGTTTGGTGCGGATCAATTCGACTCGGAAGATCCCAAAGAAAGAATAGCCAGAGGATCGTTTTTCAACTGGTGGTTCTTGAGTTTATCCGCGGGAATAGCCTTGTCGATTATTGTAATGGTGTATGTTCAAAGCAACGTTAACTGGGCGTTTGGGTTTGGGATTCCTTGTTTGTTCATGGTTATGGCTCTTGCTATCTTCTTGCTCGGTAGAACAACTTACAGGTACCCAAAGGGAAATCCACAAGAGAGTAACGCATTTGCGAGAATCGGTAGGGTTTTCGTAACTGCCTACAAGACCCGGAGACTGGATATGGACCAAGGTCAACTTGAGGATGGTCCGTCTAAGATATGTGAAAGTCGGCTCGAGTAAGTTGCACCAATCCCAAAATTTTCGTATCATTTGAATTTTTTTGTTTAGTGCTTTGACTTGTTTGTGATCGACAAAAGATTCCTAGCGAAAGCGATGCTCTCTGGAGGAGGAGAAGAAGAAGGTGGAGAGCCATGTAGTGGCAGGGACGTGGAAGACGCTGAGGCTTTGGTTAGGCTTATACCGGTATGGGTCACTACGATGGTGAGCATGGTTCCCTACGCTCAATACTATACTTTCTTCACCAAGCAAGGCGTTACCGTCGACAGAAAAATCTTGCTGGGCTTGGAAATCCCTCCGGCTTCTTTATTGTCATTAATCGCTATATCGGTTCTCGTCTCGGTTCCCATCTATGAGCGTGTGTTCCTTCCAATAGCCAGATTGATTACCAAAAATCCCTTTGGGGTCACAATGTTCCAGAGAATAGGAGCCGGTATGGTGCTCTCGAGCCTCAACATGGTGCTCGCAGCATTGGTGGAAGCCAAAAGGTTGAGAATCGTCGAGGAACACGGGCTCATAGATAAACCGGAGGTAACCGTTCCAATGTCAATATGGTGGTTCGTGCCTCAGTATTTGTTACTCGGGATGATCGACGTGTTCTCTCTGGTAGGTGCACAAGAGTTCTTCTACGACCAGGTCCCGACCGAGCTGAGAAGTATCGGTCTCGCGTTTTCTTTGAGCGCGATGGGTCTTTCCAACTTCTTGAGCGGTCTTCTCATCACGGTGATTGATTGGTATACCGGAAGAAATGGCGGGAACAGCTGGTTCAACACGAACCTGAACCGAGCTCATGTCGATTACTTTTACTGGTTGCTCGCAGCATTCACCGCCGTTGCCTTCTTGGCGTTCTTGTTCATTTCCAAGTTGTATGTGTATCGTCGGGTAAACCAAGACTAAGAATTCAAAATAAAAAACAACTTGATCTGTTGACTTTTTCATATCATTTTTGCTTTTTCCACAATGTATACGTTAACGTGTTTGTCATTTGATTTGTGTTTCTTTTTTTTTTGCGTGTGAACAACACAATTCATTTTTATTAAAAAGACATTTGAATTGGCAAGTTAAATATGACGTAGTAGATGTGCCTACAAACACAAATCTATCCGAATATCATTTGCATGGGCATGTATAGCTTTTATGCTTTGGTTTCACAACTCCAAGGCCCAAGGGGTTTGTTTTAATTATTTCGAAATATCAGATCCACCATCTTTAAATTCGTATATGTAGCCAACACACCTCATCCTCCTTGAAAGATTTGCTGAAATGAATTAAAATATGGGTTAGATAGTTGAGATGGATTCTTGATGATATAATGTACTTTAATGATATGAAACCGGCGGCACAAGAATGGACCGGTCTAAAGAACATAAGTTCAAAGCGAAATTTGTTGTCTTTTCTCAATTGTCAATAGAAAATTCCAATGATTCTTTCTGGCTTATTTTTCCCACTTGGATTTTTCCCCCAAATTACTGTATATATTTGTTAATGTTTTCTTTAACATTTTAACAAAAAAATATACTACTATTTCATGTCATCTAAATTTAATACGGGGCTATAAAAACCAAGTTGCTCTCGACTACAACCAAAACCACCAAAGTATCACATAATTTTTTTTTTGCAGTGAGATCTCTTACTCCTTGTTAATTTGATTTCAACAGATTGGTCTCGCTCAACACTTTTCCCTGTTTTTCAGATTTTTTTTTTTTGGTTTCTGATGCATCACTACTTGGACTATCTTCTTCTTTTTGCTAATTTAGGTGTCAAAAAACCTTAGAACAAACATCAAGCCACATTCCAGTCAAATTTTGATGTAACTTTTTGTTTGTAAGAGACATGCTAACGGTACATAACTTTAAATCCCCAAAACATTAGTCAACCAATAGAAATGATAACACTATTGTACAGTTTTAGTTCAGCAGGAACATATTTATAATTTACTTGGTGTAATTAAATGTGAGCACAATAGTACTATATATCAAACTGACTTTAAAAATAATGTTATAGAGATAGATTTGATACTTAGTTTTCAATAGTTGTAAATATTTTTCCTTATCAGAAAATTTTGCAATCTCTTGGCTAAATATTCCAGAAAGAATAATGTTGGATTGTGGAGAAGTCATGATTCAAATTGGTTCTATAGTTTAGGGCAATTGTCCATTGAACACAGTGGAGATCAGAACCTTCAATATTTATCAATATTAATAAGAGACACATCTAGTTTCTGCTCATGTTTATCCAAATTTACAACTTTCAATTACTTAATTACTTTTAACAATAACAGAAGTAATTGATAAACTTCTTGATATCTCAGTCAGCTACTGTTATTAGAGTTCAAGATGATGATTGCTTTCTCTACATTCAGGCCCGGTCCAACTAAAATAGTGGCCCAAAGCTATAAAAGAAGAAGATGTAAACTTTATTTGGTCATTTTAAATTTGTGGTCCATTTTTTAAATTTTTTTAAAATTTGTGACCCATTTTTTAGCCTAATTTTTTCAAAAATATTAGTGGTCCTAAGCGCTGGCTTAGCCCACCTATCCTCTGGGCCGGCCCTATCTACATTAACGGTGTCTTGTAATAAAAACCTACAAGTTGGTGAGACACTGTATGGATTCTCTCGCTTCTTCTGATAGTTTCTCTATTGTTTATTTTTTCTAAGAACGTTGGATTGTCCTTGGAGGATTGTTTTTATTAGGTCAAGTTGTTTGGATTGATAAACAAATATCTTATATATCTATATCTGTTAACAAAGACTTGTTCGCGTTTAAATCCTATTATCCTTGGAGGATTGTTTTTATTAGGTCAAGTTGTTTGAATTGATAAACAAATATCTTATATATCTATATCTGTTAACAAAGACTTGTTCGCGTTTAAATCCTAGTAAGCAGTTGTTACCAAAATACCCGATGTTAGATATACTTGTCTTTTTAACATCAACAGATTCAAAAAAAGCAATTCAGAAAAAAAGTAGCCAATAATGCTGCACTTTCTTTTAAGTAATTCTATTACATTAAAATTTATTTGCTAATTTTACATAGGTCTTCTTACTAGGTCCGTCTCTTTGGCCACACCCACAGCTTTTATCTTTGGAGAGACTTTAAATCTGTGAGTCTTGAAGAAATAACCAATCTTGAACAAGCATGTGTCTATCGCAACTCTTGTAACTGTAGTTACACTATCTCTAAGGTTGTAGCTTACTCCTGGTTCGACTTACCTTTTCTTCATTTTGTAACCATTTTTTGAAAAGAACAAAAGACCAAAGCCACGGTCAAATTTAATTTTCCACACGTAGAAAGATCACCACTGATAATACAAGTTGACTTTTATTCTTTTTCTTACACTGGTTTTAACTTGTCAACCATTCAAGCACTATAATTACAGCTTCCTTACAAAAACTGTTGAACTCTTTGACTTGCTTGCTGACGATGGGCTTTTAGACAATGCTGAAGCTTTGAATCCTCCTCTCAATAGACTCGACGCTGATTCTGCGCTTATTCTCCTTCTCTTTGCTTCTAGCTCCAATCTTTTCTTGCTCGATGATGATGACATCGAGTAAGATGACTCCGGAAAGATGGAAGACGCATGGATCAGCGCTCGTTTATCCTTTCGATTCTTATCAAACTTGCTCTTGAACTTCACCTTTGATGCAGCTGCAATATCTTCTTCGCTCTTTCGAAGTAGTCTTATCCCCAATCCTAGCTTCCTTGAGGCGGCCTCTTCTTCAGCTACACGTTTCCTGTGTCCCTGTATAACGAGCAAAAGTTAGAAAGGAGGAATCAGCATACAACGAGTATGCAAAGCAGAAAAAACTAATTGCAAACTTGTACTTACCCTAATTTGTGCACGTAGAGCTTTGTTTAGGGAGTAGTCATCTGCATGTCTTGCATCCGAGACTCGCTGGAGACGGACCAAAAGCGGTTCTGCTGCTTTCTTCTTCTGTAAATCAACTTCCTGGTGCTCTAAACGATAGAACGGGTCTGAAAGCTTACCCTTCTCTGCACAAGGTTAATAAATCACATCAAGAATGAGACGGCAGAAACAGATGAGAACGATGAAAAGCCAAAAACACCTATTTAGAGATCTAAAAGGCATTCTAAAATCGAACTAGTCGAAGAAGGTTAAAATCGAACCTTCCTCAGCAGTGAGCTCCATGGTTTCTGCGTCTTCTACGTCATATTCCTCAACCTTTTTCTGGGCACCACTAGTAATTACATACTCGCAGTTTTGAGGATCAGTCTGAATGACAATCTCATGTTTGCAGCATGGTGCTTTCATTGCAAAACTCCATATCTGACCATGATAAAGATATGAACTTCAGCGATAGTTCTAGTTAAGGTACCATAATAAAGATCATAAAGAAAGGAAAGACTCTTCATCGTACCTTTGTAGAATAGTAGTTCCCAACTTGCTTCTTTTCTGCATTGAATCTCACACCCTTGCCGATCATAGAATTGCACCCACCACACCATATATTATAGGGCATCTCGAACCTGGACAAAATAAAAAAAGCAAGTATGACAAATGCAACCAAAGTGAGAGTACTCTCCTGCGACTCCACCAAAAACAAAGCTTCTGATTGTGAACAACCAGGGATAGACTTTAACATCGAGCCCCATACCAACACATTGACGTTCACTCTAGCCTAATACACGTTTTTTCACTACTTTTGATGATCATACATTGGATTGCCTCACCTCTATTCATTCATGGATTAGGAAAGCAATCTTATGAACAATTTATGTGAATTCAATTAAAAGTAACATCTATCTGCCAATGAAACAACTTGGTAACTAAGTACTCGCAGGAACAAACTGATATAGTACTTGATTATATTACCTTATGACCAAAATTCCCTCGCCTATCTTCTTCGCCCTCTCTCTCAGAGGATGCTGTCCTTGAAACTTGTTCAAGGAACCTTGATCTGGAGTCCATTCTGGGGGATAGTAAAAGTTATCCGCCCTCGCAGCTGAAAGAGTCGACTGCAAAAGAGACCAAAAATTGAAAAGAGTTAACACTTGAAACTGAAATCAACGAAACACCAAACCAGACAGGATCCACAATGATCAAAACGTAAGCAGTTCATTCGATTTACAGAAAATTTCGAGAACAAGCTAAAAACCTGATTTTTTTTCAAAACCGATTAAGCTAGTGAATCCTTGAGAAAGCAGATATCAATACAGAACTTCCAATTACCTATGAAACATTGACTAATCTATTGATACAATCACGAATTGGATTATCGTTCCGAAATACCAATCTGAAGAACCCTAAACCCAAATCCCAGCACCCAAGACACTAAATCTCCAAATAAATCCAACCTAATTGCAACGAAATTACAATACAGAATATCTTAGGGCTTTCGGAGATCAATTCCAATCAACAAGCACGATATCCCCAATTTAATCACTACCCGAAAGGGCGAAAGACGATTATTTAAAGAATCGATTTGAGAAAACAACAACACGTACCATCTTCTTCTACCGAGATTGATCTAATCGTGCTCGTCTAAGATGTTCAATCGCAAATATCTTGGCTCTTTGGCCTTTTTGGGTTGGCTATGAGTTACGACGAGTTGTAAAATTCTTCTCTTCACATATAGCCAAGACTTGTTCTCTCAAAAAACGTTGCCGTTTTGTTGGTGCTTCCTCACGCGGAGTTATTACTTGTCGGTTCAGGATAGACTTAATTTGGTTGAACCGATCCAATCCAACTTAAACCAGACTGCAAAATCGAAATCGGACCGAGATTTTATTTTTATCTCCATTAATCTTTACTGAATTTGTGAGTTACTGCAACTATGAAATGGAGCATGATCCATGAACAAGTGGTTGGAAAATGTGAACGGCACTTTTCTGTTAAACCGGTCACTCGAACGCAAACGAGAATAGTGTGTCGCTGTGTCAGCTCCGGCCACTCCTTTTATCACTAGCGGCTCAAAATCTCCAGAGAGAGCTCCGGCCAATCTGATCTCTTAATTTTCTTACACACAACCAAAAAAATGGTGTCTTTGCTCGCTTCTACTCTTACATGCTCAAGCCCTGATCTGAATCTCCTCTTCCTTGTGCGGACGGGAGCAGCTTCAGTCTGCAGGAAACGTCGAGCAGCTTCTGTGGTGGCAACATCTTCGAGAGATGTTAACAAAACCGTCGGTGAATCTTCTCCGAAACCCACCAAATTCGTCACATTCCTCGGAAAAGGCGGCTCCGGCAAGACCACCGCCGCTGTTTTCGCCGCCCAGGTGAAATAATAAAAATTCAATTTGATGGGAATTCTAGTAGCCATTGCATGAATCAGTTCTGATTCTGAACCTTATCAGTTATCAGAGCCAGCTAGAGATGGTTATGAATCTATAATGTTAGAATTGAGCCTTGTACTTAATCTGTTGAACTTGAACATAAAAGATCAAAGCTTTCTCCTCTCTGTTTAGATTGCTGGTTTGTTACTAATTAAAGTCGATGGCTATGCTCATAGCATTACGCATTGGCTGGGCTCAGTACATGCTTGGTGGTACATAATCAAGATCCTTCTGCTGATTTCCTCCTTGGAAGCAAGATTGGGACATCTCCTACCTTAATCAACGACAATCTCTCCGTGATTAGGCTGGAAACAACGAAAGTGTGTTTGTCCCTCTTTGTTTCGATCTTGGCATACTTTATGTCTGGTTTAATGTTAGAACATTACTTGACAGCGGTTCCTGGGAATTTTTGTTTGCAGATGCTTCTAGAACCTCTTAAACAGCTGAAGCAAGCAGACGCCAGACTTAATATGACTCAAGGGGTTCTTGAAGGGGTAGGTATGTGAACACAACTTCATATCTGCGAGTTTCGACAGAAACAAAAACAAAAAATGGAACTTTCTTTAAAATCTCTTTTGTTTTGGGTATTGTTGTGTAGTATAGGTGGTCGGAGAAGAGCTAGGGGTGCTTCCAGGGATGGACTCCATTTTTACAATGCTTGAACTCGAGAGGCTTGTTGGTTTCTTTAGGCAAGCAACCCGAAAGAACCACAAGGGGAAGGCTTTTGACGTTGTAATATACGATGGTATCAGCACTGAGGAGACTCTTCGGATGATAGGTTTAAGCAGTAAAACAAGGTCTCATTATGTTTTTGCTTTCTTTTTGCTTCTGTTTTTCCTGTTTCCTTTTTGCAATCCTTAGGAAGTATATGATGCTTTTCTTGCAGATTGTATGTGAAATATCTGAGGAACCTGGCGGAGAAGACTGATCTTGGGAGGCTAACGAGTCCTTCCATTATGAGATTTGTTGATGAGTCAATGAACATAAGCGGCAATAAGTCGCCTTTTGATGGTATGACAAGTGCTGCCATGTGGGATGCTTTGGAACGTTTCTTGGAGGTATGTATCTGTTTCCATATCTCAGTTTCTTCAGCTTATTTTTTGGTCCACAATTACATATGGGATATTTGCAAAACTGCAGACTGGAGCTTCTGCTTGGAGAGATACAGACAGGTTCAGGAGTTTTCTCGTAATGGATCCAAACAATCCCATGTCTGTGAAATCCGCGTTACGGTATTGGGGTTGTACGATACAAGCAGGATCTCATGCTTCTGCAGCGTTTGCTATTTCTTATTCTTCGAATCTGACAACTACTGAGTCAAGCAAATTCCCAAAAGACGATTTTGTGCCGCTGCCCTTTGCTTCTGCGTCGGTCCCATTTACTAAAAATGGTCTGGACTGGGACAAAGTTCTGCTGGACCAAGCAAATTCGAGCGTCCGGGAACTTCTTTCTGGAACATTAAGCCAAAGAAGCAGCTTGACGCCACCAGTAACTTTTGATACAGCGAAGAAATCAGTGACTCTTTTCATGCCGGGGTTTGAAAAATCGGAAATCAAACTGTACCAGGTAATCTCATCTCTATTCAGACTCTCTTTGGTTCTGCTTGTTAAGCTATCTTCTTTCTTCTACCTCAACTTTAATGGCATAACGTGATTGCCTCAAAAGATCTTTTGTTCTTATGTAATTAAAAACTAAGAATGATTTTTTGGTTTTTTTTTTTTTGATGAAACTGCAGTACAGAGGAGGCTCTGAGCTCTTGATTGAAGCTGGGGACCAAAGACGAGTGATTCATTTACCGTCACAAATTCAAGGAAAGGTTGGAGGAGCCAAGTTTGTAGACAGAAGTCTCATCATCACTATGCGGTAATACATTATCGAAGAACTAATTTGTTCTTTTTTGTACACCAGAGATGTGTAGTTTGTCTCCCCATAATCAAAACAGAACAAAAAAAAAAATTTGGAAAAAAAGAAAGAAGACTCAAGAAGTCAAACATTTGGGACGATCTTGAGTTGAATAAACGAGTTTCTCATTACCAGAACGGCTCTGATACTTTGGCAAAATAGCAGCTGTTATAACAATGCTGCTGAGCAAAATCAACCCGATCCCTAGACCATTGACGATCATTGATTCAGGACAGTGTCTCGGGACGTTTCTCCTGGTCTGAAGGAAAGTAAGTTTCTCGAGCAGTCCGGTCTCAGCGGTGGCAATGGCTAGACCGTAGGTATAGAGTCCGAGGAAGACGTGCCATGGAAGAAACGTGGTTCTCGTTGTCCGTACTTCTCCTCTATGCCAAAAGCTCAAGAACCCAGTCACCCACTGCAACAACACGTCGTTATTAGAAATTTAATAACAAAACCGGTTTAGTTCAAGAGTCGAGAGTTGTTAACTGTTAAGAGGCAATTTCGTAATTACTGGTAACTTAATGCCCCAGTTACCCAACTTTTTAAGAAACGGTAATTACATATAAACCCCGCATCTATTTGAAACTCACTACTAACACCATTTCCAGAGTGTGTCGCGGGGATTGTTTATGCAATAAAAATAAATAGGACATAACGCACAGATTGAAGTGACAGTAATGAATGGTTCTAACTGTTTAGTAATAATAATGATAATTAATCTCTTAGGGGAATCTTGTCAGCTTCCGTAACAATTAGAAACTAATCCCAAGTGGGTATTTAATCTCTTCTTTTGTCATTCTCTGCATTATTGATGACAAAAACATTTTTTAAAAAGAGTGAAATAGTAATGACAGCAACGGGTAATCCGAACTTTTGAAATAAAAGTATTAAAATCTTGAAAAGCAACTACTTCTTTTTTCCTATGATGAATTTGATAATGCATTAAAATACTGGAGAAAATAATAATGATGGTGAAAAGAGAAAAAGAAGAAGAGACCTGGGCAGCGAAGAGAGAAACGGAGATTAAACCCATCCAAGAATGAAGACTGTAGAAATTTGACAAAACACCCAATTGAGAATGGAACTTAGTCCAGATCCCAAACACAGCAGAGAACAATGCCACTCCTTGTAACCATAGATGAACTGCTTTCTTCGTTTTTCTTGAACCAGGCAACCATCTGTGTATCAGAATCGCTGCAGACCCCCCCCAAACATTTTCCGGTAAATAAATAAATACATTACCAGGAAAGAGAAAGTATATCTTCAAAGAGGATCACTCTACTACCTTCTCCACTTACAAGAATGAAGCCAATCACCATCAGCAGAGGATGAAGAGTCTACAAAGTATAAACTTTGATTAAGAGACCAGAGAGAGAGAGAGAGAGAGATCCAATTGAAATCAACAAGGAAGGAGTGTGAGAAATTACAGAATATGTGAGGCCTTGACGAGGGACGAAGCTGGACTTAAGCAAAAGAGCCCAGTACACAACCACAACTGCGATTACTAGTCCTGAGAATCTCGCAAACAAGACAAGTGATGCACTTCCCATTCTCTTTTCTCTCTTCAAAGTTTACTTACTACAGTCTCTCTCTGACTCTTTGAGTTGCCGACAAAGTGATGATGTCTTGTAAAATGTTACTATAATGGATCAATGTATAAAAGGACTTCTCTATCTCCTTCTACGGCCCATTTAAGGCTGCTGCTACAGTGCTACTGCTCAACGTCAAAAATGTTGACTTTTAAGTTCAGGGTCAATTCCAACCTCAAGTTTCCACAAGGGCAATAAAGATTTGAGAAAAACTATGCATTTCATCAATGTCAAATCCACAAAAGTTCAGAATGACATTAAATATTGAAAGACAGACGCTGTTACCAAGTCTTCAAAAACAAAGATGGGAAATCAAACTGATACACTCGAAGACCACACAAAGGGGGGGGCTTTTTAAACATAACACCAGACTCAGTTTTTTTTTTTTATTGCAACAACATACCAAACGCACTCAAAGCATGAGCTCCATCGGATTCGAGTCTTTAGAACCCTTTTTAACACAACTTCTAGGAAGTACGATTTGATGGACCTCTCCCTTGGCCACGACCACCATACCCGTAGCCTCCACCACCACCACGCCCACCATAACCTCCATAACCACGACCACCATAACCACCACGTGAATAACCGTTTCGACCATAACCGCCACGCCCTCCTCGTCCTCCTCTGAATCTTGAGAACTCACCAAATGTCTGGAATCATACCAACACCGTTTGTTAAGAGTCAATGGGGTTCTCTTAAGATTCTTGGGAATTGTGCATCTCCAGAAACAAAAGGAGGCTAACTATGCCCGGTCTGCTTTTTAAGTAAGGATATATATATATAGGGATTGTACCTCAGTATCTAGTTTCCGTTGCTCTGAGAACCTAGGCCTTGCACTTTGGGAATCTCGGTCAACGGAATTTGATGAGAGGCTATCGAAAAAGTCGTCTTTGTTGTAAACAGCCTGCATCAACAAACAGTTGAGGTATATGAGACTAGAGAGGGGGAGGGAATTTGGCGGTTTTACTTGATTGTAGGCTTAATTCACTTACTTTGACCTCGATCTTAGGCAGCTCAGCTTCGTCTACGACTGGGGAATCGTCATCACCATCACCATTGGTACTCTTCCCGAGATTACCCCATACTTCATCCTTGTTGAACTTTTCATTCATCGCTGTGAAATCAAAATCTTCAGTGAACTTCATTACCTGGTGTGATCTCTGCCAACAACGAGGGTTATTAGCATACATGGCTATGGTTCATTAGCTAGTAGATCTTTTCCCCGGCGAAAAGACAATTAAAAGCCTCGTCATATTCTACAAATGAGTGACAAGAATATTTACCCCTGCTCCTCTTCCTCTTCCTCTCCCACGTCCCCTGTAACCATTATGAGTTGGGAAAGAATGCCCGTTTGGCTGAGGAAAAAAATCCAGCAAACAAATTCAATTAATCATCAAACATGCAAGAAGAAATCTAACAGAGCAAGCAAGGAATGATCCAGAGAGCTTTCCATCCATTTTCGATAAAGAAAAGGAGACAGAATGGGAAAAAATATTGGCCACCGCCGCAGGTGCAAATATAACAGCTACATGCAATTCCAGTTAACTCAGACATCAGTCAATGCAAAGATCATTTGATGTAAAGTGTTAATTGCACCACAGAAACTCTTATCTCGAATTCAAGGCTAATTCTCATATCAATAAGTGAAGCAGTAATATCGGTTAAAAGGCGGACGAGTAAATAAAAAAGAATGCGAAAATTATGCAAGTCTAAAACCTTCTGGGTTGGCCTTGCAGAGGAAGGCAGTGGCAATATTGGAGGTTGGGCTTCTGATGTAACTGGAATAGATTGTTCCAACCCAGCTGATGATGATACTTGAACCACCTCTACATCTTTATCCGCATTTTTCGAGGGTGGGGACAAAGCGACTGCAGCAGGTCCAGACTGCAGAAGTTGGTCAGGAGTAATCAACAAAGGTTTTGGCTTATCTTGGCTAATGAAACTAGAAACAGGAGCAGGTGTTAATGATGTTGTCTGCGGCGCAGAAATAGGACCAGTAACTACACTAGGCTTGTTAGACAGTGGAAGACCAGCACTTATATCGGTGGCTCTAGTAGTTGGTAGGGAATAGGGAAGCAAATTAGTATCCTGAGGTAGGGTAGGAGGCACAGCAATAGGAGCTTTGTTCGACAACAATGGAGATGCCATCTCTGAAGCTAGGGAAGGAGATGGTGCTGGTTGCAGTGTAGTAGATTGCAGGCCTGAAGACAGCGGCATAGGTAGACTAGAGAAAGGCAATGAACTGGGCGCTAGAATTTGAGAACTGGTACTAAAAGGAAACAATGACGAGGGTGGCTCTGGCAAGCTTGAGCTCAGTAAAGTTGATGGACCAGTAGGTGGAGGAGCATTAAAGTTGGGATATTGCAGAGGTTGCTGCAGAGAGCTGGGCATTGGCAGCCCATGAGGGGGTCGAATCAGAGACTGTTGATGCAATTGGGGAAGGCCATTGGGAGGTGGGGTGTAGAAACCTTGCCAATACATTGGCGGTTGTGGTGATGCTCCCCACGAACCAAGGTTTCCACCAGGCTGATACAAAGGCATTCCGTTTTGAAATCCCATCCCATGTTGTCCAGGTTGTGCATTGTGAGAGTTAATGTCAGGCAGTGACCCGCTCGGGGTAGGAGGCAAGCTACTCGGTGTTGGTATCGGGCCAGGATAGTGAGACTGTAAAACCAAAGACAAGTGGAGGATGGGGTTACATCGCAATCAACTCCAAAATCGTAGACAATGCTGTTATCCTATAACATTTCCAACATTCACCTGGATTATAGCAGGGTCATTATTTATAGTAGGTGGAGCCTGAGCTGGTGGAGAAGCTTTGACTTGCAAATCCTGCCAAAAACAAGAGCAAATTATAGTCCAAAGTGGGCATGCTGACAAAACTGATTACATGATAGAATTAGCATAATACTGTTGAATACCTTGATATCAGTTCCACGGAACAATATGTACTCGTAAACTCTTTCACTTGGAGGAACTTGCGGACCATCTTTCTTCCTCCCTTCAGTTCCAAATGATCGGACTGCATATGTGGAGATTACATGGATCAGGATTATCTCAATCTCACAAGTCTAAGCTTTCATTGATTACAATTTGGTAAGTTAGATAGTAGACATGAACACTACAATTTTCATGATTTCCAAGCACAAAAATTATACGTCTTATGAAAATCGAGCTAAACAGTTTCAAGACTGGAGCAAAATCTCACAAGAGAAACAAAGACTGTAAGCTGAAGAAACACCAGACGAAGGCATAATAAGTTTCTGCGAAATGAGAAAGGGAACACACGGGCATACACATACACCGTCAGAATTACACTAACGCATCTAACAATCCTCCGAGGGAATTGAATTTGAATCGAATCGTACCGTTTTGCAATCCAATACTGGATTCATCGGTATTAATGTTGTAGAGGATCCCTTCGTATCTGATCTCGCTCTTGGATGTCAAACTAATCAAGCTCCCTACGTAAGAATCCGCAGCGGAGCTCGATTTCGCGCCCGTGTTATCAGCCGCCATATCCGATCTATGTCTCTCTTCGCCGAAATATCGTGGACAAAGAGAGATTCAAAAGAAGAAGCCTAAAGTCAAGCAAGGGAGGGCAAGCAAACACACTCCGCGAGTTCCTGATCCCCTTCGAGAGAAAGAGAGAGAGAGAAAGCTATAGAAACAAAACAATTAGGGTTTACTCTAATTTGGGGAGATCGAGCATCTCTCTTTCTGATTATCCATTCCCGTAAAAAGCCCAAAAGAGAAAAAGGAAAGCAAAAACCTATCGGACCATAATAGCCTCGTGTAGTTCCATTGACTTTTATCTACTAACTAATCATAGAAAGCCACGCGTCTACTTGCAGAGCCCTCTCCGTAATTCACCTCAATGACTTGTTTTTGTTTACGCACCACCACCAGTACGAGCCCTACGAGCCACTTCAATTGCACCGGCTCGTGGTCGTATTGCTTACTATGCTAATTGTGTATGTTTACGGTTTTGACCCTCTCTGCCTTTGAATAAATTTGCGCTCGTGACCTGTGTTGTTGATCAGTTCCATAATCGAAGGACTAATCAAGTGCGTTTAACGACTTTCACGAAACAACGAAGACACACCATAGGAAAGTTTTGATCAATGATTAGCAATCTATACAGCTTGATGAGGTATGCCTTTTTCTTGGCATTTTCTTCTGAATCATGTGTTGTACATTTTTATGTTGCTTTGATACATAACGTTTTTGTTTCCTGTTTAAGATCTTCTTGGAAATAAATTATCTTCCACATCACATACAATACGGGCTACTCTCAGTGTGTTCTTGATCTGGGTCCTGCTATGTTCCTTCTGCTTCTTGCTTGATTTAATTTGTAGGGTCGCTTCAATATATATCAAGACATTTTTTATATCTTCTTTGATGGTTATTTAATGGCTTTCAAGTATTTGCAACGAGAACTTTACTAGGCGAAGTGTACCTTGTGAGTCTATAAGTAGCTAAAGCAAATGGTTTGGCTGCTATAGTGGTATTGACTGAATCATTTTTTTTTTGGTCATATTGACTGAATCTATTTAGAAGTGGAAAGAAAGAGCTCATAGTTGAAGAAAAGCTTCCACTGGTTAATTGAAAGAATGCTAATTAAGCTGAAGATGAAATTAAGAAAGGTAACTTAAATGTATATCTCTTGTTGTATTTACTCATATTCATCTTGATTTTGAATTTAACAACGACGAAAGAGAAATAAAACCTCGTCTCATATGCTGAATACGAGAAGGAGCTCAAATGTAAACGCCCGAAACAGGCATTACGTCATTATGGAAACAAAATGTTAAAAGTAGGTTTCTATTTTTATGACATCGTGTTGCCACAATGAGAGTTGTTGGCATACCATAGGCTGAAAAGGAGTTACCATTGCGTTGCCACAACATTAAAAACCATAAAAAGAAGAACAACGACGTGTTTTCGTTGCAGGAATATAATATATATATATATATATATAGATCGATATATTGTCAAAAACTGCAAACATGAACCAGCAATAGTTGTATAAAAATGATAACGAAGTCATCCAAGAAAGAACACCTGTATCATGAAGTTGATGCAAGCTAGACAAGTCTCGTCGAAAAATGCTCCCGCTAAAAATCAAGCTATACACACATATACTTTTTCACAAATACACACCTTTTATATGATGTCGTACGTCATGAGCACTTCTGAAGCTAAGACCACGTACAACTAAACGAAGACGACAATTCACATGCTTTTTCGAAAGATTTTTTTTTAATAATCGCTGGAGCTTGTATCTAGCTCGGTTACGAAAGCGATCTTCTTCATATAGGCCTATGTGATGGTAATGACCCTGGTGCATCTAAAAAAACTATAAGTTAAAGTCATAATTATAGTGGGAATAATAATTAGTCTATAGTTTATCAACAATGATAGTATTTGGCCGCTTTCTATCATTATTACTTAGACGGGGCCTAAAGAACAATCCTCTATGATTACGACATTCAAATAATTGAGTTAAAGCTTGATGGATCATATCTTATGCACCGCTTTTTAAGCTTTTTATATTGTCAAATCCGTTTATTGGAGTTAGGAGCGAATCTGTTTCTTTTACTCGAGAATCTAAATTGTACTGGCTGAAATACCATTTCATATAATTCCTCTTTTCGTATTGTAATGGTATATAGCAATACTCCATGGTTTCTTAGTAATTTCTTTTAGCTCTTTGTTACTAGCTGATATTAAAATTCGTTTTTCTACTATTTTGGAGGTAAAATTCAAAACGCTGCAAAAATTGGGAAGAGGGAGAAGCAAATTCTCATATTTTCGGGAATCACACACCGCGAGTTTTTCAGTTGCTTAACGCCACGTGTCATCAGAGCGTAAAATTGCACGTAGGACCCACTTCCAACAGACCATATATGTCACTCGATTGTACGACGTCACAAAATCATCTCTCTCTCCTTCACACTCTCTTCCACACTGTTTTCTATACTCTCTTTCCTTCTCCAGGTCTAGTCGACGGTCAAATCCGAGTTTTCTCGGGAATCGCCCTTATTCGACACCGATGACGGATACGACGGACGATATCGCGGAGGAAATTTCGTTCCAGAGCTTCGAGGATGACTGCAAGTTGCTCGGCAGTCTATTCAACGACGTCTTACAGAGAGAAGTCGGCACCGATTTCATGGAGAAAATCGAGCGGACTCGGATTCTCGCTCAGGTTTGCTTCTCTTTTACTCATCTCTCTGCTTTCAAAAGCTCCTTTCTGCTATTATTGCTGTGTTTTCTGTTCGATTTGTACTCCGATCCGCCTGTAGGACTGAAAATGGAATTCTCTCGCAGTGTTTTGATCTGCTTTCTACGATCGGTATGTTTTTTGAGGAAATGGAAATATAGGAGATGTATTTTTCGAATTGCTTGCGGTTGACGAAAAGTGTTTGGTTTCCCCTCCAATAGCTCGTTTTTGTGTTTGATCTACACAGTCGAGAATCCTCGGAGTATCAATTTCTTGGTGGATTCGTTTAAGATCTGGATTATGCGTTTTAGTTATCCTCTTTACCTACTTGGAGACTGAATTCTGGAATCTGACGATGATGTTTTAAAACTTCTTGATGGTAGATAAAGAGTAATAGACCTTGTGATTGTGATGATGCTAATTTTGGTTTGGCTTTTCTTTTCAGAGTGCTTTGAATCTTCGTCTGGCTGGTATTGAAGATACGGCAGAGCTTTTGGAGAAGCAGCTGACTTCTGAAATAGCAAACATGTCACTGGAGGAAGCACTGACTTTGGCTCGTGCATTCAGCCATTTTCTTAATCTGATGGGCATTGCCGAAACTCATCACAGGTGACCTATAATTGATCTCTCCATGTCAAAAGAAAGAAAACATCTAGTCATAATCATATCACACGATGAAGAAGTGTAGATACTTGGAGAATTTTATGTTTTTGCTTTATCGTTTAAGCAAAATGTTTACTTTTTTCAGAGTTCGTAGAGTCCGTAACCTTCCACAACTTTCAAGATCATGCAACGATATATTCAGTAAGCTACTGCAAAGTGGTATTTCCCCAGATGAGCTTTATGACACAGTTTGCAAGCAGGTGTACTTCATTCTTCTACTTGCTTTTGCTCTTTCATATATCGCGTTTCCATATTTCTTATAAATTGCTGACTTGGTACTGCAAGATTGAGTTCAAAGATCGATTCGATGCGAAGTAAACCATTTGCTTTTCCTCAGTTTGTTACATCTTTTTCTTACCAAACTTTATCCAATGCAGGGGGTTGAAATTGTTCTTACTGCTCACCCCACTCAAATTAACCGGAGAACGTTGCAGTACAAACATATTAGAATGGCTGTAAGTTTTTGGTGACGCTAACATTGATTACTATACCTGTTGCAAGCAATTTGAGGTTTATGGTCTTTGTACATTTTTCAGCATCTTCTAGAATATAACGATAGACCAGACCTCGAATTTGAAGATCGAGAAATGGTCATTGAGGATCTGGTACTATCTTCCTCACCATCTTCCTTAGAATTTCTCTGCTGAAGCAGTAGATCTAATAATTTCATTTTGTTTTAAAGGTTAGGGAGATAACTTCACTGTGGCAGACTGATGAACTTAGACGTCAGAAACCTACCCCTGTTGATGAAGCTAGAGCTGGTATGCTCATTAAATATCTAAGAACATTCATTTGATAATCCAAGGTTTTGCTACAAGTATATGTTATTCCTTGTGTGTCAGGTTTGAACATTGTTGAGCAGTCCCTTTGGAAAGCTGTACCACACTACTTGCGTCGTGTCAGCAGTTCGTTGAAGAAGGTCTTACTTAAGTTTCTCATTTATTTGCAACTTCTGAATGGTAAAGTGTGTTTTGATTTTGAAAATATGTTATTCTCTATGCCTTCTTTAGTTGACGGGAAAGCCACTCCCACTAACTTGCACCCCAATAAAGTTTGGTTCCTGGATGGGAGGTGATAGAGATGGAAATCCAAATGTCACGGCAAAGGTGAGCTTCTATATGTTACTATTGACCTGAGTAATCTATGTATGGGTGAGAATGCGAGATTTTCCTGGGAATTCTACATTATTTTAAGATTTGGCTTCTTATCAATAAATTTTCAGGTCACGAAAGAAGTATCGCTTATGTCTAGGTGGATGGCTATCGATCTGTACATAAGAGAGATTGATAGCTTAAGATTTGAATTGTCTATGAATCGATGCAGCGATAGATTGTCAAGATTGGCAGATGAAATTCTTGAAAAAGGTATGCTCAAAGGTGACATTTCATGTCTCAGTTTTTTCTTGGTTCTTGAAAGCAAAAATCTACAAGATGGTTTTTAATTCTCCTCAGAAACTTCTGCTCAAGATCACTTTGAAAGTTGGGTTCCGAATGTTGGTAGAAGCCAACCAAAATTTCCAAGTCAGCAGGGCTTATCCCTACCCACTCAACTTCCACCTAGAGCTGACCTTCCCTCATGTGCTGGTAAAGAAGTTCATGCATAGACTACCGTCTTCTTATATAAGTTTATA